TTAATAAAAAGTATTTATATTAAAGCAAGGCGCGAGATATTAAGTTTAATTAAAAATAATTAAAATTATAAAAGTTCTTAAGTTATAATAACCTAAAAAATATATTTTAATTTTATAAATAAAAAGGTTATAACTAACTATTTTTTAAAAAATTAGCTAACTAGCCTATTAGTTATTTTAAAAATATATTTAAAGGTAAAAATATAGCTATTAATATAAGCACTAGCTTAATTAATATTATAGTATTTAATAAGGCCTTTGCCTTTATATTAATAAAAAATAATAAGATTTTTTAATATTTTAAGGTAGTGGAAAACACGTGTTAAGGCTATAATATAATTTTTTAAAAAATTTATTATATATTAAAATAAAAGTATAATAATAAAGGAAATATGGCGTGTATTAATAAAAATCTAAATAAAAGTATTAATTTATTTTTAGTATAAAAAAATCTTTTTTATTAAGGCCTTGCTATTAAACTTTTATAATATAACCTTAAAGTTATATAAAATTATAAAATTTTTATAATTTTTAAGGCTAAATTATTTTAAAATATTTTTAATATAATATTTTTTAAAAAAATAAATACTATTATTCACGCGGTAAATATTAATACTAATAAAGTAAGTAAGTACTTTATTATTAATAACCTTAAAGGCACCTTTAAGCGCCTTAATAACCTTTATAATATTATTTATAAATAAAAAAAAAGTATAATATTATTTATATAAAAAAAATAAATACTTAGCCGCAGGCAAAAACTAAATAATTTATATATATTTTAATAAATTTAAGTAAGATAAAAAGGCTAGTAAGTATTTTATATTACTTTTTTAGTAATTATTTTAGGTTATATAAGGTTTTTAAAAGCAAGCTATATTTACTAGCAACCTTACTACCCTTAAATAATTTAATAAAAAATTTTTTAAAAAAATTTATATATAAAAAAGTAGTAATAATATTAAAAAAGTATAGTACCTAGTTATAATAAGTAGCTAGTATAATAAAAAGTTTAAAAAATATTAATTTAGTAATAGCTATATATATTTTATAAATTTTATAATTATAGCTAGTAATTTAGTAAAAGCCTTTAATAATTAGGTAAGCTTTATAAGTGCTATTATACTTAATTTTAAATACTTATTTAAGGTTAAAAAGTTATATTTTTTTTAATAATTAATAACACGCCATATGCTATTAAAAAAATAGTTATTAAGCTTTTTATAAATAGCTATATATTATTTATTTATTTTTAAATAAAAAACTATATTTATATACATTTTTAGCTTATAGCTAGTATTATTTAGGGTTTTAAAAGTAAAATTTTATTTATTTAGCTTGCTAAAGTTTACTATAAAAATAATATTATTAATAAAGTTATTAAGGGAAAGCTTATAGTCCACAAGAAACTATATAAAATAATTTAAAAAAAATTAGGATTATATATAAAAAAAAGTTTATTTATACTTATTAATTTAAGGTGCTTTTTTATAATTTAACTTAGCTTTTTTAAATAATTTAAGCGGTATATCTTACTTTTTAAAAATAAAAAATAATAAGTATTAGCCCTTAAAGCGCGGGTGTGTTTTACTAGGCTATTATAATTTTTATTAATTATACTTAAATTTTTTTTTAAAAAAAGGGGGGGGTCCGGAGCAGGATAGTATTAAAGCTTTATATTATATAATTTTTAAATAAAAGGGTTTAGTATAAGTATTAAAAAAAGAATACTAGTTAGTTAGTATTTTTAAAGCTATTTTAAATTATAAGTAATATTATTAAAAAGGTTTTTTTAAAATAGTTCTTCTTATCCTAAATTTGTTTTAAAAGGTTAAGAAATAGGGTTATAAAAAATAAAAATATTTTTATAAGTATTTAATAAAGTTTTAAAGCTAGGGGGGGTATATTTTTACTTTTAAAAATATAATTTTTTTTTATTTACTTTACTAGTAACAAGGCGTGAGGCATTTAGATTATATTTATTAATAAGTAGTAAAAAAAAAGTACTTAACTTTTTAAAAATAATATTATAGGTAGTAATAACCTACTTTAATTTAAGGTTATAAACTTTATATAAACTTTTAAAGTATTTAATAAAGCAGCCCTTAGTTATATAAAAATTAATTTTTATTTTATATATTTTTTTAAAAATAAAATAAAAGTATTTATATTTTAGCGCGCGCTAGTAAAAAATATTAAGTTATATTTTATTAAGTGCTTTATAAGGTGTTTTACTAATAGTTTTATAATAAAAATAGTTATAAATATAAATAATAGCAAAAACTAGGTGATTTTAAAAAAACTTTAAAAGTTTATTTTTTATTATAATAAATATAACTAGTTTAATAATATAATAATTTTTTACCTTAATAATTAGGTTTAGTATTAAGTAATATCTTAGTGCTAAATTAAAAATAATATTATAGTTTTTATAGTATAACTTAAGTAATTAATATTTTAAAGTATTATTATAGTAAATATACTTTATTTTTAACTTTAGTTATATTTATAGCTAGTTGCAAAGTTAAAGAAATTTTTTAAAAAGTTTTTTTTTTTATAATAAATACCTAGTAAAAGCAGGAGGCCTTATTAATAAATATAATAAAATATAAGGTGCTTGTTTACCCGTGTATTAATATAAGCCTATAAATATTTATATATATAATATTACCTAGCTAGTAACTAAAATTCCTAGTTAAATTTTATTTTACTAAAAAAAATATTATTTTTTTATTAATAATATATAGCTTGTATTATTTAACTAGTAGGCCTTTATATAATTTAAGGCTAATAATATATTAAAAAAAATTTTAATCTTTTTTTTAAATATATAGGCAGCCTGTTAATAAGCTAAATATATAAAAATTATTTTATTAAAAACCTTTACCCTAGCTACTATTAAACCCTTAAGTAAAATTATACTTTAATTAAATATAAAGGCATTTGCAAGCATGGTAATTACCTTAAAAAAAGTATTAATATTTAAATAAAAATAGTAATAAAATTTAAGTAAGATAATATATGTAACTAGGGATTTATACTATATAAGTTTAATAATAATATTAATATTAAATATTATATAAATATTATTATTTATAAGCTATTTAATTAATAATAAATTATAAGCTAAGCTAGGCGTGTATTAAATATTTTTTAATAAAAAACTTTTAATTTATTATATACTAAACTTATTAATAACTTTTAATATAATATTATTATATTTTTTAGTAAAGAACTTGCTATTATTAGCTATTTTAACTAAAACTTTAATATATTTAAATAATATAAAGTTATGCTTAAAGTATGTTATATAATAAAAGGCGCTGGAGTTAAGTATTTAATTATTATTAATAACTAGTTTAATATTTACATAAGTTAATTTAATATAAAGATTTAGCTTATTAGTATTAAAATCTAGTAGTTATATAAACACGAAGTTTGTGTATATAAAGTTAAAGTTAATATTAATTATATTAGCGCCTAAAAAGGCCTGTAAAGTATTAGGTAAAGGCGCTAAGGGGGGACCTTAAGTTAATTTTTAAGCTAATTATTATAAAGTACTAGCAGTAGTATTTTTTACCTATATAATATTTATAAAGGCAAAGGCACCACGGCCTTTTTTACCTTTTTTTTTATAGTATTTAAATCTACTGCCGCGGCCTTAATAAGCGCTAGTACTAGTACCTTTAAAGTTATTATCTTTATTTTATAACTAGGTGTTTGCTGGATTTTTAATATAAATAAAAAAAAATAATTATTATATAACTAGTAATATATACACTATATAATACTATAATTCTTAATAAAAATAAAGTTATTATAACTAGGGCAGCTAGTAATATTAGTAATATAATAAGTAGTTTTAAATATTTATATTTAATTAAGTTTAAACTATAAAAAAAGTAAATAAATATTATTAATACTTTAATAAAATATTATATATAGCTAAGTAATAAAGGGCTATATATTATATAAGCTAAAAAATATTATAATAAAAAAATACCATATAACTTATTAATTAAAGGTTTAAATAATTACTAGCTTAGTAATAGTATTCCTAAATTTTATAAAAAATTATTTTAGTTATTAATTAATATATCTTATTATATTAAGTATTTACTAGCTTTTTAAAAAAAAACCAGTACTAAATAAGTTATATAGCTTTTATAAGTAGTAAAAGGCTTAGGTAATACTTTAAAGGCTAGAAATTTAGTTTATATATGATATATAAAGTATTAATTATAAAAATAATAATAAAAAAAGTTATACTATATTTAGCGCCCTTACTTTACTTTTATTTTAATATTTTAAAAAGTTTAAATATTAATTTAGTTTTTAATAATAACCTTAGTAACTTAATTTTAAGCTATATTATTTTTATTAATATATTTTATAATAATAATAGCTTGCTTTAGTAAATACTTATAAAAAAAAATTTTTAATAATAATAGGCTAAAAATAAGATATTTTAAATTAAAGTATAATTTTAAAAAATTTATATTATAAATAATAGTTTTTTTAATTATTAAGCCATGTAATAACTTTATAAAAATTAAAAATAATAATAATAATATTAATTATATTATAAATAAATTTTTATATAGCCCTAATATATAGGGGTGGCATAAAAATTATATAAAGTAAGTAATTAAAAAAATTATACTAGGTAGTTAAAAATTCTAATACTATATAAAAATATTTTTAACTTAATAAATATTTAAAGTAAATAAATTTTAAAAAAGGTAATAATAAAAAAAGTAATTATATATAAGTAAATATAATATTTTAATAAAAGAAGCTACCTAGGGCATATAACCTTTTAAAAATAAAAGCTTAAAAATTATATTTAGCTAGGCTATAATAGTAAAGCTATACATAGTATAGCTAACTAAGCTAATAGGCAAGGGCTATAGTGGGGCGAGTAGTATACTACGCTCCGACAGGTATACTTCATTCCAATCACCAACTCAGCAGAAAGTCGATCTACTGTCGACTGATGCTTAATCGACTTCGCCTTGTTGAGGGTACGGTATCCCGATCACCTGTCGGGATTTCAGACCAAGGAAGATGCGACTGAATGGATGCTCGTCCTTGTAATAGCAAAGCCCAGTCTGGAGGAGGCCATTGCTAGAGATTACCGTGCCAGCAGTTAGCTTCTTGGAAGCGACGCCGGCCAGTTTGCGCTGCCGCTTTCCCACGAACGTAACTGGCTCATCGCCTTGATCAAAGCCCTCTGCACTTGCCGTCAGTGTTGTATACCGGCCGCTGTACTCATATGCTCGAGCTGCGGGTTGCGAATGTGAAGCAAGTCCACTGCTGGTGTAAAGCAACGGGTACAGCGGACCTTTATGGCAATTCGATCGTGCCACGATGGGAGTGGGACCTCCAGCTTTACAGGGTCAATGGTAGGGTACTCTTCAGGCCATTTGCGTCGTTGTCAAAATGGTTTCCGTCCCATGATGGCTCGTTTGGCTTCGGTCTTTCGTACGCCCAGGCAGCAGAAGTACCGCTGCCCAGTCGCGGGATGCTGGAACAATCAAAGGTTCGCAAGGTTGTGATATCTATGTAAAGGTTCCGATGGCGCACAGGAAGAAAACAATCATGAATGCAAATCTTACTAGATATTGAACATTACTTTTTGGATCCTGTATTTTTTTTGCACGCACATACGAACATCTATATTCCGGAAGTACATATTTACAGTCCCCGTCTTTTCTTTCCAAAGAAATGTCATGCAGGAAGGTAAATTCTCCCCTCCGTCACCAGAGCTGCTTGGCCAGCGAGGGAAATCATCGATATGCCATCGCCGCGGTCATTCAAGAATACCTCGACAGTGATATAGCTCTGCCGCCCGATTTCCGATCCCTGGTCGATATTGTATTTGTACTTCCCATTTGCTCTGCCGTCCTGGAGCGCTAAATATGCGGACAAGCTGGCGGAGCCACTGCCACAGGCGGGATCCTCCAGGTCAATCGCAATCATGCGGACACGGAGGTCTTGGACCATTGTACCTTGATCACTGTGTAGAGGTGAAGTCCGACGGTAGTACATCGTACCGGCAAACGACGGCCTCCATCCATCATCCAGATCGATCGCAGGGCTTTTGCCTGCGGTGACCGCAGCAAAGATATCCGGCGTATCGGTCAGATCCGCCAGGACGTAGGAGACGCCTTTGACAATGGATAGAACTGGATATTGGGCTTGCAGGCGAGCTCGCGCCGTGCCCTCTGAGAGACATTTTTGGGTATCAAGAAGTCTTTGCACAGGGACTGGCTGGCTGTGCAGATGCACGTTGTGTGGGATTTCGGCGGAAACGGTTTGACTGGGAGCGTCAAATTGAATGACAACAGGTCCAGATTTGGTCATGATAGTTCGTGGATCATATTCCTTCGTGGCTGGGACAGGGAGATCGTTAAGCAGGCCTCGAAAGAGAACATGCCCGAGTCCAATAACCGGATGGCCTGCGAAATCCATCTCATTCACGGGGGTGAAAATCTCAAGTCTCGGGGGTTGTCTTGGATCGTCATAATAAAGGAACACGGTTTCGGAAAAATTGAATTCCCTCGCGATTGATTGTTTATCTTTCTTCGACAGCTGATCTCCCTCAATCTTCACCACAGCCAACTGATTGCCAGAAAATGCTTGGGCAGTGAAAACGTCGAGGGTGACTATGAGCCGATCAGCTTCCCCGTACCCATTTGTTCGGGGTTATTGTTGACAAACCGTAGGATGCAAGTTCTTGCGCCATGCTGAGACAGGATGCAGTTTGCGTTGGCAAAGGGAGCAGGAGGGCTATGAAGGAGGATGTGATATATAGCAGATAACAGGCCAGTGAATCATTGACTCGAAAAGACGGCCGATGATAGCCGGAGCGATACCGGCATTTGAGCGACGTCTGACACAGGGCGCGGCCCACCCAGGCAGCCGTATCACAATCGTGTACTCTGTGTACCTATCTGATTGGCCGGCCAGGGAATTCGTGGTGGTGCTAATCCTTTTGGAGGAATCATAACTGCGCAGGTACTCCACCCATGCTTCAGTTATCTCCAGTACCTCTGTTTCTGCACTCTCCTAGATCATAGAGTTGTCTTTTTCACAAAAACCAGGTAACCCTCGAACTGACACCAAGCTTGGGGAATGACCCTGAGATGCTCTGGCAGTTGGAGTTTCTCCACCTCGGCGATCACATCGGGGTTTTGCATTACTATTTCCTGGATGGCACCAACTTCGAAGAAGTCTAGCTTGCCATGGTATGTAGGACTCGTCCGCTCTGTTCGCTCGGTAAATTTCTCCGTGATGTTCGCGACCGAGGTGACGAAGGTTCCCTACAGAGTAGTCAACATCACATAATAATTCAAAGGCGAACCTCGGCACACCTACCTAGCCATTGAAGTGCTATGCAGCAAACGCAATACGCAGGATGTATGGAAGAGAAGTGCCATTTTGCTCTGTGCTAAAGGGCTTTTGGATAAGGTCTCTGTGCGGCCCGTCTAGTGTGATGGTTTTAAAAGCAGGTATCTGGTCTCGGTGCAGCTGGCGGATAAGTAAAGCTTGCTCTATGATCTCACCCGCGGCGAGATTGAGAAGTTGCTGGATTGTCATGGTGCTGGGCTTTGATTGTCTAGATGAGAACTGACATTCATAGTCACATTCTTCATCGCCACTTCCAAGAACAATGGACATGGACATTGCCGGCATGAGCTGAAGTTCGTGCCTTGCTATCTATAAGATCACTAACTTGATAGAATGGTAGGGGGTGAGCGAAGGGGTGCGCTGCATATATCCTTAACAGTCATGACCGGAGAGAACAGGCTAGAGTCTGTAAGCCCCCATCCTCCTCGTTTTTACCTTGAGATGGAAAAGCTGATCAATCTCATCAATCGAACGCCCCTTGAGCTCAGGGATATAGAAGAAGCTCCAAACACACGCAACTGCACAAAGGGCACCAAAAACAAATCCAACTTTGCCCTGCAGGTTGCCCTCATCAGGGTTTACCATATACGGGTTGGCAAAATTCATTGCAACGCCGAGAATCGACTGTGTGGCGGCGGCCAACCCCGATGTCTTGGCTCGTAGTGCGGCACTGCTTGTCTCACCGAGAATCGTGTATGCCATCGAGCCGATAGTGGCAAAATAGACAAAGTTGTAGATAACCGTTGCTGCGGCTTGAACCCATTGCGCGCCGTTCGCTGGAATGACATCCATGATTCCAATGAGAAGGAGCAAAACAAGCAGCGAGAACATGCCTGTAAGAAAGACAGTGCGGCGGCCGAGAGAGTTGACCACAAACCAGCTCACGATATTCCCGGCGACACCGCAAGCAGTTACACCAACGCCGAGGTTGAAGCTTTCTGTCTCAGGAAGGCCGGCGAGTTGAAAGAAATAGGTGGAGTAGCCAAGGACAAAAATAATACCAGCGGAGTGCTGGCAGACAAACACTCCCAGACTAATCGACGTGCGCAGTAGATCTGTCCCACGGAAACACTGCGCCCAGGTGGCCGAGTGTTCTGAGCTCTCGCGCTCGAAGACCACTGTGCATTCGATAGAGGCGGCTTCAGCCTCGACGTCGACGTTAGGGCCGTAGAGGCGGCGCAGGGAGCGTAACGCATCTTCGCGGCGGCCTTTGCGGACAAGGTGCCATGGCGTCTCAGGTGAGAAGGGTAGGAAGGCGAGTAGGAACACGATAAAGAACAATTGGATCGCGAACGGGGCCTGGAATCCCCAGCTATCAGATCGGGAGCCAAACGCTCTAATCACCGCGCTGGACAGGAGTTGGCCAATAGCAATACCCAAGTTAACGCCGGATAATGCGACGCCACGGAGTGCGACGGGCGTCAGTTCAGATATTGTAAGGGGTGCCAGTGTAAGCATAAATCCAAGTCCACATCCAAGGAGGATCTTAACTGCAACAAACCCGCCGCGAGCAAGTGTAAACATCTCGCCAAGAATGCCGCCTGTCAGGAGCATTAATCCAACAAACAATGTCCATTTGCGCCCGATACGATCGGCAAGCCAGGAGCAAAAGAAGGCACTGAAAAAACCTCCTACACTAGTCACTGTGTTGAACGCCGACTGCCAGCTGGCAGGCAGAATAGCCTCGCCATCTTGTACATATCTATAACTAATTAGCTCTCTGTCGGGGTGAATGCGTATAATAATACCCAAAGGCACGACGGAATGATTCAATCGATATGACAGCCCCGTTGATCTGCGCATCGAACCCCCTAACCTGGTCAATTGCAGTCCAAGCACTCAAAGCCCAGTGGAGTCTTACCAGGCTACAGCGGTCATTCCCCAGTAAAAAGCCCACCATATCACAGCCGGGTGTTTCACCACGAGCTGGCGGAGGGTGAGTTTGTCCATTGCGGTCGGCTCGTTGCCTGCATTCTCGATACCGCCAGCAGCAGCCTCTAGCTTGTCCTCGTCCACAGCCACACCATCGGGCCTCTGTTTGACATCCATGATAATAAATGAAAGACTGGAAGATCGGAATAGTGTGTATTGAGTCTATGTAAAGTGCGGCTTTCTGGGACAGGGTCTTCGCAACACGGCAAACCCCATAGTATATAATCCCTCTTGATACCCCACACGACGGAGACCTGGGGTAATTAGGCTGAATGGAATGGTTTTGCGGGGAGCCGAGAGCATCATGCAACGTCAAAGTCATTCTCCAGGAATCAGCCGGCCACTTCACGCGGGTTCTGGATATCATTCTGGCTCGACCGTAGGTAACCGTTACAAAAGCTGGTTGACTGTTGATGGAAGGTCATAATGGCGGCGCCGTACGGTAAGCTATTAGCTTGGCATATCACTAGCGAGCGGGGGTTTCCCCGTACTGTGGCCTAAGGCAACAACGGTTGCCTCAGGTGACCACGTTGCGGAACGGTTCCCCAGTGTTCTCCATGGCACGTTGTCATCAACGCGCTCATCAACGCGAAGATGTTATTAGCAAGTATCGAGCAAATACAAGAACTCTCTTTTCTATACTGTTTCATCTCTTAAGGACTACCGGTCCGTCAGGCCGAGTATTACGCAAGTTCGAATTTGTCTTCATTCTACCTAGTGGATGTCTCACGGGCAACACTCCCTGATCCTCCGACCCCGACATGCTGCGTGGTTTCCAGGCTTTACTTAAGACCGAGGCTCCCCGACTCCTTCCCCCACATTCCTTGCCTCCCTTGCTCAACAAATCATCTCTCCTCCATGGCAGAAAGCTCGGATTCCTCCAGGCGCAAGCGACCTTTCCCAAGGGGCACCGCCTTCTATCCCCGCAAAAGAGCCAACACCGCATGCCAGGTGTGCCGAGCCAGGAAAACGAAATGCGATAACCTCAAACCAACTTGCTCATACTGCCTCAGTGTTGGAGCTACCTGCATTCAATCGGCTGCCGACCTCTCAAGCTTCGATCCGGCAAGCCTCAGGATTCTGGAACGGCTCGATGAGCTCGAGCGGATTGTGCGCCAGCAGCATGAAACTAGGTCGGCAACCACGGCGGTTGTTAGCCCAGCAAGCCTGCCTTTGCCACCGAGCATTCACCAACCTGATCATCAGCCCTTCTTGGCATCGGCGCCTTTGCGGCTTAAACAACTTCTTTGTGTTGCAGTCGAGCCCCCTGAACGGTTACTACGGCTGCCTGTGTTCGCCGGGTTTCGATCTTTACCGGAAGCGCCGTTGATTGAGGGTCCCCCAACCAGGCGTATACCCGTCCATATGGAGCGACAGGCTTCATTTGCCGGTTGCGACACAACTTTACCCGGTGGCATTCATACGCTTCTAGATAACTTCTTCGAGTACGTGCACTGCAAGAATCCGGTTTTGGAGGAAGCACCGACTCGGCGGCTGGTCTTGGCCGTGTCCCTCGAGGGTCCCGACTGGTCGGCGAGATCTTGTCTCGCTTTACTTGTCTGTGCTCTAGGGACACTTGCCACGCCATTTGGAGAGAATCCGCCCACAGACACCGGACCAGGAAGCGCCCGATATGCCGACGCGCAGGCATTATTCCAGGCCGCACAGCGCCGCATGGGCGTTTTGCTGGTATCAACGCGAGAAGAAGATGATCTTATAGCGTCACAGTGCTTACTTCTGTCGGGGCTATATCTAATGTGTATACTACAGCCGTTTCTCGCCTGGCGTTTATTCACGCAAGCCTTAGCTGCTTGTCAGCGATCCCCCTTTCTACGGCGCATGTACGCCAGGGATGGGCATGAAAGTGCTGTCCTTGCCCCACACGGTGCACCTTCAGCCCGCGAGACTCAGGAATTAGCCATCTACTGGTCAGCATGGAAATCAGAGCGCGAACTTCGTCATTGCTTTCAGTTACCCGACTTCCCCGCTGCCGGGGAAACAGGAAGCTATCTCTATCCGCGATTGTTTCCGACTCCACCGGCCACAGTATCAGATGACCTTGTGGGTGAGCATCGTCAGCGATCCTCATGGCTATTCTACTTAGCCGAAATATCTCTCAGACGGCTCATGAGTCGCGTGTGCCGTGAGATCGCCGCTCTATACAGCAGTATGACTTCGGCAGCGGCCCACGCTGGGAACACCGAGGACGCAGATACCGAATTCCTGGTTCAACTAGCCCTTCTCATCCCCGAATACGAAGAGCAGGGCCGCCGGTGGGCTGGGAGTCTCCCTGTCGAGCTTTCTCTCGAGGCTCCACCAGCGGATGATAATGTCTGCCGGTTTGTCCTGCGAGGGCACTACGCAGACTTCCGCGAAGTCCTCTACTGGCCCTTCTTAGCACATTGGCTTGGGTGCCGCTACTCAGTAGGCCCGGACCAAAGCCACCCAGCATCCTCGCCTTTCCTACCTTCGCCCACTGGAAGCCTCTCATCATACCGCGCCCCTCCATTGACAACGAATTCATCCACACCTCCTTCCTGGAGCTCTACAGCAGACAAACTTGTAGAGCGATGTCTTGAAACACAAATTGAACGAATCCACATCAACAAAATGGGATTTCGGCATCGACATCACGGTACCTTGCTTCTCATATGGACATGCATTCGCGGTGTATTAATTCTATTCGCCGCCAAACTGAACGGTCTGCGCATGCCGAGCGGGTGGCAAGATGCAATAGCTTGTGTTCCAGACGGGCTTCTGGGTGTTTGGGAGAATGAGATGCCCTGGCTGGGGTCTTGGAGAGAGTTTATCGAGGACGTGCTGCAAAGGTGTTCATAATATCCCCTGGCCAGTCTAACCTGGTGTATATCCATTGCCCTTCCTAGTTCTCTGAAGGATATATCTGACTGGACTCAAGTCTGGAAGTGCTTCGAAAGGGCTAATTATGCATATTTACAACGACAAGAGCCCGGCAGCAGCCACAATGGACAGGCAAAATCCCGTCGTTTAGCCGGAATATGCCGGCTAATTAATGGAATTGCAGTAATGAATTGACGACGTCCCAACAAGAACTGTCGTCAGTCGGCTCCGCAGTTTGTGTTGGCCCGAGTTTGAGTCCATCGTCGTCGGGGAAGTTCGCTCGAACCATGATCAACAAGCAAACGTCGTCCATCGAATGGCGAACGTCATCATCTTTCGCGTTTATAAAAGGCAAGAAACAGCAACAGCATGGAAGCTCTGTCCCCCAAGATCATCTTGTTCTGTGTCGTATTCACCCATCAACTCTATCACCAGCACCATGGCCTCCCCAAGACCCCTTGCCCCATGCACTGTCCTCCGCACCTCCGGCTCCAACATCGTCAACCCGGCCGGCGAGACCGTCATCCTCAAAGGCGCCGCCATAGGCGGCATGCTCAACATGGAAAACTTCATTACCGGCTATTCCGGGCACGAACACGAACACCGCGCGCAAATGGGCTCCGTTCTGGGCCCCGAGAAGGCCTCATTCTTCTTCGACCGCCTCCTACACCACTTCTTCACCGAAGCCGACGCCGCGCTCTTCGCATCCCTAGGCTTGAACTGCCTCCGGGTCCCGTTCAATTACCGGCACTTTATCGACGATATGAACCCCGACGTCCTCAAAGAAGATGGGTTCAAATGGCTTGACCGTGTCATCTCCCTCTGCCGAGCCCAAAACATCTATGTGATCCTGGACCTTCACGCCGCCCCCGGCGGTCAAAACCAAGATTGGCATTCCGACTCGGGCCTCGGACGCGCAACATTCTGGGACTTCAAAGACCACCAGGACCGCACGATCCAACTCTGGCGGGAAATCGCATCCCGGTACGTGGGGGAACCCGTCGTGGCAGGGTACAACCCGCTCAATGAACCCGCCGATCCCACCCTCACGGGATCCGGCAAAAACGGCGCGCGACTCCTAGCTTGGTATAAGCGGGCCGAGCGCGCAATTCGGGCTGTCGATCCAGACCATATTTTGTTCCTGGATGGGAACACGTACTCGATGGACCTTACTGCGTTCGAGGAGGAGCCGCCGCTGCCGAATGCCGTTTACTCGATTCACGATTACAGTACGTTTGGGTTCCCGGGGTACGAGCAGTATGCCGGGACCGAGGCGCAGAAGGCGAAGTTGCGAAGCAGCTTGGAGCGGAAAGTGCGGTTTATGAGATCTGTTGGGGTGCCGATTTGGAACGGGGAATTCGGGCCTGTGTACCAGGATCCGCGTCGTGATGGGGCGGAATCCGCGGGCAGGGATAACGCGGGTCGGATTGCGTTGCTGGAGGAGCAGTTGAAGCTTTACCGTGAGCAGGGCGTGAGCTGGTCGATTTGGTTGTATAAGGATATTGGGTATCAAGCGATGACATATGTTGATCCGGACTCCGCCTATCTGCGCTTGATCAAGCCGTTCTTGGAGAAGAAGCAGAAACTGGGGCTGGACTTCTGGACGATTACGGGGCGTGATGCGGTGGCGCCGATTTATGACCAGTTTTTCACGGCGATCAAGGCCATGGTTGATGAGCGGTTTCATAAGGTCAAGTATCCGAAGACCTGGACGTTTGAGAGACAGTTTGAGAGAGTGATCAGGGAGATGCTACTGAGTGAGTATGTGGGGTGGGAGTATGCTGAGTTGTTCAGGGGGAAGAGTGAGAGTGAGCTGGAGGAGTTGGCGGCGTCGTTCGCGTTGGAAAAATGTGTGCTTAGAGAGGAGTTGAATGAGGTTTTGCGGAGGGATGCGGCGTTGTAGACGCTATTACGCTGTGCTGTTTTCTGCTAGCTAACTCGAGCTTCGAGTTGATATGAGTGTTGTTCTGAGTGCTTTGACATTGGTCACCCTTTCCCGAAGACGGTCTTAAATGATATAAAGGATGTGTTACAGCCGCTGAATAAACTCTCAGTTTATCATATAAAATGTCGTGCGATTATCAGGTTCGGTTCGAACAGTGTTGGAGTATGTATCGCAGGCTGTCCGAACGAGAGAGCATGAGCAACAACTACAGGCTCTTACCATGCTGGCCTCCGGAGGGGCTCCCAGCAGGGCGAGCCGCGCCACCCAAAGCGTAGGCAGGTAGCGAAGATCGGCCAGCGTAGGCTGGCCAGTGGAGGGCAAGGAAGCTCGTCACGTATCCTCAGCTTAACTGAGTCCGAGCCCCTCCAGCCCCAAACATCCACATATCCTATTCGCAGGATCCCACTTCCTCCTAATCTCTGTCAACCGCGTCCGCTGTTCTTTCCCCCAATACTCCGCGCGCCGCGACCGGAAATCCAACTCGCCCAGGTACGAGCCAACAGACTGCGCACCAACCGACTCCATAATCTCATCGACCCACGCTCGAGATCTCGAATCCCCACTCTCATCTTCCCAAACGGCATAGACTGCGAAGTAGTGATCAGAATGCAGACTCAGCGCCATATCCGGCAAGCCTCTTCGACTAAGCGGGATCATAGAGCTCCAAAGCGCGAGCGATTTCCGAGTCGGTAAGGTGGTGAAGGCGGGTTGGAGAATGGCTGCGACATCGACGTCGTTGCGGACAAAAGCGTTGTCGACGTACCAGCGGTGGCCAGTAGGGTAGGCTTTCGCTTTGAACTCGAACTGTTCGGCCAGGTTGGTTTCCTGGCAGAACCAGTGAGATACTGCGCCATCTGGGTGGGAATTCTCCACGCCTTGGAGGAGGGTCTTTATGGGATCTTCGTCATCACCGAATGCGAGAAGTGCGATTGTAATGCAGGGGGTCTCGATTCCGGTTTGATAGCTCCCGATAGCCACGATCTCGATACTATGCTCGAATGTTGCGGCGATCTGCCATTGTCAGCATGAACCAGCGTAGAGACGCACAGAGGGAGATGTGCGCACTCCTAAGGCCCAGTTGAAAACCGTCGAATAATGCTCAACACTATAGATATACCCAGATGACCGCATAATACCAGGCGCAGGGAATGTGCGCAGATAGAAGCGCGTAACAATCCCTGGAAAAGCCGGTCCTCCGCCTCGCGCAGCCCAAAAGAGATCACTGTTCTGGTGGGCATCGGCTCTCTTTCGTTCTCCCGCGGCAGTAACCACGTCGACGGCAACTATATGCTCACATGCCCATCCCAGGTTCTATGGAACCACGGATGCCGAGTTAGCGAGTATGTCCATAGAAGACGACGCAGGCACTCACAGGCTGGTTCCAGCCCATCCCACCACCAAGCAAATACCCTCCAACCCCAACATCCGGACAATGCCCGACAGGAAAGAAGCGTCCTCTCGCTAAGAGGAAATCATGCAGTTCCCGCCCGGTAACACTAGGTGAGACGCAGGCGACGTCGTTCTCGTCAAGGCCGCATTCCCGGTAATCACCGAGATCAAGCAGAATGGCGTGGCTTCGCACGCTCCAGGCGGCATAGCTGTGGCCTCCGGCGCGGACGGAGATGCGGCAGTTCTTGGAGATCGCGAGGTTAACTGCGTCGACGACGTCTTGCTCGCGACGAGCAGAGGCGATGGCAAGCGGGAATCTGGCGGGGATGTCGGTGTTGAAGAGTCGCTTTGTTCGCTCCTGCTCGTAGTTCTCTTTGCTTGGGCCGTTGCGCCAGACGATTTCCATATTTGGGAGATAAAAGGGGATGTTTTTGTTGGATGTGATGGAGGGATTTGTCTGACGTGAGGGGTACCGTAGGTAGTCTCCAAGCAATCAGGTGACTTGCTTGGTACGTATAGAGAGTAGGAGAAGAATAAAACGCCAGCTATATAACCCGAACTACTCCTAATGACATTTGTACGTACCTCCTGATGCGTATACGATGCTGTCGATTAATCTCAAATACTTCTTTACTAAGTCGTGCTTGTCTGGCTATACCTAAGTTCCTAGGGTCCTGGCTCTAGCGTTCGATCAACACATTTATGCCCAGATGAGAGCCTTCCGACACCAAAGCTCAAGGGATAACTGTAAAGGTTCCCCTCGCCCTGAGATCCCTGCTCGAGAATCCAACTGAAGCCTTCACCTCTCCTTGGGGAATGGTCCATTCCTGGTTGATCACGTCCCAATGACTGAGGTCCCTCCTGTTTAAAGCGAAAGTAACTGTTTTCGACCCCCCAGGGTCAAGGCGCACTTTCTCAAAGCCGCGCAGGATGTTTGTTGCTTCGACATACTCTCCCTGATTTTCATGAGGAGGAAGCGTCAGGTAGAGCTGAGGCACTGCGGCGCCGGCCACCTCTCCAGTATTCTGGACCGTAGCTTGGATTTCGTACAAGGTATCCCAGAGGCTTGGGTTTCCACCAGGTGCGATAGGGGCAGAAGGCGGAAAGGGGGAAATCGTCCCGTTTGTAGAAAGAGGCGTTATGGTGAGTTTCCTGCTCATGTTGAATGTTGTGTAGGAGAGACCGTACCCGAACTCGTACTGCACGGATTTGTTGTAATGGTTGAAATGGCCTGATATGATCCCAACAGTCAGTTCCAAGGGCTTGAAGTAGGTTGGGGGTGTGTATACGCACGATAATCAATCAACGCCCCCTCCTTGAAATCCGACTGCCACGCTGTCGGGTCATTTGTTTTCAGCAACTCAGTAGAGTTTGTGATAGGGGCGAAGTCATAGTCCCACTCGTTCTTGGCAATGGTATATGGCAGACGTCCGGACGGATTAACATCGCCCCAAAGGACATCGACGATGCTATTGCCTGCCTCCTGGCCAGGTAGATGCGCTGCGAGGATAGCAGTCACGTTGGGATGGTCAGCCCAGGGCATGGTGTTCACGCCGGCGGAGTGCAGAACGACGACGGTGTTGGCACAGGTAGACGCAATCTTTTCAACCACTTCATCGCCGTTCCAATCCGAAGCCAGCGTTGTGCGGTCTTCGCTTTCCGTTGCCCACGACTTGAGGAAGACGAGGCATACGTCTGAAGACCAGGGAACCAGGGCTTTGAGGCTAATTAAATCTTGATTAGTCGATGGACACTTTTTCTTTATACTTTTGCGTAAAAATAAGAACTTACTATGGGCTATCCTCCTCCAGGATTGCAGTGTTATTCAGCACATACTGCACTAGCGCGTCTTTGGTATAGCCGACACGCAGTTTGATTGCGTCAAGCGGACTGACGGCGTAAGAGAATAGACCTGAGCCTGACCCTCCGCCCGTCGCCATGACGCCGTACTCGTAGTTGCCCACGCCATTGAACCACCAGACAGACATGCCATTAGTAAAGTCGCCGGCATCGTTCCCGAATACTGCAACCCGCTTTGGGTCTTTAAGGGGTAGTGCTCCGTGCTTGTTTTTCAAGAGGACGGTTGCTTCTGCTGCTGATCTGCGGATGGAGGCGCCGTGGTTGCCGCGGACGTCGATGTTGGGCTCGGCGCCGAACGTGTAGTTGAACTGGCCTTCGTACTCATCGGCTGCAATCACTTCGGTTAGGACTCGACGAGCATCTGATGACAGAGACACTCACGCGTAGAAAAAAGGACCGAGTTGAGCTCCTTCATACTAGGGTCAATAGGCGGGAAGTCCTGGTCTTGCTTGAGATGAAAGTAGGGCGCCATGACACGGCGAAGCATGTCATCAAGACGATCAGATGAGACTGAGCCATTGTTCACTGCATTAGTTAGGTTCTGGTGAAAGAAAAGCGGATAGTCTGGAGTCCCAGGCATATCCATATCCTCGCCGGAGTTGACGGCCGTGACGCCGCTGTGGGTCGCGCCCCAGTCGGACATAACATAGCCCTGGAAGCCAAAGTCGATTTTCAAAATGCCGTTTAGAGCCTTGCTGTTTTGGCAGCCGTATGTTTGGTTCAAGCGGTTGTAGCTGCACATTACCTAAAGGAAACAGTCAGTTAGCGCATCGGTAACCGGGTAATGCATGCATTGGATTGTTAGACCTACACTCCCGACGCCGGCCCTAACAGCCTGCTGAAACGGCCATAGGTACAGCTCATGCATTGTCCGGTCATCAATGTTCGACGAAACACTGTCAATCTTAGTTCCGTCTTCATTTTCACTCGGCTGCCTCTGAGTCTCCTGCTCATTCCCAATAAAATGCTTAGCACAGGCCTGGACTCCTCCATCTTGGATACCCTCAATTGTCTGCGTAAACAGTTCGCCTGTTAAATATGGATCAGGCGAGAATCCCTCGAAGTTTCTACCTCCAAGCGGTGATCTGCCTAAAGGCCCAGCCACAGGCCCAAGAAGAACATGTGCTCCTTTGGCTTTAAACTCGGCTGCCATCTGGCTTCCTCGCTCGTATGCAACATCTTTATCCCAGGACGCAGCGATACTAACGCCAGCGGGAAACACCGAGGAATAACTGCCTTGTTCGAGCCCCAATGGGCCATTTTGGATGCAGAGGCCCGTAAAGTTGAGCCGCGGAATGGGCGCAATATTACCGACGCAGGGACCATGCACTCCACTGACCATCAACACCTTCTCCCCGAGAGTAAGTTCCGAGACAAAGTCAGATGCTAAACCAAACGCTTCTTCCCAACCGCGGCCATCTGCAGAAGCTATTGCGTGGTTAGGTAGGTACTTCCAGGCGCTGAAGAGTGGAGGCAAGGTAATTTGACTTACGATGCGGGATCTCATCAGCCGTTGGACTGTGCAAGTAGTCATCGTGATTCCAAGCCAGTGAGTTTGTGATAGAAAGGGACACAAGCGCGACCAAAGCTGAGGGCTTGCTGAGAACCATCTCGCTGTTGACTTGATCGAGCAAATTGGGAGCAAGGAGCATGGTGAGAGTCTATCTTTTATAGACCTTCCGCTCAATGCCAGTTTGACATCATTGTACTAAATTCCCTTGCGGGCCGGTACAACTTCGGCAACCTATCACTTTGGGATGGTAAATGGAATACTTCGGAGTAGATGACTGGGTCTCCCTAGCAGCAGACTATAGGAAGTGCAACGGGCCACGGTCCACGACATACCTTGCTTCCCCACAGAACCTTTCCCCAAACCCCATTTTTACCTTTTCTCCAAGTTGTGGAGCCAAGAGTCCGTCATACGTCCTTCTCCAAGGTTCTCGCGAAGAAGTATTGATGGAGTGCATACAGGCTTGTATGATTCTGGGTAGCATTCTCTGAAACCAGCTATTTCTGGGTGACATGCTTACCCGGGTAGGCACTAGACCTTCTCTCAGGCACGGAAATATTGCTGGGACAGGTTTACTTACCCACTGGCAACCCTAGATCATGAACTTTGACCACATAAGCTCATCGGCCATTGAAGCCACAAAAGGCTTCGCGAGCGCGAGCTCGGAGATTCACCGATAGTCTTTTCGCATTCCTTACTCCAAGTCGCGCTGCCCTTTGACGATCTTCACTGACGATGATGATGCCACAGTCCCGCTTGCTGGCTTGTATACCCAATTAGGAAAATAAACCAGCACTGAGGCCTGTCTCGGTGGAGCAGCACTAACCAAGATGAATTCTTGCAACCGCGCTTGAGTGGGAGAACCGGACTATGGCTGGGCCCTGTGCTATCTCCTGGCGCGGTTGAAGCTGAATATTTTCCAGAGGCTCGGGCCTACCAAGCTGAGCATAATAGACGAGCTAGAACATGTCCGACGACAGCGCAGGAGGACCAGGGCGGAAAAGAGCAAGATTTCGACCACAATTTGACACAGGAGAGCCAAGATGATTCAGACTGGCGCATGTCGGTAAATCCGGTGCCACTGAGAAAGACAAGTCGGTAAGCCGTGAGTCCAATATTTCTTGAGGTTGAGAAAACTGAGATAGGCATGGATATACTGGCAAATCGTCCAGCTTATCAGCATCTTCGTGGACAGGGGGACAGACAAAGGCGACTAGTTTACCTGAGAAGAAGCGATTGGGATCAAGAATCACGATTTGTGTTGATGGGCGATGCTGCCGTAGGCATCTGGAGAAAAGAAAAGCGGTGGCCCATGCACACAACGGGGCTCTTGGTTTGCAAAAGAAAAAGTTACACCTTTAATACTCATTCTATGAGGCCCTTTATATACCGTACTAACTAGTAAAGCTATTACATAAATACTATAAAAAAATAAAAAAAAGTCAGTTATTTTTTAAAAGCTAAAGCTACTTAGGGGTTTATATAAATATTTTAAGCCTTTAAAAACTTTTTAAAAATTAATTTTTTTGCTAAAAAAGTAAGGCTTTACTTATTTTATTATTTTACCTTATTTTATTATACTAACACGGCATGTAAAGGTATTAATAAATAAAAACTTTATTAAATTTTATTTTAATTAATACACCCTTTTAATATTTATTAAATACTTAAAATAAGGCTAAAAATATTTACTAAATTAAGTATTTTAATAAATTTATAATATTATTATTTAATAAAAGGCTTAATAAGGCTATTTATAATTATTTAATTAATAAAAGTTTATTTAATTTCAAAGTTTTTATACTAAACTTTTTATTAAAGCTATAGGTTATAAATATTAATATACTAAAATTTTAATTATAGCTAAATATTAAAATTAATAAGAAATATTAATAATTTATTTATTATTATATGATCTTAAAGAATAATATTAAAAATTAAATTATTTTGAATTAAAAACCTAGTATTATTAATAAATTATTTTAAAAACTTTAAATAAAGCTAGTAATTTTATTTTAATTATTAAAGTTATAATTAAATACTACTTTATAACTTTTCATTTAATTAAATTATTATATAACTTGTAAATATAGCCTATATTAAAAAAGTAATTAAATTAATTAATAAAAGCTATATTAAAATAGGCCTTATAAAAGTTATTATTTAAACTAAAGTATTTAAAAGCTATAAAGCATGTGTTATAAAAATAAGAAATAAGTTAATTTATTATATATTAATAATAATCTATTAAATTAACTAGGTATTTCAATAGTTAACTAATAATATAAAAAATATTTAAATAAGTAAAAATACTTATATATTTAATTAAGCTAACTTTAGACCTTATTTTCTTAATTTATTAAGGTATAGTAGTATTAAAGTTTAAATAAAGCTTATTAAAAAGGTTTTTTTAAAAATTAAATTATTATATTTAAGTAAAATTAATTTATAATTACTTTAATATAAAAGTCTTAGTATAACTAAATCTTGCGTTTTTCCCTATTCTAAAAAAATTTAAATTTTTAAAAACTATTTTACTTTATTAAGATACTAGAGCTTGTACTTTATTACTAGTTTTTTTAAAAAATAATTATAGTAGCTAACCCCTTTTTATAAAAAAATTTATAATAAAAATATTATTTATATAAATAAATAAAAATATACACTTACTAATATAAAGGCATTTCTTTTTAAAAACTATAATAAATTTAAATTTTTATAATATTATAGCTAAATTAAGATATTAAAGGTATAAAAACTTTTAAAGTTTATACATAATTTTAAAAACTTTTAATAGCTTACCCTATTACCTATAATTATTTAAAAAGTAAAAATATATTACTTTTTTGAAAATAGTATTAAAAAACATGTTAATAATATTTTTTAATTAAAATTAAAATTAAAAGTAATTATAAGTATTATAAGGGCTTAGAAATCCCTTGCTAAAATAATTATTACTTAATTTTCTTTAAAAAAAGATTTTAGTTTTGAATCTTTATGTATATAAATTTAAGCTTTAGCCTTAATAAAGTAGTTATTTATATTAAATTTATAGGTAAAAACCTATAATGAAAAAAATTAGCTTATTTTTTTATTTTTTTATTTACCACCTTTTATGCTTTTATTTAAAAAAAAAAGCTTTGAATTTAAAATTCAAAGCCTTTAAAAACTTATTATAAAATAAATAATTTTTAAAATTACTTTAATACTTAAAGAAAGTAAATTATTTTAATAAAGGTGTTTTTTATAGGGTTTTAATAAAAAGTAAAAAAAGTAAATTAAATATAATTAACGTTAAGTAAATTATTTAAAAAAGCTATAGCTTTATTTTTATTTAAATTATACTTATAATGATTAATATTATATTATTTAAACTTGCGCCTGGTTATTAGTAACCTAAAAAAAGTTTTTTTATTAAAATTATTAAGTTTTTTTACCCCCTAAGCGCGCTAAGCTTAAAGGCTAAAAGAAAATTAGGCATGCTTATTCATTTTTTTAAATAATTACTTACTAGCTAAATTAAATAAAAAATATCAAGGTGCTTAGAAAATTAAAATTTATTATTAAAATTTTTTAATTTTCAATAAGCTTTTAAAGCTATTTATAAAGCCAAGTTTTATATAAGGCTTTTATAATAATAAGGTTTAAAAATTAGCTTTAAAGTTAGTAAGTATAAAAACCTATTTAATTAATTAAAGGTCCCCTTTTTACTAGTAATATTTTTAATTTTACTAGTAGTATTTTAGGCCTTATTTTTTATATTTATTACTACCCTTAATACCTTTTTTTTAAAAAAAAAATCTTTACCACCTGTGGCCTATTTTTATTTAAAATACCCTTTTTTATTTATTTAAAGAATTTACTAAAGTCAAGGTTAAGGTTAATTTTCTTTAAATTTATAGTTTTAAAAAATATTAAGAACTTAGGCTGGAGGCTTTAATAACTTAATTTTAATATGAATAAAAAAAAGGTTTTTTAAATTATATAATTTAAACATATTAAAAATAAGATTTTTATAGGCACGTATAAGCTATTTTTTTAAAAAAACTAGATTTACTAAATATTTAAGATAATATAACCTAGTAAGTATTTTAATAAAGCCTTAAATTTATTTTATAAAAAAATTTTACCTAGGCCTGTTTAACCCAGGTAAAATAACTTAGTATTTAAATATTAAAAATATAGGGTTTTTTATTAGTAAAAGCTTTTTATAATATTTTTTATTTTAATAACTTAATAAAAATTTAATTATTAATATAAACTATAGCCTGTATAACCTAGGCTAAATATTAAAAAACATTTATAAAAAAATATTATTTTTACTTTTTTAATTAATATTTTATTAAAGCGTTTGGCTATATTATTTTAAAAAAAAGTATAAAAAGTAAACTAGTTTTAAAGTATACCTTAAAATATAATAAAATTAAGAATATTATTATTAAGTATAAGCTTATAATTACTTAAAAAAACCTTAAAAGTAATATTAAATTAAGTTTAAATAAGTTTAGTATATTACTTAATAATATTTTTATACCTACTTTTTTTTAAATAAACATAGGCCTAGTAAAACTTAGCATTTTTATTATAAAAATATATTACCTACTTTTTTTTATTTATTACTTTTTTTATAAAAATAAAATTAAAGTAAACTTAATTAAATAATATAATAGCGGGATTTTTAGGCCTTTTAAATATTTATTAAAAAACCTATTTATATTTATAATTATTATATTACTTAAGTAGTTAAAAACTAATAATTTACACTTTTTTAATTATAATAAGTAAATATTAAAGTATTTTATTATTAATATAGCCTAGGCGCTGGTAAAAAGTTTTAAAATTTTTTTAATATAAATTTTTTAAGTTAAGGTTTTAACTTTTTATTAAGTTAAGGTATTAGCCTTTTTTTACTTTAAGCTTTTTTTAAACTTAATTATTTAAAGGCTAAATAAGTAATTTTTAAAGTAAAATACTGGTTTACTATTCTTGGTCATTAAAGTATTAAAATCCTAAAAATATTTAGCCTTTTTAAAAGGCCTAGTTATTAAAATATTAATATAAAAGCTAGGTATAAAGGCCACCTTATTAAAAGTAAAAGGTATTATTTTATTATTTATAATTTTAAAATAAAAAAGTACTAATTCTATACCTTAAATAATAATAGTTATATTTTTTACTTAAATATTACCTTTTTTTTGATTAATTAAAAAAGGTAAAATAGCTAAAATTATTATAAATATAAATAAAGGCACTAGTATTAAAAATTACTAGTAAATATGGCTTGCTTTTAAAAACCTTATAGTATTAAAAGTAATTATTAAAAAAGTAGTATAAATATTTGCTAGCCTTTTAATTTTACTTACATTTATAAAAAAAATATATATAAATTATTTAGTTTTTCGCTGCAGTTAAGTTTTTATTTTTTTGTTTAAATAATATAATATATTTTTAATAATATTTAAAGGTTATTATAATATATAAAAATACCTTTAAAGTTATTAATAATAATATACTTACTTACTTTATTAATATTAATATTTACTATGTAAATAATAATATATACCTTTTTAAAAAATATTATATTAAAAATATTTTAAACTAATTTAGCCTAATAAAACTATAAAAACTTTATAACTTTATATAACTTTAAAGTTAAATTATAAAAGTTTAATCAAGGCTTTAATAAAAAAGATTTTTTTATATTTAAAATATATTAATATTTTTATTTAAATTTTTCTTAATATAAGTTATTTTAAAGCAAGCTAATTTATATAATAACTTTTATTAATAATATTATTAAGGCTTAATATATAAAGGCTTAATATTAACATGTTAATAATACTTTAAGACCTCTGCCTTAATATAGGCATTTTCTTTTAAAAAAATATTATTATAAAGGTTTTTATATATATTATGCAAAAAATAATTAAAATAATAAATTTTTATTTACTAAAGTATTTTAATAAATTAATTAAGTATTATATAAGCACTTATAAGCGAAGCCTTAAACTTTTTTATATTTATTAAATTTAAAAAGTGCTTTATAATAACTAAAGCCTTAGCCTTAAAAAAATTTATAATTAATAGTTTTTAGTTTTAAAATCTTAACTTTTTATATATTTTTAACACCCTTATATTTATTTTTTACTAAAAAAATAATAAAAAAAGGCCTTGGGGGGCTTTAAATTAATTAAAAAATTTTATTAAGTAAGATTTATTTAAATTTAAATATATAATTTAATTAATTAAAAAGGGGGGTAAAAAAGGCGTTAAGGTTTTTTATTAAAATAAGTATTTATAGTTAAGCATAGCGTAGTAAAAAAAAGTAAGAATTTATATTTTAAATAATATATTTTTATTAGTTAATATACATAGCTACTTAAAAGTTAAAACTTGCCTGTATTTAGTTAAGTTTAAAATATTAATTTTTATATAAAAAATTGAAATTTAAAAATATTAATTAATAATATTAATATATATTAAGTTTTTAAGTTTTTTACTAGGCAGAATTAAAAGGCGGAACCTAAATAAGCTTAGTAATAGCCTTTTGACTTACTAGTATTAAAGCAGCTAGCTCCCGCGCCAGCGCGGCCAGAGGGCGCTAATTACTGTGAAAATAGGAAAGTTACCATAAGAATAGTAATTCTCTAAAATTAAAGTATATTTTTTAAATAGTTATAACTTAAAAACTTTTTTAATTATAATTATTTTTTATTAAAGTTAATATTTTATACCTTACTCCAATATAAATACTTTTTATTAAATTAATATTTATTTCTATAAATAACTAAGGTACAGTTACCTTATCAAAAATTTTAGAATTTTATACTTGCATAAAGTATATAATAATTAAACATTATTTCATTTATAAAAAAAAATTGCTATTAGTAATATCAAATTTATTTATATTAAAATTAAAAAATAAATTCTAAATAGCCTTACTAAGCCCCTTAAATAAATATATATTTTTTTATTTTATTAAGTAGCTTAATATAAAATATTTTAATAAAAAGGGTTTTTTTTAAATAACTATAAATTTTTTTAATTTTAATTATTATTTTATTTTATATATAAGGGTAGCTTAATATAATATATTATTTATTTTTTATTATTTTATATTTTATTATTTACTTTTTATTTAAAAAAATATATTTAGTTTATTTTTTAGTACGGCTTTTAATAAAGGGGGTATTAAAATATAATATACTACTTGCCTTATTATAGCCCTTGCCTATTAGCTTAGTTAGCCATACTAAGTATAGTTTTACTATTGTGGCCTAGTTAAATACAATCTCCAAGTTTTCATCTCTTGCCGCCCGCCGTAGTCGACAAACTTCGCCCAGGCCTTGATGGTTGGGATTGCGCGATAATTGTCAATGCGCACCATTTCTTTCGCGATGTACGCCGGCAGGGCCCGCTTCCCCGACGCGGCATTGTCCATGGTGCCCGTGCTGGCCATCTTGTTGAACGCATCTTTGAAGTCATTGTTGTGAACATCACCCTTTGTTACAGTCAGTCAGTATATCCTGACTAGATGTCGGCCAGGGACACTTACGTGTTCGGCGATGTCGGTCACATCTACCAAGAGAAACCCATCAGTAATGGAGGTCAAGCTATGACAGATGAGGAGACTTACCATCATGCATAAAGGCGAGCTCATTCGCGAAAGCCACGATGCTGAGCCTCTCCGGCAAACATTCAGGTATGGCCAGAGAGATAAGGTTGAGTATGTTGCCCAAAGTGCCCTTGAATGCTCCCAAAGGGCCCACAGATTGCCTCCAGTGCTCCTGGCATTTCAAACAACCGATATCCTCGAGCTCAGCGTTCTTATGATATCTGACGTCGAACTCGTCACACAGGAGCCCACGAGTGTCGTAGCTGCTGGGGTCGACAACCGTGGAGAACTTGTACTCCATGTTGTAGTTGGGTCACAGTGAACGCTACCAGGAAATATAAGAGAATGAGGCAAACGTGCACGAGAAGAGAGTAGGCAAGGGATGGCTGAGATGAACTCGATGAAATATGAGCCATATCAAAAATCCTGGGCGAAGGGAACTTGAGAACCATGATGTATTTATGGCTCCTGGTCCTACCTGGCGAAGAGTCTCCGGCTAAAGCCCCATGGATGGTCCGACCGGTCCACATGGCAGGGATCCCAAGAACTTTACGCCCAACGACCATCACCCTGCCAAACCGCTCGCAACTGAAAGGCGGCCCGGATCGAACTGCATCCAATAATCGTTCCAGATCGGATGGGTTGTGCTTCAGAACTGGGTCAGTATAGACCCCGTCCAATAATGGCAATCTCGTTTTATCTCAAATTGGTCCTAAAATCATTCAAGTCATTAGCTATCGCGGTGCGAGATTTCTCGGAGTGTCTCGGAATGACGGACTGATCTCGTGTAATATTGCGACCAATGTCTATCCCGGTGCCAGAATACTTGTGATACGAGTCGGGCCAGTATCGAATCTTTCCTCTCCAACAAGCATAGTGGCGGATCGTCCGGGATTTTAAATCGGGCCGGTGGAGAATCTTGGGTGCATCATATATTGGGGCTCCAAAGTGAGTGGGATTAGCCGACGCAGCTTGACGATTGGACACTGGGACATAGCGCCGGAATATCCGAAAGTGTATCCCTGCTTAGGATACTGAAGAATTCATGAATCCTGGCCAGGGGAAGATTGGCGGAAGTGCTGCCATCCTGATACTCAGAATAAGCGGAGGGGCCGCCCTATCGAACTTGCCGCACTGTCACAGGAGAGGCCCTGTGAGGAGAGATGTGTATACCTAATTCGAGACCGACGTGCTGTACTCTAAGTGGCCTGCAAACAGGTGGGACCGATCGCCGAATATGCATAGCTCTTACATCCTTCATTCTTGATGTACACGACAGGTCTCGTGAGGGAGCTATGAAGCTGACTGGGCCTGACATGCAGCACTTTAAAGGTTGTAAAAATTGTAGCTCCTGTCCAAGAGTCACTAGCATGAAGTTCGTGGCTCCCAATACTATCCGCGTGATCGTCGTACATGAACAGCGCCTGGATGATTCGGGGTGGGGATGTGCAGTGCCCTCTCCCAAATGTCTGCAAACAGGTGGGACCGAGAGAAAAGTGCGGAAGGGATGGATTATATCACAAAGAGACCAATCAAGCGTTGTGAGCCTCTGGCACATCCCGCGACGCCGGAGGGCGGGCCAAGTAAGGTTGGCGTGGGAAAGAGCTGGCCAGGGGAGGGAGCACAGCATCAGCACCGAGATGATGTGTCGAGAGATCTGCACGTCCTTTGCCCAAGCAAAAGACTAGCGCTATCACTGAAGATAGATTGGCAGTACGACGGACGAGATGGCGATGAAAGGAGTATCTCGTTTGCCGGCCCAGCTGACAGCGGTGGAAAGTAACACCGGCATGTCCGCGAGCCCGGGCTTCTCCTCCTTCCTTCCTTCCTTGCAGCGGTGATTAAATTGTCTGTTGGCCCTGTCACCCATCCAAGCATCTCCCACCAGCTGCTTCATTTGCCCAAATCTTCTGAACCGTGTTCCTCGCCCTCGCCCTGACCCCTGAGCAGACATGGAGGGCTCTGTTCATGGCCTGAGGCGAACAGACTATCTTGTTCTCCTTCACACTTACTATGAAGTCTATGGAGTGTACGCGCTTCTCTTGGCAGTCTTCACAGTCTACAGCATCTCGCTTGTCATATATCGCCTTTACTTCCACCCGCTAGCTCGCTTCCCAGGCCCAAAGCTTGCTGCTGTTACCGGCTGGTATGAGTTCTACCACGATTGCGTGAGAGGAGGACAGTATCTCTACGAGATCGATTCTATGCACCAGAAGTATGGTACGATTGATCCGCTATCCTTGACCTCATTCTAGAAATCTAAGATCTCAATCGTCTAGGTCCCATTATCGCATTAACCCCCACGAACTCGTCGTGAATGAGTTGCCTCCAACACCCGTCGCAGAGAGAAATGGAGCAGCCTGGAAAGCTTCGGACTTCGCGGTTAGCCTTCCTTACTTCGCCTGAGATCAATATGGTTAATCCTTCATGCACAGGCTCGTTGGCCTTTACCCGGGACCATGATCTGCATCGTATGCGCCGAAAGCGCTATGAGCCCTTCTTCTCGCGCCTTAGCGTCAGCCGGATTGAGCCGAAGCGGCTCGAAGCAGCTAGCAAGACAGGGCGGGTCCTCGACCTTGAGCATGCTACAATGGCATATACTGGGGATATTTATTACGACTCTTTGCTAGGAGAAATCGCCAGAAATGATTAGACGCCCTCAGTTTGCCAAAGACTGGTCAGTTACATCAACCCTTACGCGATATATACCAAAGGCCTCATCAAACCCCACAGGTATGAGATACTCCATTCTATAATTCGGCACGCGCACATCTTCGTACATGTTCCTCAGCTGCTTTAGTAAGTGCACATTCCATCGGAACGGTATATGGCTCTTAACTTTCAACAGCATTGCGCGATTGTTCCCCGCATCTGCCCTTAAACCCTTGATTCCTTCAGCCGGAGCCTTCAACAGTTTCCTCGAGGTACGTCCTGGTCAATCTTGACTTCTGCCCCGACACGCTGACCGAGCCAGTTCTCAACCGACCACATCAACGACGCGAAGCGCGAATCGCTTAGCGCTGACAAGCTGGAGCAGAACATCAAAAGCTCCGTGTTCCGATACGTCCTATCAACAGATATGCCCGAGGCTGAACGTGATACTGAAAGGCTGGCGAGAGAGGCTGCCCTGCTTTTCGGCGCAGGCAGCGTGACTACTGGTCGGTTCTTTGCCGTGACCATCTATTATACCCTTAAAAACAACAAGATCAGAGACCGCATCTCTTCCGAGTTGAAAGATGTCATGGCAGGGTATCCCTCCACTTTGCCGAGCTGGCAGGAGCTGGACAGGCTACCGTATATGCATGCTACGGTGAAAGAGGGTCTCCGGTACGTTTGCTCTTTCTCCTAGGTCACAGGTTGTTTCTCATACCAGTTCTCTTTTAGACTCAGCTACGGTGTAATGCGTCATCTCTCCCGCATCTCTCCCGACACTGCTCTCCAGTACAAACAATGGACGATACCACCCGGCACCCCGGTCGGTATGTCATCATACAGCATGCACACAGATCCAGAGGTCTTCCCCGAGCCCTTCAAATTCATGCCTGAGCGCTGACTCGGCAATTATAACCCCAAGTCTCAAGATGAACAGGAACTGGGTCCCTTTCACTCGGGGCTCCAGGAACTGTCTGGGCATGAAGTAAGAATCTACGCCTTGCCGAAAATTGTGGAATCGCGCGGCTAACGCAATCACCAGTCTTGCATACGCTCAGATTTACTGGGCGCTAGCCGTGATATTCAGGCCCGGCGGACCGAAACTCGAGTTGTATGAGACAATGAATCGGACATTCGTCCTGTCCTGGACTTCGTGGGTCCCCTGCCCGCGAAGGGTAGTAGATGGCTCAGGGTTACGGTTGCCTAGCTTTTGTTTTTTCCTTTCGTTTTCATAGCTGTGATAGGACCTCATTTTGCAGGTGGTAATGTCTGGATCGGAGGAGTGCGGGAGTGTACTGTGTACGAGTACTAAATTTTGCCCACCTTGCTTGCATTGCAGTTAGAGTTGGCTACATCGTATCCATAATTGGGCATAATACTTTCATAGTTTTGTTTGGCGCATTGGTTCAGTCTTGTCTCTTGGATTCTTTTCTTTTTCCTCCTTTCAAAACTTGACTTGATGCGCCTACAGACGAACTGACAAACTACCTAGCGTTGTGGACCGATCGATCGATCGCCCGGAAGCTCGGAAGGGAGTCAAAGGACTCGCCAACATTTCAGGCTCAGCTCGGTCTAATTCCGTCACTTGGGACTCACTGGCCGCAGCGACTGGATTCCTGGAGGATTCTGAAGAGTCGCCACCAGCGCTCAGACGGGCGCTATCGAACGTTATCCGTGGATGCAAAACAAGCCATATGCAGCGCCATTTTTCAGGTGCTTGCCCAGTCGCTACTGTGCATGAAGAATCCCGTGAGATCGTACAGAACAAGCAATACTTGCTTCAGCCCGCTTCCTCCTCACTCGCCAGTGGCATGGGACGTGCCTGCATGCAAGATTGACAAATCACACAATGTCCTTGTCCCCGAATTATTGCACCTTACCAGGTTGCACTGCAGTTGGCACCTGTCAGATGTTATCGGTCAGACTCAGTTGGCGCGGCACTGCCCTGAGACTGGGCACAGCGACTCGTATCTGCAGGTTCCAAGGGGACGGATTTCGATTGTCGCCCCGACGCCCGGGGTACCCATGGACCCCGACGTCGTACCTACAGAAGACCTCCCAGTTTTTCAATCTCCAGGTACGTGCAGTCGGGTACCTTGGAACCTCCCTGAATTCCAGCTCACCTTAACTTAGTCTTGCGCAGTGCAGTTGGCTGATTGATTGGCTTAGAACCGGAACCTTGAAATCGCTCTAATCCCATCTGGCATTCACCCGCTGCGTGTGCTCGGGCTGCTATCAAATCCCTCCGAACATGTATCTTTAGTGGTAGGTGGCTGGCTGGGCTGAGCTCCCGCCTGCAAGCTAAGCCCTGCAAGAATGCGATGGAATTGCTTGTTTTTTTTTTTTTTCCTTGACCCAAGTTGCTGCAGGAATTGGTCTGCTACTCGAGGTTCCTACCCACGTAGCTGCCAGCGGTTCGCGGGGACACCTGCGGGAGCTTTGCGCGAGAGCTAACTAACCTAATCCCCACCTTTATTTTCTACTCGAGATGCCTCCAACACGAGGAGAAGATACCATAATATCTAACTCCATGCTGGTTTGAGACTTACCTGGTCTGACTGTCGTTTGGTAGACAGGCGATGAATTGCCTGGTTATTATTTTTATAATCTGCACCGGAGGGCAGCGTTATATAATGTATTAACACCCTTTTGTAACCAGTACACCCAGCTACCTGTGCTAAGTAAGGGACCTAAAGGGAAATCATTATACTAAGTTTGCGCTGGACGAGTATTAGGAACTTTACGGGAGAAACCCTAAATGTGGTAGCACGACATTAGCCCCTCCTAGGCTAAACTGGAACATACCATATGCATGCTGAAGATATCGCTCGACAATAGCAACGATGTATCGGTTCGTTCCAGATCAGTGGATTACACAGCCCTGCACTGCCCTGCGAGGCATTGTTTCACCAATTTGCTGTGCTGCTCTGTGCCACACTCCGGCTGGAGGGGCGAACCAAAGCTTCGCCCCGCGCTTGCCGCTCATACTACGGTATGGCATACCTAATGCTGTGTTGGTTGTGCTCCGCTCCCCGACAACCTGCAGGACAGATCAATCCGTGGACGCTTCCTGGGGTCCCCGGCACGCCTGAAGGATCGGAAACCTGGTTTCTTCGTAGACATAGGGAACAACTCTGCACGGCTCCCTTCTCGCCTCCTCACATTATGGCTTGGCAACAAACTCCGAAGATGATGAGATGTGGCTGCAGCTGGACTGGAGGTATCCGAGGATTCCGCCGAAGGTCGGCTTCCCTGACTCAAAATTCCTGACTAGATACTGACAATGGCTGGATGATACTGATGTGCTACTAGTTCGTCGCCTCGACTTGGTTTGCTATCAACAATGTTCATCTGCATGGTGTTCTCGCTCCGAACGCGCAGTCTAGGAAAGATAGACTCTCGACTCTCAGCACGCAAGTCGAACCGAGCCAGCGATGATGCAGACCGGTGCGGATCTGCGGCAAGCAATCCAAGTGGCGTTTCTTTCAATCCTCCCGGATTACATTGTGAGACGCCTTACAGCATTGAGACGGGACATGCCCAGGTGGCGTGACGGATTCCAGACAGGATTGCTGCCATCGAGCACGTAATGAATTCTTTCAAGGAGACCACCTACGTTGTTTCCGTCGCGCCAGGCGAGTTCTCCTTCATCTCCTTTTCGCTCCGCAGTCAGCAGATATGTGTCTTGAAGAATGGAAATCCCAGCAAGCGATAAAGGGCCTGATCCGAGCGGCTCATGAGGCGCTCCGTACAGATAGGCAAGCTGTCGCGCAGTTAGTTCTTCTGTGCTAGACTCTAGTATAGCAGAGAGCTGCCGGTACACACGCCCTTCGTTACGCCAGCACTGGGACGCACTGCAACTGGCTTACCCCGCCAGCCCACCTGAATGGCCGCAATGAAGGCTTGAGGCTATAGGTCCGTATTTCCTGATAGAAGAGCGAAGTATCCTGTAGGCCATGAGAGATGATTGCTTCGGCTTGTAATGTTCTATTGGTAAAAAAGTACTCAGTATATAATTAGTAATGAGTTCGGCTGTATGCAAACCTTACCGTAAGCGCTTAGGGCGCGATAACTGCGTGAAGTGACGAAGTCGCGGCTGTAGCATGAATAGGACTAATTATGGAGGCCTTGAACCTCATCTCGTTAACTCAATACCCCACGGGTCGATATGGCTGTCAGTACGAACTGGCTGAGATTAGCCGACGCTGAAGATGTTGGCCTCTTGTGGTTTCGTGAAAGTTGTTAGGTGGTGCAGTGCGTTCGGCTAGCAAGAATATATATAATTGAGATACAAGCGGACTTTCGTAACCTCAGAATCTGTATTCAATAGGAATCGGAGTGTTGCAATGCTAAGGCCGTCAATAGTAGATGAGCGCAGAGTCCAAGACATGTTATATTGCAATGTCTAATATCAATGCGGTCATTTGCTAGAACTGAAGCTGTTGATGATATCCGTTACGCCCGCAAAAGCGAGCTCGTCCATCGTCTCTTGCCATAACCGCTTGGCGATCTTCTCGCCCTCGGGCTTGTACACGAAGGGGGCCATCCTGTAACAGCTGATCAGTAGCTGTTGACGCAAAATATGGTTCGTAGGTATCCAGCGGGGAAAACATACGGCGCAACCTCCCCATCCTCAATATACTGCCCATGGGATTTGGCTCCATGGTTGACGGCCGCATCGACAACCGACCGTGCCCCAACAGACGACGTCCTCGCGAGGAGAAAGTGCATGATCTGCGCGATGTACCCGAGAAAAGAGCCGTTGAACTCGCGGCTCAGTCCAGACTTGCAAAGACCTGGGTTGCTGCAATTGATGACAACGACAGATGCTGGAATACGACTGGCGAGTTCCTTTAAGAAGAGCTGACCGAGTAGCTTTGATGTTGAATACCGGTCGTCAAAGACAAAGTTCTCTGGGCGATCGAAACCTGGGAGGAGAGGCACCGCGTCCTTCTCTTTGAATTTCGCCCACGAAGGCGTGTCGGAGTTGACGAAGGAGAGGCGACCAGGGTCCGTCGGGGTATTTTTCGATTGTAGCACGGGAATAAGTAGGATGATGAGCAGAGAGTTGCCGAGGTGATTGACCTGGATGGTCTCCTCGTGGCCGGTGTTTGGGTCTTGTTTAAAGGTTCTCTTGAGTAGACCGGCGTTGTTGATCACGATGTCAAGCCTCTCGAGTCCCTTAGCGTACTCCACGAAGGTAAGGATAGAGTCGTAACTCGAAAGATCCAGCTTTGTGACTTCGACCTGGCATTTGGTTGATGGTTTTCTCGCAAGTAACTGTCTCTTGGATTCCTCGCCCTTGGATACTGTCCGAACGGCGATAACGAGCTTGCTGAGGCCAAGATCCAGAAGCTGCTGGCAGCACTCGAAGCCGATACCCGTGTTAGAACCTGTAACAATGGCTGTTTTTCCGGCTAGATTCGCGTCGTCAATGGAGGTAATGGGTGGTTCAACGAAGAGCTGGCGCTTGATAAATGCGCCTTGAGTTGCTCTTTTCTGGATTTGCGCAGGGGTGAAATCAGCCATGATTCCTTATGGGCTTCATGGAGGATGAAATCGTGAAACGTCGTGGCAGTGCCTGACATTTGATTTTATATTGTTCATTCGATTTACTCATAGGTACTCCGTACATAGGAATGGCGGAACATAGCTAAACGGTGATAGGCGTTAAGATTATTTCCTAACGCCGCGCCGGGCTCGCACCATAGGATATACTGCCGCGAGACCAAGAGGCCATAGCGTTCGAACCCTGGATTGTGGTGGAAAACGTAATTGGGAATTTTCGCCATATGTGACCGTGTGAGATGTTTGCGTGCAACAGGGTTATAATCCAGGGCGACGGTCCGAGTATAAGTCGGCTTTGGTTACGTGACCAGACTCGGGTCCAAATGCAGGTAGCATGCTCAACGGAATTAACGACAGGGTCCGGTTTGCGGGGATGAGAGTGGCACGTTTCCTCAATCATGAATATCAGTGGACGCTTGCGGATGGTCGTCCCCGACTTTTGATATCGTTTTGTCGCATTTCAGGCTCTCCGCGGGTCGAATCGGAACCAGGGAGTTTGCGAAGTGACGCATAGTCTGTAAACCAAGCGCTGGATACATTCCTCAAGCTTGGGACCTTGTTCGACACTGTGTGGTCTTGATAATCTTGATATCAAGTATATCCCCCCCAACAGCTGAGCAACATTCTTCCTGTTCACTAGGGCAGACTCGCCGAATTTTACAGTACCCGGGCGAGGTTGGGAAAGCAGCAGAGTCCGCGAAAGACGTGCAGTCATTTCATTAATCTCAGCATCTCATAGTTTCAATGTTCGCTCACCATTCATCAACAACTTTGCCAGGGGCCGTTGAGAGAATGTGGTCGAGCGGGTTTGGTGATCCTTGGTATCGCCGGGCGTCCGCGGACTGCCAAGAAGTCCGCCAGCGAGAGGGAATTCTGCGAGCGAGATGGCGCAAAATTCGGAAGCTCTCTCAAGGAAGACCATTCCTTTGTGTTGTGCGGTAGAGAGCGGCCTGGCAAAATGGGACGGATCGATGGAGAACACATCGAGATGATCTAGGAGCCCGCGAGCTGAGGAGCAATCTTCCAGGCGATCAAGAATCCCAAAGACTTCAAGTTAAAATAGCGTCAATGCCTTCCATTCCGACTGCAGAGGCGAGCCAATCCGGTAGGTATGGAACCTGACCGCCATCGCTGAGCGTGTCCTTTATCAATTCCTGACTATGCCTTGGGATTTGCTGGACTCTACAGGATGTCTTCGAACACCTGCAGCTTCAGGTTGCCGTAGCCGTGCGTATATGGCTTGTGGAGTATCCGACGCAGATGTAGTGAGCATACTGGCTCTTGTATCGTGTCGAGGTTCGACGACCTGGAATTGTCACCACCGTTAACAGAGTCTCATGCCTAAAAAGCCCGATCTCAGATCTATACTTACCCGTGAGATTAACCCCTGTTCGTAGCTGGGGATGCTATATTGATGAATGCTGCGTTTATGACAGAGTCTGGCTGGTTCAATGTTCATGGTTGATTCAAACCACCCATGTTTGTTGAGGGGCCCACTCGCTGCACCGGACCTTCCTATTGCACTGGACCTTCTGCAGCTGGAGATCACGACTTCTTTCTTAGAACATCACCAATCACTCTTTGCTTTCTTTTGCCCTCGATGTTAAGAATAGTCTGTTAGAATTGCTCCTTTCTGCCAGTCTGGGACAGCTGCCTCGAAAGTTTCCCGGCCCGAAGTAACCACAGGCACCATACCATTGACGCAACACCGAGTGCGCCTATTACAACAAAGCCAGTCGCATTAGCACCAAACGCTTATCCGCTCACAAGTCACTTGAATTATACATATGAGCTTTCCTCGCAGGAACAACTTTGGAGAGGAGTGGACTGACGAAGAAAACGCGAGACTCTGGCACTTCCGAAAGAAGTATCCTGAAATCACTTGGCTTGAGTTCCATCAGGTAAGTGAATTTAATCTCCTGTCACCTGTTCTCCGATGCCCGTGATCATACTGCCATTTAACCGAAGCTAATATCTAAGCTGACACTTTTCGTAGGGAAACTTCATTCCGAATCGAACCTACGACGCAATAAGAAGGAAGTGGTACGCAATGACGCATGAAACCCCGGAAAAGCGATTCGGGGAAGAGATCATGGTCGGACAAAAAAGCAAGATACCACGAGTTTGCGACAGCGATGACATTGATGCGGAAAGTGACGCAGAAGCTGGCGACATCAATCCAAACGGAGAAGTAAACCCAGTGAGTGGACATGCTAGCAGTGGATCTTGCTTGTCTTTAACGAACGGCCAGTTCAGTTTCCATCAAAAGGCCACTGGAGTTCTAGTATCGACGGAAAAGGTATAGACAGCACCGCTCTTCGAATTTCCGTCCACTGTCCAACAGCTGACATCCTACATAGGATTCTGCCATGGGTGTCACAGCACATATTCAGAAGACCGATTCATCATTACCTGTTAAGTTCGAGTTGCCTGCAAATCACCGCCCCTCCGAAAATCGGCCGCGGCATCGAAAAATTGCAAAGACAAAACGTCCAGTCAAAAGCGCAGATAACCCGTTTCAGCAGTTTCGAAGGATGTCTCTATCACCAGAACCGCCCCTGCTCACCGGGCCAGCAATGCTTATAAGCCAACGCGCCTGCCAAGCTGATCAGAAAACCTCAACGACATATCTGCCACAGAAACCCCCCAATGCGCACTTGAACGACCCCGGCCAACATGATCCCAGGGCTCCTATGTGTGCGCCAACCAGATCGCCATGGGTACCGAGACAGCTCATGAATTGCCAACGGAAGACTTCATCGCCATTATTATCAGAGCCTGTCTCATCGCATTCCCTCCCAGATATATCGCTAAAAGAGGCCAAAACTCAACCTAACATCTACGATGGCCCATCCTTGGACCCGAGAAAACGCATTGCCCGAAGGAGTGTTGAATTGCCCGATCTGACGCCACAAGGCGCGAGATTGAAGTCCTCTCCGCCGAGTACTGTAACTCCGTCCTTTCCCAACGAGCCCGGGAATGTCGACTCTACCCTTCAGCCATACTTAGACCAGGGTTCCACCAGGGTCAGTGTCATGGAATTGCTGCAACGGCTTCAGCATCGACTCGCGACGGAGCACGTCATGCTAGAAGATCAGATAAAGACAATGGAGGGTAAAGCGAAAGTGACAGAAGAGAGTTACAAGCAGGTTGAAGCAATGCGCCATAAACTGGAACAGCCCCAGAATCTGGTTCTTCCAGATCTGGTCACTTTGTATGGGTTTGTGGAGTTGGCAGAGTCAATGGGACTTTCCCATGCCCCTCCCATGAATCGACCTGATAGTTCCATTGATGCTTCGCAGCCGGATCGCGTTGTGAAGCAATCTATCGAATCAGAGGATGATGCAAATTGATCATTGATATCTGTACATATCGCCCATGTCTGAACCTGCCTCCGCTATGGGTTACGCAAGGAGCAAGCTGGCGGCGCTTATAGCTGGAGAGGTGACGAAGTTGGACTGTGTGCACTGAGCTGTTTTCGCACTGGGCTATTTCTTACAGTCTGATGTTAGTTTTTGGTCCCCATGAACTGTATGTAATAACCTCTATGTATTAAAGCAACGAGGACGTTTTGGGCTGACAACTATATCCTGCGCGGCGAGCTCTTGGAAAAGAGACAAGCAAAGCAAAATGCGCTGTATCAAATGATTAAACAACGCGACAAGTACAGCCAATTACCCCGAAAGACGCCGCAGCAGTGGACGATAGTCTTGATGGCAGATCAAGAAATCAGGGAGCATCGAGGCAGGGTCAAGAAGTAGGCTGACTTTTAGCCACAGTTGAAGGCAACACCGCGACTATGACAATCTATGTGTCTGAAAAGGCGGATAGCTGCAACTTTATGGAGAAAATACCCGGCACAAGCTACATGGTCATTGATGGAAGTTGAAGCGTTTTCGTGTAATTAGGATCATCGTATAGCCTGGTGTCTGGCTACGGGGTACTTGGAAAGTCGGGGTGCACAGCATTTTGTCTGTTATTTCAGTCCCAAGCAACTGCTTGAGCTATCGATTTAGATTTTGGATGTATTGACTCTGGGCCGGCGGTCGCCTGAACATTGCTTGGTTGAAGGTAGAGTTCATGCAAAAGAGCTCCACCGTCAACATGGCGGGGGCACCCAGGCAACCTCAAAGGCTAACCCCTCCACTCGTCCACCAAGAAACTTGCACACACAGGGTGTATTCCCTTATACCTGGAGACCGTCTTCTTCAGACCTATCCTACTGCTCGGCCTTTCATTATTCAATCACTGGCGTGTCTGCGATCTTTCGTCGTCCATCGCTTGGTCAGACAAGCTTTCTGAAAACACCGTGACTTCTGATTGACAAAGCTCCGCGCCAGTATGCTTTCCTCCATTCTTCAAAAAAATTTAGGCTTCTGTTTTCCCCCTCCTGTTGCAAGACCCTGCAATAAATGGTTGCTTACTTGTGAGGAACTTCTCTAGCAACCACCTCCCTGTCGCAACCGCGATCTCGTTTGACCACCTATTACCCCAAAGTCAATCCGGAATAATAAGGTTCGGCTCGCATAACGCAGGTAAAATGGCCAAAAAGAACGAAAATCCATCTCTTCCTTCGGTCGTCCCGGCCAAACGTCCCGTTCGCCGGAGCTCGCGGACAGTGGCAGCCAAGCGTCCGCGACAGGTCCAACCCGGCTCGGTTACTGAGACTGTTATTGAGAGCGATAATAGTTTCCAGGAGCGCGATGATCGGGCGGGCGACGGGGTCGGCGTTGGGATAGGTAATCCCGAGCACGAAGGAGACGTGCATGGAAACATCAGTGTTGGCTATCCGGCGGAGTTTCAGCAAGATGAGGGACGAGGCGAAGAGGTTGCTCACCAGACCGGGGATACAGAAATGGTTGCTGGGCTGGGCTCTGGTAATGACTTGACGTCTTGTTGCGCTGCTAAGCAGCTTCGTCGGCTGAACATTGCGGCACCATGGGTTGACGACCAAGCAGGGCGAGAAGGCTGTCTAAACACCGCGCCCCCCTCACACCTTGCCGAAGAACATCAAACTCCACCCGTTTCTGATACAGAGATGCAGCTAAAGTCAATCGCTGTAAGCTCCAGCGAACCCGCAACGGTCAATGTCACAGCCACGGTACTGCAGCTAGGACCTTCTGCACCATTTGGAGCCCATCTAGGCGACGAGTGCTCAGCTGCGCCAGCTTTGCCCAACGGTAACGGAAGCTTTCAAGCCACTGCCGAAACTGTCGGAACTGCCGTACGTTCGGACCAATTCACGGACGCTACCTATCCTGTTGCCCTGTACGAAGACAGCGCCACGCGAGCAATGCCGGAAATAGCCACCGTTCCGCCTAACGAGACTGAGCAAGAGAAAGCCTTTCATCGACTATCTAACCATGTTGCCAGTCTAGAGATTTACGCAGAGCGAGTCCGATCGGAGCTTTCAGCGAAGACCAGTGAGAACGAGGCTCTTGCGAAAGAAGTGGATGAGCGGGACAAACGTATTCAGGAACTCGAGAAAGCTCTTGCAGCTCGACCTAAGGAATTTCTGAGCGCGACGCAGGCGGAAGATATCGAGGGCGTGGAGTACACAAATAAGGATGCGCGGATACAGGAGCTGGAGGGGTGTGTTGTGGACCAAGCAATCATGACGGTATCCCAGGCCAAAGAAATCAAGAAACTCACGGAGGCTTTGAAGGAGTACGAGGCGCGTATACAGGACGCTCGCGAGCTCAAAACCGGTCTCTGCAATGTTGTTCAGGAAAAGATGTGATATGTCACCTAAGTCAGGCAGCAGAATCTTCGATCACGCTATCATCAGTGGTGTGTAGGAATCCATGTGGTTGGACGATATCATATCTTGGATGTACAATACTTTTATTCTTTACTCTCTTCCACAGAAGAAACTCAGGACGCATGTGGCTCTATATGCGCTATGTAACTATTAGCCCGCCCTCCTGGGGAAGGTCCCAGCCAACTCGAGTCGCAACTGGGACAACAACACCACTACCACACCAACGTTGACACAAATTCCAACATCCACAGTCATCACTCTCCCGGATATCCTTACAGACTCGCCTTATTGCATTCTTGCTGTGTTTGAATACAAAGTGGTCTTTATCCAACTGGAGCGCTGCCTCTCCCCTCGCTTCCTGATTAGGTTGACAGCATTTTGCTTTCATTCGGAACCACTATACCAATGAAATAAATCCCGACATCCACTCTTACTAGAAACCTCTTTCTCAAAGCAGAGATCTTTCCCTCAACCGCTGCGCTAGAACCGCAACATACAGCTTCAGGGCCGTTAACGCTACGAACTCGTGCTTGCTCCCGGCCCAACAGATCACAACCTTCGAAATAGAGAAATTGTTGGAGGAAGATTTGAAGGTAAGCTGGTACTTGGACATGTTTCTTGTTTTACCCTCATCTTGAACTTGGTACAGAGCGGTAGCTAATGCGACCTTCTTCAGTCAGCAACACCGAATCCCTCTCTCGAAACCAAGATCCACTCGCAACAAAGCAGGCCCCCGCCTCGTAAATCGGGAAATTTCAAATTCTGGACGCTTGCATCCGTTATGGCTAGATCAAAGGGCACTCCTCAAGCCACTGTTCCCGCGAAGCGCGCCGGCACACGAACCTTCAACTTTACGGCCAAGCGTCGGCAGCTGGACAATTCTAGGCAAAGCAACAATACTGGAACATGCAGTCTCGGCAATACACGTCACGAAGAGGCTATGGTTGGCAGCGGCGGAACCGAAGACAAGATTAAGAGACAGAGTGACGCATGCTTCATAAAAGTTGAACTGTCTGAGAACGAGAGTGACGACGCAGCCGGGGACATCGATTTTAGCGGAGAGGTAAGACTTCAAGAGGATAAATCTCAGTTGACCTGGAAGGACTATCGACTAATTCTCATACAGGTTGGCAAGCCCGGGCACAATCTCTTTAGCCATACACCCGGCGCACAAGCAATTCCCCCTAAGATCTCACCAACAGCCACTACATCTTTGTCCCAGGAAATGGAGCCAACTGCTGTACCTGGATTTGTCGCACAGATAACACATTATCAACCTCAGAGATTACCTGAACTAACTCGTCGATTCTCTGCCAGGGCTGCCAGTCTTTTGGAGGACTACGTTCGCGACGTTACTGCTGAACATGCAGCCTTTCATGAGAAATCTTCGTTCGCGGTTCGAGAGAAGGATGACCTTGCAAAAGTGATTATGGAACGCGATGAACGGATCCAGGCGCTTCAACGAGCCGTCCGTGGCCATGAAAAGGATTACTCGGCACTCTACTCTAAACTCCTGGCTGAAATCCACGAGAGAGAGATAACGAAAAGGGAACTAACAGACCGTGATAAAGCCATCAATGAGATGCAGAAGATGCTTTTAGCTCAGCGCAACGTGGCCGAAGCACAGAGCAAAAAGATACAGACTCTCAGTGAGGCTGTCAAAACCCGCGACACCCGTAATCGACAGCTCGAGGACAGGTTCCTGGCCCAGACCCAGATAATCAATACTCAGTCAGCAAACATCGAATCGCTGGCGTGCACTATAAACCACAGTAATTTCGACATCAATGCCCTTCAGGGATCACTCGCGTCTCGCCGACAAGAGACTCAAGCCCAAGCACAGCAGATAGAAGCCCTAAGGAAAGCGGTCAAATCCGGCCACACCTACATCCAGGACCTTGAAACCAAGGCCCTGGCGCAGACGGAGACGAACAAACTTCAGGCTGCGAACATTCAAGCTCTTACAAGAACAGTCAGCGACCGTGACACAGATGTTGATGGCCTTCAAGAAGCACTCGCATCGCAGTCCAAGGAAGTCAAAACCATGGAAAGGCAGAACAAAGGTCAAGCAAAACAGATTGAAGTCCAGGAGAGCAGGATCCAAGCCCTACAAAGAACAGTGCACTTACGTGGTGTCTTTATAAAACAGCTTGAAGAAAAGTTTGCGATGCAGAGAGAGAGAGTCAAGAGCCAGACCGCAAATGTCCAAGCTCTTGCAAAGACCGTCAGCGAGCGCGATGACTCCATTCGCGGGCTTCAACGATCTCTGAGCGCTCAGTGCGCTAAAACTGAACTTGAAGCAGGACAGGTCAAGGCTTTCGCGAAGACAGTCAAGGGTTGCGAGAGCTGTTTCCGCCAGCTTAAAGGCGAGCTTTGGGAGTGGATGAAGTATGAGGCGGGAGACAATGAACCTTCTGCGGAGTATGTCAAGGAGCACTTCCATGTTGACATTAAGAAGTTTGAGGATGTTATCGACAAACATGCAAATAGTGGTAGCTGAGGTATTCTAGGAATCGCCGAGATCTATCCTGCGTAGTCGCTTTCTCAATATCGCCGCGACTACTGCCTTAGCTATGATATGTGCATACTGCATCCTTGAATGCAACTTCAATTGTACTAGCTAGCTGAATAATCACAAGACCTCGAATATTTCGCAGTCAGGCTAACAAAACTCAATCATACACATAAAGATAAGGCAACATTGGGTTTCCATCCAGAACAAGAGGCCAGCAATTGGAGGCTGTGCGAAAGAAAAACGATGGTGCTAATGTCTTACCCAGCAGCGGTCATAGCTTTCGTCAGTTCTTCTGGCTCCGCTTCATCTTTCGCTGAATCCGCTTCATCTCCTATGCCGCCTTCAGTTCTTGTATTTCTTCGTTACCTTATGCAATCTCTCTTTCGCCTTGTTTGTATTCCCCTCCACCAAAGCTCCAAGTATTTTCTCGAAATGTTCGATCTTATCGGCAAACTCGCGCATTTTTTCCTCGTTGCTTGAGCATTCGCGTGGCCTTCCTACCTCTTCTAGGACGAATTCCGTTAACTTGTCCTGTCGAATACTATGAAACGTCTTCACGTGCTCGATTTTCGAATCTAATTTCTTGGTCTCCCAGAGAAGGTCGGCTTTGGTTGCGTAAGTCGGTATGTGGGAAATATCAGTTTGGAGCTCCTCGAGCTTGATAGCGAGGTCGGTCGAGCGCTGGCGGATCTCACCCGGGATGGGGCCGGGAGCGTCTGGGAGATTCTCGGCGTCCTCTGGGGGTTCGGTTGAGGCAGGAGTTTGAAGATCAGGTTCAGGCTGAACAGGAGATTGCGAAGAGGCGGGGCGGGGAGAAATGTTCTCCTGGTCCGGGTGCGGGTCTCCTGTATGGGCGAGAGATCTGCCAAACACACTGGTAACCTTCGAGAGAAGGGTTGGAAAAAGCCCGGTCGCTGCAGCACGTACTGATGTGGTCTGTCGAGCTGCGGAGAGCCGGCTAGGTGTTTTTACAGTGGTTCCAGTCTCGTGTCGTGGTACTGCGGTCTCGTTGAAGCTCGATGAGGTGCTGATATCGGATAGAGGCTGCCTTTGCTGCGGATACGCTGGGGCTTGACTCTCCTGGAGCTGAAAAGAATGTCGTCAGTTAGAGAACTGGCAAATGATAGGAATCTGAACTGGTAACTTACTGCCTCCACTTCCACATCTGGTGCGACCTCCCCATCGGGCGTACTGCTTGAGGTGGACTGAGCATACAGTGGGTCAACTGCACGGCGTCTGTTCTGACGAAGACGCCGGCCGTTATTGGTCGTCTCACGGCTTCTTCCAGGAAGGGTTGTGGAGCGAGTGAAGGTGCGGGGACTGCTTTGTTCAGAAGCTGGAGCAGGGAGAAGTTGAAGAGGACTCTCCGAAGCCGGCTCCGAGCGAAATTCTGACGCAGACTCCGAAGGAGGCTCCAACGTAGGCTCTGCATCATGCGCGACATTCTGCATATCTTCCTCGATATTATTCTCCGTCCCGTTGTCCGCCGTATTCTCCGCCTCATCTTCTGTCTCGTCCTCCGTCTCGTCCTCCGTCTCATCCTCTGCATCTGGCGCAGCAGAAGCACGAGTTTGAGCACGAGTACGGCGAAAGCCAGTACAAGAAGCAGAAGTGAGTGGTACCTTCTGTCGCCGAACCTTATAATATTTCTCCAGCATTTTGCCTTTAAGGGTACGCCGAGCTTTTTCCCACCCTGTATCAGTGAAAATCTTGCCCAGCTTGCCTGCAATGGCTCTTTGGGACCGGGTAGGAAATTTGGACTGGGACCGCTAATGTAAGGCAAATTGTCAGCATTCCATCCAAGGTCAATGAGGGCTAATTATTAGGGTATAGCTGGTAATGCATGGCGGAGCTCAAGGGCAATGAGGGGGAATAGTAACTTACCTCAGCAAACTCCGAGTACGTAACGTCTTTCTTTTCTTTCGCCCACAAGTTCAAGAGCCGATCCTCCTCGGCCTTGCTCCAACGATTGTTGCGATTGCGTGCTGCCATGTTTTTCGATTTGGGTTCCGCTTGGTTCCTGGAGGAGATTTGTTAACAGAAGCTCTGAGGATTGGGAAACGGAAGCGTCAACTCAGTTACCCTTCAACTTGACAAAATCAAACGCTTGAATACGATAGGTTGCATGTACTGAGGCTCAAGCTTGCAGCCAACTGGGAAACAAGGGACACAGTTCAGACGAACGAAAATTTCGGGGGGTCATGCCACCTTATATAACCACCAGCAAAGCGGAACCGGAGATTGCATTAGCGAGGCTGGGAAGCTTGTCAGCAGACTTATTGTGCGAAAGAAGCCCATTCCGGTCTGCGCTTATCCTGATTCGCAGAGATTAAAATACCTTTTTAGAGTCAAGCGCTTCTCGGTGTGGTTTCTGTCTCACTGTGAGTACCTGGGCCGTAATTTCCTGCTCGAAGGGCCAGTGTCTTGATCATGGGATAAGAAATCATAACCAAAATATCTTCCCCTGCGACTTGTACAACTGGCAAATCGTGAGGCGCGCATCATTCCTATCAGAGGAGCATCAATCTCACCGGATGCCCAAAACAAGGAGGGATCCAAGGAACCTGTCCAGTGGAAAAGCTTCTCAAAGAACAGAAAGTGGGGCTGGAAGCCAGTGACCACGAGGTTCGGCCCGTGCCGCTCCCGGATTTGCTGTGAGTTTCCACCAATCCCTGCCACTGGCTCCACCACACATCCGCTGCCTAGGTCATCAGAGCCCTGTTTGGTGAATAGAACTCTTCAGGCCACTTATTTAGACAAAGTCATCACGTATTCAACGCGTCTCATTGGCTCCACAAGTTCGCCTTTGTTCCATTCAACGCCAGTCCAGGCAGCAGGAGGCATTGCAGTATAGTGGGAAAGATCGAGTCATTGTCGGTGCATATTCACCATGGATTTTACGCTATGGTCCATGGGAACCTTTCTTTGATTCTCAATGGGGACAGGAGTAATAGTCAAACGGCCGAATCAAATATCTCCGGGGGTCCGCTACTTGAAAATCGGCCACCAAATCGCTACATGACGCAATTGCGCGAGCTGCAAGGCTAGTAAACAGAATACTGAAAATTGAGCGCACTTTGGCTGAGATTCCTGTCTCAGAATTAAGTTCATTTGCCATTTAGCAGAAGGCAGTGCGCGTGATCTCCACGCTGCCTCGAGGGTCAGCATCCTTGCCCAGGCAACAGACCTTTCTTCGACACGCCCAAGTGTCTAGCGTTCGAATTCACCATTGCTTCTTCAAGCTTTCTCCCTGTCCTCAGACCTCCATTGCAACTACGTATTTGCGTTGCCGTTGTCTAGAAGAGCGCCGAATCCTATGTGGACCAACAAACAAAAAGCAGAGGTCCTACGACTGCGAGCCAACGGTCTCACATACTCGGAAATTCAAAAGGTATGTCATACACCCGGCCCTTCGGCCACTAAACATGACATTTTCCCATCTCCATACGGAAACTCTGTTTACATGTTGAAATGGCCTTACTGACCACATCGCAATGATTTCTAGAGACCGAGATTCCAGACCTACAGTGTCAATGCAATCAGGGTCGGGGTGTTACTGACCACCACCGAGAACCAACCCCTTATGGCGCCTCGCAACTCGGGGAGCCTGGGTCAGGGCAATGGAGAGAAGGCTGCTTCGTCGGACGTCATTCCTGTAAAGCGTCCCGCCAAAGCGGAGCTTCAGAGGGACAGAAAAAGGCTCCATGAAGAAGGCAAGGCCAGCAGTGCTACTGAAGATGATAACCTGAGCACTTGTTTGAGCAGCTTCAACTTCAACGAGGATGACGACAGCGATACTATTGCAGCCAGCTCAGATACTCTTGCAGCTAGTTCGGATGGTGACGATTCTGGCGATGACGATGGAACTGCTAGTGTCAACGCATCCTCTCATCATGAAGTCCGTTCGGTAAGTTCCCTCTTTCTACTACCTCCCATGCCACTGAGCTCCGCTAATGCCTGCTCTCCAAGACTATCCATCACCGCGAACCACACCCGGACACGGCCCAGGCTGCTCAGGTCCTTGTCTCAATCCGAGAAGATCCGTCCACCGAGTTCAGCACAGAGGGCCATCTTCCGCCTCAAGGTCCAGCGCAGCATGTTGTGCAAAATCGTCCTCCACCTGTCCTGGATCGCGTCGACCAAGTAGCAACGGTGCCAGACGCTAGCAAGGTACAGCATTCGGCAATGTTCCAACCCAAGTTCTTAACTCCCCTTCAGCTCCACCCCGACCCTCTATTCCCTGAAACCCCACGCATCAGTGCCGACGTAATGATGAACGCTCATCTGCAACAAACCATCTCCGCAGATATCGATTTTCTCCTCGCAATGTGTCTTGCAGACCATGACGACCTGCGGATGAGAGTCCCAAAAGCACGGGACGCTGACGACTACGGCATCCTTCGCGGCCAGATGCATCTCGTGGGCCATTACTACTATGAGCTCCTGAGACACAGAGAAGGGGTCAATGTAAGCTTTGGCTATACCGTCCTGCACGCGGCAGATGTTCGAAAACTGCATGAGGATGTACGAAAGTTTCATGAGGAGGGGAGTTGTCTTGTTGAGGGCCACCCTAGTGGCAAGCGTGATCATTGGCCTTTCTGATTGACGTAGATCTTGAGACGCTGACTTGGATGGCTATGATATCTACCCGTGGTGGGCGTTGCTGTTGTTTTTGTCTTTCGTTTCCGGGAAATGTATGCCACAAGAATAGGGGTCCTTTGATAGTAATGTAATTCAGGCACGGCTACCTTGAGAGTTCTCAAAACATATTTCGACCAATGTACGGCGTAAGCGTGGGCTGGGGACATGAAAGTCGCCTTGTGACCACCCGGGCTTCGCGGCCAGAATGTAGAGTGTCAGTTTTCCTTAATAACGCCATGGTGTAGATAATTGTACAAGCTGTTTGCAGGATGATACACTGCCATTGGACCGAATAGTAATATTCACATCGGCAAGGGCAGAATTGCAGTCACATGGCCTTTCACCATCCATCTTCACTTATGCTACAATATCATTCACAGTGTCTCCAGCATACCGGCTGGGTATATTAGATTGCCTCGCACCGCATTGGTAAGTAAGCACTCATACCCTTGAATTCAACTCCAGACATTGGAGCCATGACCAAATCAAAAGCTAGATGGACGGAGGAGCAAGCCACGAGGCTACTACGGCTAGCTGACGAAGGTCTCGCATGGGAGGAGATCCAACAGGTGCGTTTCAATCTACTCCAACATATATGGATAAAGATATCTCCTTTTACGCCGGTCTGACCATCGACAAATCACTCTGTAGCTACCTGATTTCCAATGCCGCAGCGTCTATGCAATCAGAGCCAAGTGGCGGAGGCTGGATGAAGACAGAGGATGCGAGTCAGAAAGCAGCGGCAACGAGATTTTGGAAAAGCAGGAGGACAGCCGGCGAGCTTCGACCCGCTCAAAGCGCTCCGCAGCAGAGGAGTTGCCGCACCGACAGACAAGAAGGATGCGCAGAGACGAACCCTCGAACAGTTATCAGGAGAGTGGCAGCCAGTGGGCTACCACACGCTCAAAGCGCTCCGCAGGAGAGGAGTTACCGCGCCGCCAAACAAGAAGAATGCGCAGAGACAAAACCCCAAGTAGTGACCAGGAGAGTGATAGCGGGGCTGGGGAAGAAGAAATTGATACGGGAGATGAGTCTTCGGACATCTTGGCTGGCGATATCGGCTTCGATGGCACCCTGTGTCGGGTAAGTGGCACAACGCTCCTCTGCTCGGGTTATCTTGCTGATAATATGTCCTCTCAAGTTCTTCCATCGAAGACGACCCTCACCCTCGACTCCATGTTCTGACTTAGCTCCAGCTTCATCTCTCAGTGACGTGATTGACAGGCCTAGTGATCCAACTGAAGTACCTTCCACAGGGACGCCAAAGCCGGCTGCGCAGACAATGGCTCCGGGGCCAAAGACAGGGCTTTTAAAATGCACAGGGGCGTCTTCTTTGGAGAGAGAAGGTGCAGAGATACAGCCGATGCCATCTGCCATCCTTCCAGACTCAGTCGGGCTTCTGGGCAGCCCATCGAATGAAGCTGCTGTTGACACTCAGCAACTCATAACAGCTCTCATTGAAGCGGTGACCACCGGATTTCGAGACGTATTTGCTCCATTGGTTGATCAGCTCGCGCTTAGAGCCACACGATACCCTCACTGGCACTTGGAGGCATTTTCGTCAGTTGGAGTGCAAACAGAGAATATGGCTCTTAGTACAAAGGCAGCGAGAACACCCCCGACTAAGACTGCTCAACGAGTTAGTCAAAATGCAGAACAAACACTACAACAAAACCCCTCGGAGATAGATGCTCAACGTCATACACAATGTGGGAAGCCATCTCAAACTGCCGTACCTACTCAAGTCAACAATTCGCAATCACGGGCAGAACCCATCCCGCCGGTTCGGACAGCGCAGGAGCGACTTTGCCACCGACCACAAGCCGTGCCCTCTCACCTTCCAGAGGAACGATGCGGTCAGAATACGCAGACCAAGTCACCAGTTTCCGATAGGCTACTGGACCAGCGGCTTTTCAAGTCCACACAGCCATTTCCTGGGACCCTACCTGGAACCAACATAGCGAACGAAGTTGGGGGGGGTGCAGCCCATCAGCAGCCTCCGGCCACCATATTCCCTTTGCTACTCGCTGTTCCGCGAGTGGACGTGAATAGCTTGCTCCAAGCCAACCAGGTACCGAAGCTTGTCGCAGCCCTCGGCTTATATCATTCCATGGCGATGACAGACTACGCAGCAGTGTATGAAAGCCTTCAGAGTGCATCGAAACAGCACAAAATTCACCGTGGCAATCTTACTTCCCAGATCAACATACTACGGCGGTGTGTCCTCGGGCTCAAGAAGCATGTCGAGATTTTAATGTCTGGCACGGACAGACGAGGTTACTCGCTCACGAACGCCGAGGAAATGCAAAGTCTTTTGGACGCGATGTTGAGCTATCATGAAGAAGGGCGTTGCATGGTGGAGGGACATTTTTAGGGGCCGAAGGAAACTCGCCACTCTAATTGTATATTGTCCCCAAATGCACTTCGAGATTTGGGTACTCAATGGAGGAATCATCTTAACTTGGTCGGTGATCCTTCGTTAGACTCTGGGCACCCTATATTGTATTAAATAGATATTGGCAGTCTGGAACTCCATAGATACCGCAACCAAGGCTCTTGCAACTCTCAATTTGATCAAGCAAGGATGAAAAATTCTCCAACACTATCATGAGGCGGGATTTGGAGGACTAATCAAACCAATGTAGCAAACAACAAAACAGGCCTAGATGTCCCCAAAATTCAACAAAGAATGTGCTTGATCAATTTCCCAATTCCGGAACCAGACCAGCCTTTATAAGCGCCTGCACAAAATCGACCAAGCTATCTCTCGCAATCTCGCTGATGGCCAATGCATCATTGCCAACCTCTGTAAGATCAATGATCCTACGCTCTTGCGCATGTAGCTGCCGACGGGTACTCGCTGCAAGATCGTCAATCTTGCTGCCTAGTTCTGCGCGCATTTCGCGAATTTCAGTCAATATTGCCGGCTCGATTGAACTGCCAGCCATAGTTTGGGTGCTCGGCAAGTTCTGAGTCTGTCTAGCTGGAGATTCCTGCACCACCGAAACCTGTGGCACCCGGCGTGGGCGTCCGCGAGCCAAGGCCGGCCTGCGTAAAGGGCGTGGTGGGCCCATTTCATTTCCAAGGCCATTTATGCGCGGCGGCGGAGCAACTGACTGGGTTGTCTGATGCAGTCCCGACATATGGCGACTCTGCGCATTCGCTCCATGGGGTGGCACCGTGGTAGTTTCCAGGGAGGTATTAGGACCAAGAAGAGAGGCAAACGGTTGGTGTGGAGGTAGCCGCGGGTCTGGATCTCCACCGCTGGACTTTAAAACGAGATCCGTTAGCATTCAAAATATAGGTAGAATTCAGAAAGATATTTGTCCATACAGGCAGTATTTCCGCAACTCCCTCAGAGCCAGGGTCGGGACTGTGGATCGCAAGTCGACGACGGGCTGTTTCAGGCGCAGGTAAGAGTTCATCCGCAGCCTGACGCTTGTCCAAGGCACCAGGCGCGGATACCGAGGGGTCAGAGTCCGCATCGTCGCTCAGCGGACGAGTTCCAGCCGCATGGCGAGGTCGGGGGAAATTTTGTTCCATGGCGTACAACTTGGCGTAGATGGAGTTCACGCTGCGGCCGGGAAACTCAGGTTGGACTACCTAGCACATGGCGAAACACAAATTAGAGACGCAATACCCAGTTGCAGCTCGTGTGGGTTCGGGAACACGGCAGCGATATGCTGGATAAACACAACGTCAACTTACTCGGGCAATGTCCTTGATAGTCACGCTGTGAGCGTACTGCCGTCGCAGATTCTGAAGACGAGCATTTTCCTCAGCAGTCCACCAATTCTTGGTATTCGGAGCATTCATGGTTTATGATTGTTGATTGCGCGAGAGGAGGTGAGAATGTCTCTTAAGCCGGTTCAGATTGTGTTTCTCTTGGTGCCCTTGTTAAGACATAGACTAAAAGACAATTTAAGACACGATGGGAGCAGGAAGGAAGAGGGAATTGGTCTGGTTATCTAGTGGATGGTAGGGAAAAACTAGCAGGGAACTGGGAAGAACTAAAACGGAGTCCAGCTGCGCAGGTGGGTGCCTTGTGGCCTGAGTAAAACACGAATGTCGCAATGGCTAGTCCATTCTCAGCGTCGTATGTCTTGTTTATGGATCTCATCTCATCGACGAGGTATATCTGCTCCCTAATCCCCAATGTTCGTATGAGGTGGTTCCCCTGCACCAGCGATAATTGTATGGATCAGCAGGGCAAGAAGTCAGTTATCTTACCTAGCACAGCTTGAGATGCGATATTTGATGTGTTCTATTTGTAGTAATAACATAAAAGCGCCAGAATGTTTACAGCGGGGGGATCTAGTCCTATCATACATAAGCACATCTGGATGTAATCAAACCTTGATGCCCATGTAAATCCGGCCAAGAAATCGAACCTTTTACAAAGTATAACCGCAGTGAATGGTCAAATATCCGCCGGACTACCCCTGCCACGTCCAGTTCATAAGCGTACCAGACTGCTCAAGAGCCAATTCAGATCTAGCGGTCTCCTCCGCCAACTTCTCTGCTGACTTCATGCACTCCCCAAATCTTGTCTTTGCATGCTTGATTCCATCTGCCAGAGAATAGAGATTCGAACCCTCTCGGTCTGGAGCACCGATCTGCTGTCCCTCAGGATGGTCTAGCTTTCCATCCACCCCTCCGGTGAGGTTGTCCTTGAGCGCATCCGAGCCGGTCCCACTGGAATATGCTCGCGTTCCTTGTGGAAAGGGCCTGCGGGGACTTTCTTCGGCCAGATTATGGGCGTGGGCTAAGTGAGGTCCGTTCGGAGATGCCCGTGGCGATGAAATTCGAGTTGTGAGCCGACCCTGGCCCAGATTCCCCGGCTCGGAACGATCCATGAGCCTATCCTCAACCAACGAGGATGGTGGGGAAGTCGACCGGTCTGCTTCTGGGCAATGTGGTGGCTCGGCAGCAGTAGATAAGATGGAGTCACGGTTCGGTGGGAAAGGAGGTAGGAGTCGGTCTTCGGTTGCGTGCGGCAGTACGGCTCTAGCAGAGAAATCTCCTCCCCGGTGCTGCTGGAACTGATGTGCGTTTATTCCAGTCTTGGCAAGGATAAAGGTCAGTGGGAAAGCCAAACCAACACGGATCAAACGAATTCTTAGCATCCATACAGATATTGTATCGTTAGTGCCAACACAGCCGCAACCTGGAGCGACAGGAGCTGGGTGTCGGTGACTGGCTCCCCTATCCATAGTATGAGACATGTAGAAGAGCTTGCTGGTGACAGAATGCCTGCTTCGGCCGGGAAAGTGGGTGTAGAATTTCTAGTGCACGGTAGATTCTCATGTTTAGCGAGCCATGTTATCTTAAATGTTGAAGTCGTTGATGCCTCCAAGAAGCTGTAAATCATTCGAAAGGTAGCTCACTTTAGAAAGCTTGTAAGGAGTCAAGTCTGGATACTGGTCTCGCAGACGCTTGAGGAGAGCCACTTCTTCTGCGGACCATTTGTTGATCTTTGTACCGGCTAATGGCATATTGCACGTACTGTCTTTGCCAAGAAGGTGAGTAAGATACTTTGGAATCAGGAAGAAAAACCTGTAGCCACCTTTGACTGAAGTTCCTTATTGAACCACGATCCAGAAGATATGTAAGAAGATAAATGAGGAGAGAAGGAGATGAAGACTAGAGCGGCGTCTATCTAGGTATCAAGGTCAAATGCGGGGGCGGGGGTGAGGGGAGAGGGCAGCAAAGAAACCAGGAGTGAAACTGTGAAAGCAAGTATTGCCTAAGGCCAACGGATCCCAATGCTGCCGTACCTACCTAGCTAGGCGGTTGTTCAGTTTGAGCCTCACTTGCCGCTACTCACTCTCCCTGCCTGCAATTGCCACAAGCTCCTTGGTCAGATTCCTCGTACGTCTATCCCACCACATACTTCTCTATCGAGGTATTTCTGCCAGAGACATGGTAGGTCAGAAAGGGCCCTTGCACAATCCGAAGATGGAGCGGAAGATGCCAGACCACGGCAATCGCTCTCTTGACGGCACTCACTACTGCATCATTCCACCATATAATGAAATGGTACGTCCTCAATCTTTCACTGTGCACAATGGCTTGGAGAACACCCACCTCCGCAATTAATGCCACCGCCAGCAGTACTAGCAGAGCACGCAACTGGGAGAGTCAAAGCTGATGAACCTCATTAGCAAACATGTGGGTCCTACTTGCCCTCCAATATCAATTGATCCGGGAGCCCCTTGGAATCCGCGCCCCAATTGATATTTGATAAGGACATCAACCGACCTTACCCAAAATATGCGATTTATGCCGACCTGAAAACATGTGCAACCCTGGCTTTGCTCATTATCATTCGCTGCGAGTGCGAATACAGGAGGCACTGAGCCAGGTGAAATACCAATTTCTCCCCAGACTTCATGCGTCTTGGAAGCGGATAGCAGATGGAAATAAAGATATCATAACGCACATTTCGAAGGTGAACGCCGATTCAGACCACCCCGTAACGCATGCGGAGAGGGTTCAGGCGTTCTTGACGGGCACGCGCTCGGAAGGAGACCAAATTTACCATCCTGACTTGAGTGTTGAGTTGTGCGATTCTGGGTTTCTGACTTAAGAAGAGCGATCATTCTCAGAGACGGTTCCACATTTCTTGCAATATCCCAAGACATCGGGCCCATTCAGTTGGCCAATCTTGAAGGCTAGGAGTTGATGCTTCTGCTTTGAAAGCTTCTTGAATCCGAAACTCACCAAAATGCGGTTACGAGCCGTCCATAGTCTGGCGTGTCCATGTTTTGTGCCAGCAGCTTCCTGAAACATAGTCGGCATCGTGGATAGAAGGTAGAAAACAGATAAGGGCCTCAAGAAAAGTGATTACACTGTAACTAGGATAGCTGGTGGAACCAGGGCCTCTTCCAGGCGCCTGCTGAACCATCCTGGTGACACTAAAACACTCCACTGGAGAATTCAACGGTCAAGGAAGCATGCGTGGAAGGCACAACGCGCCTCCAGGCTGCCTATGCAGCAAAAGCCTGCCGCCAGCTTCAGCAAGGCCGTCGAAGACTACAATTTCGAGTGCTCTGGCTGCGAGGACCTTGACTGATCACAGGTAGATTAAATAACAATTGGTACGTTTCCATACTTGAAGATTTTAGGCGGTTTACTGAGCTTGAATAGGAATGCGGTATCAATCTTCATGCCCCGATGTCAAGTATCCACTGGCTGATTTAGTGTCGGTTATTGCTGGATTACTGTTCAGGGGATGAGAATTCATTAGAGAGTTCGTCCAGAGATACGGACGGTTATAGGTGCATTAGCCTCTCCAGGACCTGAAAGCGCTTTGTTGGGAGTGGTCTTGGAATGTAGCACAACATCGACCACGGGCCAGCCAAGATACTGAATTGCTAGGTAAGTACGAATAGTCAACATAGTGTACATCTAACAATGATATACATGTACGCAACAATGGGTCCTTCATATCATATACCATTCTCGATAAACGGACAAAGACAATGGTAGGAGCTTTGCAAACCACCTACATTTGAGGTCCCTGAGTATTGCGCGGCTCTTTATACCTAGGTAGCCGAGGTTGCTACTCCCAATCTAGGCGTTGCTGAAGCTCTCGAGGTTAGAAGGCTCGAGAACCAGATGTTCCGCCATTTTCTCCGGGATAGGCTTCCGGGAAGTCACACCTACGCAACGTCGAATTCGGTTGCATCAGTATGACCCTGAACCCCTGCTCCGCCATCCTTGAGCGTTTTAGATAGTCTTGCTACCTTCTGGGCCTGGGTTACCATTCGTTTAGTGTAAAAGTCAAGCCGTGCTTGCAGATTTTGGATATGTTGACTGCAGTCTTTCACTGTTCTTGCAAGGGCTTCTTTCTCCCGGACCTCAGCTGCAAGCTTCTCTTCTATGGCTTTGTGCGAGCTGGTAATGCGAAAGACGTAATCTTCAAGTGTATTCGTCACCGAATAGCGAACCTGGGAAGAGATGTCTTTTACCTGCGATGCACTAAGACCTAATAGTCGATTGTCCTGTAGTCCGGTCTCCGAGGTAGCACTTCCGTTTCCGGTCTGATATATTGTGGCCCCTGGTTGGGGAGCATTGTCCACTGACATATGTGTATTCTGTATTGCAGCATCCGGAGGAGAGTGTGTGGATTCTTGACGCGCCGTTGACTTGGTCTGATCTTGGCAAGTGTTGACATGAGTAAGGGCGTTTCGCATCGCTTCGGTTAGTCGTCGGTGTTGGCTGTCTGGGTACTTCGTACGAGCTTTGTTAGTTGAAGAACCAATGCTGAAGTTGCGTAGAACCTGGCCATCATACACGTGTTTCTTGAACTTTGACTCCTTCAACTGCAGCTTTTGCAAGGCTTGTGTCCGTGACATCCGCCGCTTGCCAGTCATGGCAGGGTCTTTTGATTCTACGTTCACTCATAGAAATCTCATCGGGCAGGCTGTCATCGTGAGGTCTTTTCTTCATCCAGTTTTGAACTTCGAACTCAGAGTTGTAGGGCTCGTGAGCCTTGCTCGCTTCGGGGTTATGGATCATAATATCTTTCTCTTCCGCACCGTCGAAACCATTGTCGACCGAGTCTTGGGTGTTCCTGGATATAGGTATCTCATTTCCTGACGTCTCGCGGCATTTGCCTTCCAAATCGGACGAGCAACCAGAGCCAGGGGCGGAGTCTGGCGTATAGTCGGAATCAGGATCAAAGTCGCAATCCAGAAAAGATTGAGGCTCGAATTCATCATCGGAAGTGGATTCACCAGCTGGATCTTCGATACTCTCGACAATTCCCGCATCCTTGAATGTTGTTGCCGACGTGGAACGTAGTCGGTGCTGTTTAAGTGGGTGGTTTAACTCTGCAGGTCCCCGGACATCTGAGCCCTCCGGTAAGACAGCAGCCCACCAGTCCTTATGATTTCTGAGTACTTCCGTCTTGATCTTTTCTCCTGAACAATTGTGCCAGCCAACTTTGTTCATCATGCTTTGCAGTTTCTTGCTGATAGCTTCCTCACTTCGGTCAGGAAAATGTTTCGATACCTTCTAATCAAGCTCGAGGTGTGAGGGGACGGTCGACTAATAAAGAGGGTATGAGGGAAGGCAAAAGCTCACTAACCTTAGCGAACAGTTCCGTATTCATCCATTTTGAATATTTCTCGCGCAGGCGCAGGAGCCGAACCTCTTGCTCTAATTCCCACTTGCGGTTTCTGGAGCATGTTGCTTGCATTTCGTGGTGCTGTGGGGGTATGACCACAAGATCGCCGAGGGAAACGGTTTTCAGGTCGGGCTTGATAGCGCTTCGCGAAGGGTCACGCCCACTTTCTCGTGGTTTGGTCGGCCTGAAACGATAGAGGAAGGCAAGTAAAGGGTCTGGAGGAGCGATGAATGTAGCGATGAAGAATGTTTCGAAACATCACATTCGGTTTGCCGGGAGCTTCGAAGCGGGTAGGGTAAAAATGCAGACACTGGCATCGCCCGCGGTATTGTGCTTTCGTAGAGACGGATCTCAGTCTCATGAAGGGCGGTTGGTGGAGACAGTGTACCTGACGCTGCCGCCCGTTGCTGGGTTGACGCGCTCTTTCTTTTCCTGGCGCAGGAATCAACACGCCCAGAACCAACGAGAGGACGGAAACAACGGGGCCCAAGCATATTGAATAACATATTTAAGTCGCAATTCCAAGTGTCATGTAGCTCACTGGGTAAAACAATTCAGGCCTACGCTATACAGCCCAAGACCGGGCTCGTAAAAAGTGAGGAAGCAAAAAGTTGTGTCCGGGGTAAACGTGGGAAAAAAATGACCAGTGCCGGGCTCGATCCGGCGACCTTATCGGTGTTAACGATACGTGATAACCAACTACACCAACCGGCCAATTGTTGAACGGCGGCTTCAGTTTTAAATATATCACAAAGAACTTACAGAACAAAATCCACGGTCATCGGGACGCGCCCTGACGACCTTCGTACTCTACGCAAAAATATTGTCGGCACCATCCAGGTTTTCTTCTCTATCGACTAAATGACTTCTTCTTTTTCCTTACCTTATTAATTCGTCAATCTGATTCGCTTATGCCTCTCTTTGCACTCAGCTGTCCATCCCGCTGAGCTTAGATATATATTTATTATGCCACATGCAGAATATTTCTTCAAAATCCTCTTGCTTGTTTGCGATATGTTTACTCTTCACTAACCAATTGGAGCATGCAGCTGAGTGTCAGCGAGTCCTGTTACCTAGTCCCATTTCAATTATTTGCGAGAACCGGTGCTCCCCGTTGTAGTTACGTTGGGGTGCAGATATCCTCATGAAACATCCAAGGGTACGCTCGTCGCGAGTAAACGGTTAAGGTGCCTCATTTATAGCTTCTATGTGACAGTCTACAGGCAGAGTATGCTCTCACTCTATTTTAACGGGTGGCTTCCGTCAAGAGCCTTGAATCAACAATTTACCTAGAATGAAAGGGAGCAAACGCAATGAAGAGCTGCCTGTTCCATATAGTAGTCAAGGCCTGGCTAAGACCCATCATCCCCCATAGGGGCATGGGAGTCTTTCTCTCTGTCCATGCTTTTCTCATCTCAGACTCCCTGCTTCAGCTTTGCCACGCATTTTCCGCCTGTTCCACCTCCGCGGCGCAACAAGCACAACGCGTCTTTGGTATCTCAGATGAAGTTCAAAGCGATCTATAGTGACTTGGTATGGGCGGTTTCGGCCGTGTCCGGAGTCTCAGTTGAGAGTAGAATGGTCCATCTGCCAAGTGGATCATGCCAGACAACTCATCGCAGCACTTTTGGTGAATTTCTGCTATCCCATCGGTCATCCCTCATATGTCCCTATCCACTCGGCCAAGTAACCGGCCGTCTTCCCATTTATCCGCCGGCCTTTTCTTCAGAATGCAGATGGCCCCTCGATGCGGCTCAATGCTGCGGAGTCGCTATTCGTGCCGTAAGAAGGTGCCGTAATCTGGCGGCCGCATCGAGATGATTTTCCAGGCCAGTCCTGCCGACGGGTCTATCTCGAGTCGGGTTGTGCAGAGCCCGCAAGAATGCATCGGTCCAATAGATGACTTTGCTGTTCTAGTAAGAGATAAATACCGTTTGCCCGTGCGTTTCGACCTGAATTGATTCTTGACGGGTGTATGAATTGGAATTGGGAGGTTGGCCCACCAGCAACCAGCGGTAGTGGCTAGCCTAAGCTGTTCACTAGGACGCTCCCTCGAATAGTAAAATCTGGCATCTATCCATGAATCGAACATGATCGAGTGCCATGGTTTGCTTGCGCGAGGATTGCGACCAGCCGGCATTGAGGGCTTGATTGAACTTCAGGCCATAAAAATGCTGAACGAGGTAGGTCGGACAGTTCTGGGATTGCAAAATGTCAGTCTTGTTGATAAAATTCATTCCCGAGTGCTCAGCTTGGTGTCCCTGGCGAAGAGGCTCGCTAATGAGCACAACCGCCAATGCCTTCATAACCAGGGCCAATTATCCTAAGATGGAGACGGTAATTGGGAGTGAGGTTCTGACTCGGAGAGCGGTTCGTAATCTAGACCCAAATCCAAACTATAGATCCGGCAAAGGACGCTGAAGGTGTCACTGGCACTGGACTCTGATCACCGTCGCTTGGCTCTGATCACCGGAGCTGGCGCTGCCGCCAGTAGTGTGTAAATATCACCTCCATTCCCGCCGGAGAGAGTCGTTTCCTCCCTCTCATCCATATCTTTACTTCGCTGGCTAAATTGAGTTCAGGAACCGGCTGTCTAAACTCGAGTTCTGATGCATCTAGTGGCCTGTGTCAGGACTTACACTGCACCAAGTCTGGTTGTTTCCTGGGCATTCTAAGCGTCGTACCTGCGCCTTTGCTTGTGCGATGCGCGTCTAGTTCAGTAGTCCATCCATTTTCCAGCATACTAGTCAAGCAATGCAAATCCAATGAACCTGTTCTGCCGTGAATGTGTTTCTTTGACAAGTCCTGGTATATTATATAGGCAACTAGTTCCGGCCGGCCATCTTAACGTAGGCTGTCAAGTCCGGTTCGACCTGTTCAATGCCCTGGTTCCTGACCTTGGATTCAGAGGTCGAGGCGAGTTGCTAGACTGTTTTGATGGCACCTAATGTACAGTGAAAAGAGTCTAATACTCTGCTTGAGCTGTCGTCATAACATATATCGTTGTTGAAGCGAAATTCATAGACTATTTGGCTGGGCAACTCAACAAACGTCTTGTCTACGAAAGTGAGGGAGTAAATTCTCCCACCAACGCCACCAGCCCCCCTCCGTTTGTTTCCTTGCCCCTCCCCTCTTTCCCTCCCGAGTTCTCTTCTTTTCCTTTCTTTTCTCTTTCCCTCCTGAGTTCCCCTGTCTTATTTTCTTTTTTCTTCTCCTTCTCTTCTCCTCTCGAGTCTCCCTTTCCCCAACCTTTTCTTCTTTTCCACCACGCACCTCTCTTCTTCAACCTACTACTCTTCAGCCTCTCTCTTGTATCGAGATACTGTCAAGGCGAGTACTTAATTCCAGTTTCATATTTCCCATCATCTTTCTCACATCCCCTTCACTAGACGCTCGTCGTTCCCTGTTTCCCTCTCATGGCCAACACAAGTGTGTTCCTACCCCACCATCTCTCATCTGGCCTTTTCAATACTAACATACTCTCTATCTAGCTATCAATTCAACGCTAAACCCAGACGCGATGTCTTGGAATAACAACGACGCTTGGGGAGGTGGTGCCCACACCGCCGCTTCCGGCAATTGGGGAGCCGAGGAGACTACCGGTGCCAGTGGCAACTGGGGTAGTGGTGCAAAAGCTGAAAGCACTGACAATTGGGGAGGAGGTGACGCATCTGGTAAGCGAATTTTTTGTTTGTCCTTCTATCTTCTGGCGAAGCCGCTGTGCCACATAGTAAGACTACGTTTCTATTAGCCCGACTAACACTGCTTCCGATACAGGCTTCGGAAATGACGAGAACCAGAATCCCGGTGATGACAGAGAACGAGACAACAAGTGCCGCAAGTACGTTTTTCAGGAGAAAAAGCCTTCTCTGGTGGTAGCTGACTTGATGACAGCTGCGGTGAAGAGGGCCACTTCGCCCGTGAGTGCCCAGAACCTCGAAAGCCTCGTGAAGGAATGGCTTGCTTCAACTGCGGCGAGGAAGGGTAAGTCACTTAGATCCTGTTCTCGTTCTCTACTCACTCTTTTTAGCCACACGAAGGCTGAGTGTACCAAGCCTCGTGTGTTCAAGGGACCCTGCCGCATCTGTAGCCAGGAGGGACACCCTGCTGCTGAGTGCCCGGACCGCCCGCCTGACGTGTGCAAGAACTGCCAGGAAGAAGGTAAGCCAGAGAAACCACTTCATAATCTACCATGGTTAACAGCAAGCGACAGGACACAAAGCTGCGGAATGCAAAGCAAACCGCAAGTTCGACCTAAACAAGATCCCGGACATGCTTCCCGAGCAGGCGTGGGAAATGCTCAAGAAGGCCAGCAATGATCGCGACCTTGAAGACTTTCGTGAGGTAACACACCTTTCTCGTTCCCATCTCCACGATGTTGTCCTTTATTACCAACCGTGGCACGTGCTGACAAACATCAGGGATTGAAGATCTACTCGAAGGCTGTTCCTGACGCCAGCTTTGCGGATGTCGAGACAAAGATGCGTCAAGAGTCCTTCAACATCTACCTCATCGCTATGGTAAGCTTCGCTATCCAAGTATTCGGATGAAGACTAACTCTATCCCAACACAGAACCGGGAGACGGCTGATTGCATCAGTCTCATCGATCTTCAAGGAAAGCTCAACTGCACGTACGTTGTTGGGTTTTTTTACTCTCCCAAACCCCAACGAGCGAATCTTCGTGAGCGTTGGCCTTCCTCCGTCGAGGAAAATCTTGAGCGTCTCCAAGACGCCGGCCTCCCTTATGACCGCCAGATCCCCAAGTGTGGGAACTGTGGTGGTAGGTAATCGACACTACTTATACCAGTCCTCGCTGATGTCTCTAGAAATGGGCCATACCTCTCGCGGATGCAAGGAGGAACGTGCCGTTATTGAACGCGTCGAAGTGAAGTGCGTCAACTGCAATGAGCCTGGACACCGAGCTCGTGACTGCCAGCAGCCCCGTGTGGACAAGTTCGCGTGCCGTAACTGCGGGTCAGTTTCCCCGACCCTAACTTTATTGTTGTTGCTAACCAGAGTAGCTCCTCGGACCACAAAGCCTCTGAGTGCCCCAACCCTCGCTCCGCTGAAGGGGTTGAGTGCAAACGCTGCGGAGAGAGTAAGTTGTATCCGATCTTGCATTTGAGCCGTTGCTAAAATTGCCCAGTGGGACATTTTGCAAAGGATTGCCCTCAGAATGATGCGCCTAGGACCTGCCGCAATTGCGGGTAAGTACCTTCCCTCACGTTAACAGACCTTTGCTTACCTTACAGGTCTGAGGATCATATGGCACGCGACTGCGACAAGCCTCGCGACGTCTCGACTGTAACTTGCCGTAACTGTGACCAACGTAAGTCGGAACATGATTGATTTCATCCATCTCATCAAGGGCTTGTTGTTGCTAACCTTTGTCTTTACCACTAGTCGGTCATTTCAGCCGTGACTGCCCCGAAAAGAAGGATTGGTCGAAGGTAAAGTGCAACAACTGTGGCGAAAGTAAGTCCCGTTCTCCTTCTCTCTTGTCGCTGAATGACGACCGCTGACTCGTTCTATTCTACTCAGTGGGCCACACAATCAAACGCTGCCCTCAGGCAGAGTCCGGCGATAATGGAGGCGACGGCGGCTTTGGCGGCAACCAAGACAGTAGCTGGGACACCGGAAACGACAACGCCCACGTGGAGACCCAAGCAGACAATGGCAATTGGAACTCCGGCGGCGGCACCCAGGGCTGGTAGTCTGCCTCAAGCAAACGACCATCTCATTGTCCTCGCTGTTTATGCTTCTATTGTTTTTTGTCCCGGTCTAGTTTCGCCTCTGCTTAACGAGTCGACGCAATGAAAGAAGGTAGCAAATATCTGATCATGTTGGAGATCTAACTCCATCTGGAATGTTACTCATGCTGTACCTAGTATGGATCAGTGATCTTGAATTGAAACATTGTCCTTTCTGCACATAGCTCTTTCTCCTAAACACTCCTTGAATAGACTTCTGGAGAGTGCCTAGCATCAGGTTACCACTAAGTTTACATCAAAACATGCTTCGAGTACTGCACACTGAATGCCTGACTATACCCAGAAGTCCTCCAGCGTTGCCGTATGCTCTGGAATCAACGTATATATTGATTCTGCTCCGGACACCTCAAAATTCCCCAGTCGTTTACCTGAGATGCTCCCTTACTTGGCACTGTAAATGCTACTACAGTGTAGCGCCAATTGACTCGTTTCTTCCAAGTGACTGGTTCCATTCGCGAGCAAGAAAAATCGAGAGAGACAGGAGCAGCGCCTATCATGAACGAAAATAAGAAGGCTTGGGATTATTGATGTATACTTCTTCACATACAATTGGAGACAGGCAGTATATACTACTCCGTTGCAAATGACAATCCAGCGATTATCGCCACCAATAAAGAATCTCATATCTGCATGGTCCATCTAGAGCAGCGACCTGGGCCCCTTGAAAGCCCTCAAGGGAGAAGGTCCCCATGGTGCCCCGGCTGGCGAAAGAGGAACCATGTTACCAGTTCTTGGAACTGCCAAATCTCCATGTCTCGGCATAACTCTCCTTCTCGACCAGTAGAGGATCATCTGCCGCAGTTTCGCGGGCCGCGGGGGCTTCAGCAGAACGTCGTCGAAGCCCCTCTCCCTCCACAATCCCCCGTCAATTTGAGGTCGGTAAATGTGTGCTGTCATGGCGATGATCGGCGTCGTAGTTATATTATGGTCTTTCGTGAAAGGTGCTTGGGTGCGGAGGATGTTTGTTGCTTCGATGCCGCCCATCACGGGCATTGCGGTCTGCGGAAATTTCGGTCAGCATGCGTTTCTTCCCGGTAAGAACATAGGAGTGAGCCGAAAAAAAGCCTTACATCCATCAGTATGATACTGGGACGAGGATGGGTGGTCGGTGACGCAGAGAGATAGTCAAGAGCCTCCTGGCCATTGTTGGCGAATGCGACGGTACAGCCGAGACGGTGGAGGAAGCGCAATAATAGCTTTTGGATGACGGCGCTGGCAGAAGTTAGTACTTGTCTGGGCACTTCGTGCACTGTGATCCAGCTTACTTGTCTTCGGCGACAAGGATATGCATATTGCTGGCATCGATAGAAACTTGTCTTCGTTCGCGTTTGAGAGAGGTGTCGAAATCACCTGGGCAAGCGGGGAATGGGGCTGAGACTGACGCCCATGCCGATTAAGATGGTGCAGGTACAGCATGGTATTCGCGGTACCGTAAAATACACCCAGTCCGTATTTGGGCGTCTCCATGGCCGGGGAGCCAGCTCATACTCGTCAAGCTTCAGCGAAGCACTCATGGTTGTGCTATCCTTTGTAGTCTACAAACCTCTACCATTTCTTCTAAGATATTTTGCGGACTGTCAAGTTTGCTTGGACTCCGTGATTGCAACCAACGCAGCTATGTCTCTTCTTGATCTACCCAATGAGTTGCTGCTTTCTATCAGTCATTATATCGAGTCGGAAGCTGATCTCAACTCGTTCCTGCAATCGTGTCGTCACCTACACAACCTTTTACTTGAATACCTCTATTAGAATAATGTGAAGCACCACGGCAGTCTTTCTCTTCACTGGGCAGCCGAGTATGGAATCGTCGTCACAGCTAAGAAAGCAATTTCTCAGGGAGCCAATGTCAATGAAGCCAAGGGGTTTCCATATAACGATTCCACCCTCGATCTGCATTTTACGACAACACCGCTAAGCCGTGCTGCAGCGAAGGGGTACAACGACCTTGTTATTGTTCTCCTGGATGTGGGAGCCAACGTCGAAGCGCCACAATCCTTACTTTATTCGCCGTTGGTGGCGGCAATCAGAGCCAGGAAAGGGTCACTGAGAAGTATACAAATCCTCCTACACCACGGTGCAAGCATCAACAGAGCCGATGGATTAATGTCGACTCCTTTGATGCATGCGGTGGTAGGAAGGAAGCTCGAAATTGCCAGGTTACTCTTGGCTCGTGGCGCCGATCCAAACACGACGGAGGGGAACTCCACACCCCTTGACGTTGCACACCGTAACTGGGAAGAACCGCTGATAGATCTACTTCAGAAACATGGTGCCGTGACATTTAGAGCACTCCTACCAGATCCAGAGTTTCCATGAGTCCGGGAAAGCCGTCAAGTTATCTATGCTCAATAACCCGGCATACCCTGCAAATGATTAGAGAATACTGCGACAAAGATAGAGCAGCGATCGTTGTTCGTGATTTATGGTAACGTTCCCGTCCTTCTCCAAATTTTGCCAGTATGCTTACGGTCAAAGCTAGCCGGAGTACTTCATCATCAGTCTCGGGATCCTGAGCTCGGAGCTTTCCCATTTGGATAGTGCGGAATGAGCAGACGAAGACAAGAATATGGTATCATGTGGCTTGGGGGACAGTTCGCGAGACTGAATACATACTTGGTACATGGAGATGGACTGAAGGGCTCGGTTGCAAGTCACGCCGGATGATAAGTATTGTATTTATTGGCCTAAGGGAAATAAGGAAGTAAAGGATCTCGTCCGGTGGCATCTCAACATGACCAGGGAAGTAATTTCAAAGTCACCAAGAACAAGTCAGCCGAATAGAGCAAAATCAAGCCATACCCAGAGTAAAAAACAAAGCCCGCTATCCTCTTTTTGGGTCCCCTCGTAACCGACATCGGGATTACCTGGGAAACCGGAGGCACCGTTTGACAGGCAAAAGGTCCAACTTCCTCAAGCGCTTTCTAGTTCCTTTTAGCATGAGAAGCTTTCACGGTTCTCGGAGTGCCATTTTTCTGCATTCTACAATGTCGCTTATGGGTCTTCCCAATGAGCTATTGCTCGACATCGCCGAATTTATTGAGGCCGAGAAAGATCTTAGCTCGTTCGTCCGCACCTGTGTTCGCGTTAATAACGTTATTTCTGGATATCTCTATCTCAACAATGTCCGGAAGCATAATAATTCGGCACTACACTGGGCATCTAGTTTTGGTATGATCGAAACAGCTAGAAAGTCGATCTCCCAAGGCGGCGATGTCAACGAGACGTTCGATGGGACTCGCTACAAGGTCCCTCTACGAGCAAGAGGTTAGAAGTTTCCTTCAGGCCGATTTTCAACTTCTGGGCACAATCGGCGCGAAATCGATCCTCTTGCTGCTGGTCAAAGCTAATAAATCACACAGGTGCCGGCAATCAATCCCCAACGGCCGACGCCGGTCAGAACGGCAACGTGGTCTATGACAGTTTTCAGAGTATGATGGAGTTATTGCTATTTTGCAAAAAGAGTACCCCGTTGATACAGGCAGTGTTGCGGATGGATTGCAACTTCATCAAGTTTATCTTGGAAGCAGGCGCTGATCCCAACGTCAAAGCTCACGACGGCTACACAGGGCTTCTGCTGCTCACACGATGGCAACCTAATCTGACCGCACTGAAGCTGTTGCTGGAGCATGGAGCAGATCCTAATCTCACGTCTAATTATCGTACATCGCCTATTGAGCTTGCTGTGTCCGATAATCACGAAGATATTGTTAGGTTGCTGTTGGAGTATGGCGCTGATAAACACTTTGTTGACGCTCGGGGTATGACGCCGCTGGAGATAGCTATGAAACGGGGCCACAACAAGATTGCTGATATGCTACGGGATTGATTTTTTACGATGTTTTCTGGCGACCTACATGCGGCCATGCTCGGAGATGGGCCGAAGAACCTGGTGACGGTGCCACCCTACCTGCAATTACCGCGGCTCAATGTAAGCCAAATTCCCTTCTCTTTCTGCAATTGATACCTGACATGCTCAAGATGACAGTTACACCCAATTTTTGGAGTGCCCAACCCTCCTCAGCCGACCCTGGAGCGCCGAACGCCCGCACGTCAACTAGTCGATATCCGAACGGATAGTTCCAAAACGAATCCCATACCTTGGGGGGAGGCTCCACTGGATACTCGCACAAAGGGATTGGTCGTTGAAGACGTGGCAGACACGGATGCGCAGTAAGGGTCGGGGATGGTTTTGGCCATGGTCGCGGTGCATGATTGATGCTTCCCACTGTAACTACTCCCGACCCAGAAAATGGAAATAAGTGAACCGTTGGAGAACAAAGAACGAATTATGAACACGCGACTGTAACGGGATGGCTCTTGGATTTTGAGAAAAGGTCTTGGTCGCATAGCAGGGATGAGACCGAGCAAGATCAAGCCATATTTTCTGTCGGGAAGGAAGTATGGCGCCACCCTCCTTCAACGTTTACTCCCTCAGTTTGGAAAAGGACGTTGGCTAATCAGCACGTACAGTTGAATGAGCCTCTCTATGAAAAACGTCCTCTGGCTCAGTTCAATGACGAAAGTTGAGCCCTACAGTGTGCGCCGGCAGACTGAGGTTTCTCTCGACAGCAATATATTGTTTGCTGACAGCCGCATGCAGTGGGTTACTCATAGTCCCAACTCCAGACCCTCCCCAACCGCGAATCTCAATCTCATGATCCTTTTTGATTCTGACCGAGGTGGAAGGATCTTCATCTTTCATGTGAAGATGGATACTAAACAATTCAATAATCCGCGAGTCAAGAAGATTTACCTATTCGCACGGATCAGAAACTTAGTCATCCTGGATTTGCCCTGTCCCAGCATCTCAACGGAAATCCCAACAAAATCGCTTGGAGAGTGGAATGATCCAGAAGACGTAGAGAGCACCTGAACGATAAAATGAGGCCATTCCTGGGGGGTTTGAATGCCATTGTGCTGATTTGATACCTCTATCGACCTCGCGCATCTGCAGGGGTAGTTAGCTATCGCCGAACTGGAATCTCAACACCTTACCTTATAAGTATCGCCGCCCTACCGCACCCCGAGACTGCTCACGCATCAATCATCCTCACACAATGGACCACGCGAAGGCCGCGGACAAGTCTCCGCCGAATAATGCACCTGGCTCAACGCCTCACATCACCGAGCTGCCAATGACTTGGTCGAACTGGTACCGGCACGTCAATTGGCTAAACTGCTTCTTCGTCCTCTTCATTCCGTTCGTGGGATGTCTTGGTGCTGTCTGGACCCCGTTATATCTGTATACGGCATTGTTTGCGATCGCTTATTACTTCAATGCTGGCCTTGGGATTACCGCGGGTACGTTGCTCCCATTTCGAGTTGGCGTTTTCTCGAAGGAGATAACTTACTGACCGCACGGTGCTAGGCTATCATCGACTCTGGGCCCATTGTTGCTACAAGGCTACCCTTCCACTACAAATATACCTCGCCCTTGCCGGAGCTGGAGCCGGCCAGGGCTCGATCCGATGGTGGTCACGCGGGCACCGAGCTCACCACCGTTATACCGATACTGAGAAGGATCCATACTCCGTTCGGAAAGGCTTCTGGTACTCCCATATTGGGTGGATTGTCATGAAACAGAATTACAAGAAGGTTGGCCGTTCGGATGCGTCGGATCTCGACGCTGATCCCGTGGTGATCTGGCAACATAAGAACTACATCAGCACGGCGCTGTTTATGACACTTATCTTCCCGACAGTGGTCTGCGGGCTGGGATGGGGCGACTGGCGCGGCGGGTTTGTTTATGGTGGAATACTCCGCGTATTCTTCATCCAGCAGGCGACAAACTGCGTGAACTCACTGGCGCACTGGATAGGCGAGCAACCGTTTGATGACAGGAATTCCCCGCGGGACCATGTTATCACGGCCTTGGTGACGCTTGGCGAAGGTTACCACAACTTCCATCACGAGTTTCCATCCGATTATCGCAATGCGATCGAGTGGTGGCAGTACGACCCGACTAAGTGGATGATTTGGCTTTGGAAACAGGTCGGGCTTGCATACGATCTGAAGCAGTTTCGGGCAAACGAAATCGAGAAGGGAAGGCTGCAGCAGATGCAGAAAAAGCTCGATATCCGCCGCGCGACGCTGGATTGGGGCGTTCCGCTGCAGGAATTGCCTGTGCTCAGTTGGGATGAATTTGTTGCTGGATCCGCAAGTCGAGCTCTGGTTGTTATTGGAGGTGTTATTCACGACGTCTCGGATTTCGTGAAGGAGCATCCCGGAGGCAAGGCATTCATCTCATCAACGATTGGTAAGGATGCGACCGCAATGTTCAATGGCGGCGTCTATCAGCATTCGAATGCTGCGCACAATCTGCTGTCGACGATGCGGGTCGGTGTGATTCGGGGTGGGTGCGAGGTTGAGATCTGGAAGGAAGGGAAACAATCAGTCAAGGCGATGAGCTTTCCGCAGATGGATCGTGCTGGGGAGCAGGTAACGAAGAGACATGTACCTACTAGTAGTAGCTGATCAAGGCTGAGCGAAAGAGTGGTGGTAGGAAGAGATTAGGTACCTAGCGGATCTCCGAAAGCCACCTCCGTCCGTTTGCACACTCCTCTCTTCCACCAACTTGTCACATTTTGGTCGCTAACCGCGAAAAAGAAGACAATTTCCCCCAGAACCCCGCGACATAATCACGCCTTTGGGTGATTGATTTCAGCCGGCGGAAGATGCCTTGCTGCCGTCGCTTAGAAGCCTCGTCGATAACACCGGCGCCGCCTCAACCTCCTGATCATCACACTTCTCGAGGTTACCCACGCTGGGAGCAAGTCAGCCGCTCGCTCGTCAACCTGACCGCGTCTCAATGTTTACAAACACTCTTCGGCAACTTCTCCATTTATTGTAAGTACGTTTGGGCGACCACGAGACACGCGAGTCTTCGTCCCTTAAAGCGCGGAGGACTCGTTCTCCTAAACGAAAACATGAGAACATCGGAGTAGAACACTTGCATATTTGAGGTGAGTTTGAAAGAGATACGGCGGAGGAATAGGGGCCAGTTCGTTCAGGGGCCGTTGACCGTTGGCGAAGAAGAATGAAATCCCGGGTGTTCGGTGATCAGGTACGGTACGCATTTCCCCTTTATTCTCATGCGGGCGCTCTCGACTGACCGAAGTCCTCTTAATAGGTGTCCGCAAAACTCTTCTGAGTAGCCGTGCCCGTTTCGTTCAAATCTTGACAGATTGCCGACAACAGCCTCCACTCCCAGGCCGACGTCCGCGAGATTCCTTTATCCCCCGTGTCCTTTCGTATACGACGTACTCGTGATAACTCATCTGTTACACCACTTGTGCAAGTTGGAGACTAGCGCTCGGATTATATCAGACATAAGGGTTTCCTAGGAGGCATTGGGGCCAGTCTTTCAACATGATACAACGAACCCGGGGCCCCTGCGCACTGGCTGGCCGAAGCGATAGACTGCAGGATTCCTCAAAAACTATCCCTAATCTTCCTCGCTATGAGCCATCCACTGAATATGCAGGACGATGATGCCTCGGTGATGGCTGAAATGAGACGATGGCTGTAGGTGGCGTGGGACTGAGATACTAGACGAAGCTGACCGAAGCACTTGAACGCCAATAGAGGAATTCCACGATGAGTGGCTTGGATACTGCTTAACTGTTGGTCAAGCTGTTTCCACGGCTTCCAGCACACTGTACATTTGCTCGACGGCCGCTGGTTTTGGCAACATCTTCAAAGTCGCCGAAAGAACTCTGGTCGTCCAACATATTGAGATGGAGAGAACCACAGACCCCGAGATGACTCTGTACACAGCTCGAGAGTTGAGGATTGTCCATGCCGATTAGAGTGGGATCGGGAATTACCCGTGGTGCCGTGGTCGCGCATCATCTTCCTATCGGTTGGAATTGCCATGAAAACATTACCTAAGTAACGGAACCCCGGGCTCCTTATCTTTGATTGACACACTTATCAAGCCCCCTCTGACGCGAGTGGGGAAACGGACAGAGTAGGATGAAGATGCTGGCCTCTCAGAGCTGAGATCTTGATGTCCGGGGCGCTGTTTGACGTGGAAGCCTCTCTAGGGTGCGAGCTTCGCGTTGTACAATTCCGGAGTCTGCTTTCCTACCTTCAGCTTTGATGCGGGGTTATCGTGGTAAGCTGGCTCTATTTATGCCGCTCAGCATCCGTCATCTGTTCAGGCAATCGCGCATCTTGCTGACACCTTCAACAGCCGAACATGTCCACATCATCGAATACCGTGCGGGTCGCAGTCACCCAGGCAGAGCCGGTGTGGCTTGACCTTGACGCGACAGTGGAAAAGACGTGCTCGCTGATCGCTGAAGCCGCAGCCAAAGGCGCCCGGCTAATATCCTTCCCCGAGTGCTGGATTCCAGGTTATCCGGCATGGATATGGTGAGCTGCTCATAATCGTCCCAGTGATTCAGTGCTAATAACAGTTGATAGGTCCCGCCCCGTCGACCCTCCTTTGACCACAACCTACATGCGCAACTCGCTCAAGCTATCCTCCCCGCAAATGATCAAGATGCAAAATGCCGCCGCTAAGCATAAGATCATTGTCGTTCTCGGATTCTCCGAAAATATTTACGACAGTCTTTATATCGCGCAAGCTATCATCGACGCTGACGGAGAGATCCTGACTTCGCGAAAGAAAATCAAAGCAACACACATGGAACGAACAGTATTTGGCGACTCGACGGGCGATTGTCTCGATGGTGTTGTTGATACTTCAATTGGAAAGGTTGGAGCGCTCTCGTGTTGGGAACATATCCAACCGCTGCTCAAATACAATAACTACGCGAAGCGGGAGCAGATCCATGTTGCTGCCTGGCCGCCCATCCTTTCGCATGCGCATGATGGGCCGGATAGTCTGTACTCCATGTCGAAAGAAGGTACGTTATTATCTTTTTGTTCGACAGTAACAGACGGAATTATCTAACTCCTTACAGGAACCACGGCTATCTCCCAAACATATGCTATTGAGTCCCAATCATTCGTTCTTCACACTACGGCCGTTATTACGCAAAAGGGAATCGAACGAATGGGCACGGAGAATGGCGCGCTGATGAAATCTCCCGGTGGCGGAAACTCCGCTGTTTTCGGGCCCGACGGACGCAAGCTTACTGAGGATATACCGGGACATGAGGAGGGCATCCTGTACGCTGATCTTAATCTTGAAGCGATTTCCTTGTCAAAAGCCTTTGTGGACGTCGTTGGGCATTATTCGAGACCAGATCTGCTTTGGCTGGGTGTCAAGGAAGGCGAGTGCAAACATGTTAGGACGCTTGCTGAGTAGCGTTGCTTGGTACGAAGGTATAGTCAGAATATTGGCAGTAAGTGTATTCTCCTAGCTAGTAAAGGACCAAAAAAAAAAGCCGAGAGAGTCATCGTGCAGTGTGCAGTAGTTGGCTAGAAAATTACAGCGGAGGCCAGTTTGCAAAAAGAAAAAAAAAACATGGAAAGAGAGACTGCAGGTGTTTCAGGTCAGAATCCCGGAGTCCCAGAACCCAGGAGGTATTTCAATCCATCGAACCAGCCCCTTATGAATCCCCACGAGCGGTATCTTCACCGTCCTCCTTTCCAAGCATAGCGGCCAGTGACAATAGACTGGGTAGATTAAACCCGCGCAAGCATTGCGCCAAATCATGAACCAGAGCGCGAGCATTCGCAGTGTCATCTATCATAAGGCGGACCTTCTCCTCGGTGGCTCGTTGCTCTGTGATAGTCTCATCGTAAAGAGACTCTAGAATGTTCATCCGGCGATGGAGCTGACCGGTTGCTGTGGTGAGCTTCTCCATTTTGTCCTGCATGGCCGCATTGTCTCCCACTAGACGGTCAACTTGCTGTTGAAGCTGCTTGATTGCCTCAGTGGACTCGTGGACGCGGGGAGAGCGATTGTCGATGCAGGCAACGCGGTTGATCTGAGCGTTGTTGAGCATTCTCGATAAATTTTCGCTGAGCTGGAAGATCTGGTCCCCGATAGCTCGATCTTCCGCAGCAGAGCCGGCCATAGCACTGGAGGCATGGGATCCATGTGCTTGGATCTGAAAAGGGGCCCGACTAGTTATTTCGTGGCCGATTTGCGTCTGAGGTAATGGTGTACGCACATCTGCGTCCTCTCCGCCGTGGTCTGAGCCGGCCGCAGCGGTGTCCCAATTGTCATCAAACCCGCTCCAACCCTCATCATACTGAGACTCCGACCCCACACTCGTGCTTCGCTGTCTCGACTGGGTCGACGTTTGCGCGGCAGGTTGGGGGGCTGTGGTGCGAGGACGCGCCAGCTGTAAGCCGCCGGTCGATGGAGGGAAACGGGTTCGAGTTACACGCCGTTCGCTGTTTTTCTGAAGCCCACGTCCAGCGTGGCGCTTCTTAAGCGCGTCGTCTTTGTCAAGCCGATACCATTGTGCGATGATAGACGCCGAGGTCCTTCCAGGGAAGGGGTGGAGCTGGTGGGGTTGGATGAGAATCAGCTAAAAGGCACCGAAAGCATTCGTGTACTTTGACAGAGCCGGGGGGACATAAGGGTACAAGCTGCAAACATACCTCGAGAAACTCTTGCCAGGCCAGATCGGGGCACTCGCGCCGCTTGTTAAGCAGGCGCTTTTTGTCCTTCAGTGTCCAACGTTCGTGCTTGGGAGGAATGGGTGCCATTGTGAGAAGACTGGAATGAAGTGTTGTCGGTGTTCAACCCTTGGTGGTCGGATTCGTTATGGAGGGAGTTGCGTCGAAAAAGGGACGTGGATGTTGGTGGGAAGATGGCGTGGAGGTTGAAGGAGGCCGAGTTCTGCTTTCAATAGAGCCATCGCTCATCGACAATAGCGAGGAAGCCGTTCTAGGTGAATGAGTTGCTTGTTGGTGTAGTGAAGACGCCTTTTTGTTGGGGCAGGTGAATCACATGGGACTTCCAGGGCGAGGCTAATTGATGGACACTATTCAAACGAAAAGGTCTTCGGACTGGCAGGTTAGAAGGCCAGCTTAAGCAAAATCTTTGGTGCATTTGGTCGCTTTGGATGGTGTGTACATACTGTAGGGAGCTCCGAAAAGAAGTTTGTGACGTTCAGGACAACTTGGTTATCAGACTCGGGCTGGTATGGGACCGGAGCTTGTGGTTTACTTTGCTTGCCGAAGAACAAAAAAAAAGGGTTGGGTAATAAGTAGAGTATGCCAGTTAGGAAGATGTGGAGTTGGGGATATCATGGGTTTCGATCATTGGAGAAATGCGGTTGCTGTGAGACAGAGGCATCTGCTTGGTTGGTGAATCGTGCTGGTAGACCGGAGCAGGGTAATATTGCAGCTACTGACTATTAGCCGCTATGCAGGGCTGACGAACAGCGACCTTCGTGAGAGGATATACCTACCTGTCCACTACATAAACTCATTGAGCCTTGTGCGCGAAGCCTGGGTACGAGGAAGATACGTATGGAACAGAAGAGTCATTAATGTATTGTGCTGCTTAGAAACCACAAGGCAATGATTCCAAAAGCTCACGCTTTGTAGATACATGAGGGCAAGCGGACGAGAGGCTAAGACCGTCTTCTGCTCTAGAGCAGTAGAAACAAGGAAGATTCATAGCCTAGACCTTGGCCACCAGCCGAAATACTTCAGTGGAGCATAACATGTTGGTCAGCAGGCCATCAATCGTAAATGCCCAGATCATGACACCATATCCGATCGGAGCGAGAGAAAAAAGGAAGCTCCGGCGACCCCTGGTCCTCACAAGCTTGGAGTAGGTGCAGCAGAGTCATTCTGCTTGGCTTCCTGGCCTCCAGCAGAAATCCTGTTTGCAACGCTCATCTCCCCTATCCACTGCAAGAGTTGCTGCACTTTGGCGCGGTCAGTGGCCGCATCCTCCTTGAGCGTCTGAATTGTTGCTGCTTGGCTTTCAACGGCCGCCTTCAGCTCCTTGACCGTTTCTCCGTACGCCACAATCTCGTCCTCCAGGTCGTTGTTTTGTGTTATAGCACCATTGTACATGGCCTCCAGCGAATCCATTCGGCGGTGGTGCTGCTGTGTCTGACCCAGAATTTCTTCAACTCCAGCGAAACGGTCTTCGTTGTCAGCGAAGTAGTCGGATAAGTCCTGGAACAGACGGGCGAAGAACTGAGCTGGGCGCTGGCGGTCCGCGATAGTGCGTTGACCAAGAGCACGAGCTGGAGCAGCAAAGGACCCAGAGCTTGCTCCAGTTGTCATGGCGATACGGGTGCCTCTGCCTCTGCCCTTTGCCGGTACCCTTCGAGCAACTCTTGCCCTCAGCCCAGAATTATCGTAAGCATTTTTGTTGTTGGCGCCTGCGCCGCCTTGTCCGTCTTGGGGCCCCATTTCGTCATCCATTTCATCAGAAAGGTCATCGTCAGCGTGAACCCAGTCTTCGTCCTCCCACTCGTTGTCTTGGTTGCTGTCCTCTCTGCCATTTGCCGGGCGTCCTCGTGTCCTCGCTGGGAGCCCGGAGCGACGACGCTTGACGCCAGTGGTGGTTGACCAAGCAGGACCATTGCCCGCCGCGGTAGTAGTCTTTGTAGTGCTGCCACTGCGAGTGTCTTTACAGCCGACGTCGAACTCCTCCAAGTTCCGCGTCAGGTTGAGACATCTCCACCTTGCTGCTATGGCGGTGGGCGTGCGCCCTGGAAACGGGAAGCGCTAAATATGAAGAAGCGGGGGTCAGCCAAGTGAAGCCATCAGGATCAGAGCAAGTTAGTATGAAGGTCGGCACGTAAATCCGGAATAATAAGGTTGGTGGACGGCTTTTCTTGAAAACAATTAGAAAACGTACCTCTGCAAAATCTTCCCAGTTGATATCAGGGAACTGCTTCCGGTGCGACACCAAGCGGACTATCTCCTCTTCTGTCCAGCAGTTCTTGGGGGACATGATAGGAGGATTCAAAAGACTTTATCCGACGTGTTTAGATCGCTGGATTGTAGGAACGGAGCTTGGATGCTAGAGAAACGCCGATAGTGCGAGATACCCAGCCTTGACAGGAGAAGACCAGAGGCTATTGAGATATGGTAAGCGCAAGAGCTCGAATGGTCGGGGGGAGTGTAAGAGGTACGAATATTGATGTGTTGAAGTGTTCTCGTGACGGAACTAAGACTGCACTCTGTGTTATGCAGGAAGCGTCCCCCCAGCGGGTTGAGACATTGAATACGGACAATAGCGACAACAGAAGGAGTTCGAAAATAGAGAACAGGATTCACAATACCATCTCGGCCATCGACGGTTCATGTAAGTGGCAGTCTGATAGTTTGACATTGAATTAAGGTAGGAGTCAAGGCTCTGGGGGTACCGATAGATCCAGGAGCCTGAAGCAGTGGATGATCCACTCCAAGTGTCCTACACTATTCTCATGCTGTTATCTTCTATTGTTTTGTGACTTTCTGTTTCAAACTGGTTGGTCACTATCATGTCTGATCACTGTGTCCGATCTGGATCGCATTAATGATGAGTAGCTTTCACGATTGAAGAGAACAGTGGATGATGAATTGATATTAGAGCAATGCCAAGTAAGCTACACTGCTTGTATGTTCAGGGAAGAGAAAGTAAGATTACCCCAGATTCAAGATGCTGGACCAAAAGGCCATGACCAAATTTGGCATTGAAATATCACAAAAGAGGTAGAAACACATCGATAAAATCCAGTTCCAAACGCTCAAGAGCCTAAGCCATACCCCGGTTCCCATGCGGTGGTTAACAGTAAAGGCAAGAATATGTCAAATATTTGAAAAAAAGTTGCACGACGACGATTATCAAGTTGAAAATAACATAAGGAAATGATTGATCCATTGAGACCAGCTCCAAGGCACAACGTTCTGCGGCTAGCTGTCGCCCGTTCGAATGGCAGACGAATTATGAAAACTCGCGAGGGAGAAAGGAGGGCTTCATGATGGATATACGGTCAACTCCACGATCCCGCATCGTGGTTTTGTCCCTGGTAGGCGTTGCGAAAAGATTCTGATGGTGAGCGGCCACGGTTGGCGTGGACGCGAGGGAGGAAGGAGGGCTTAATGCTAGATGCACGGTCAACTCTAGGATCCCGCACCCTGGTTTCGTCTCTGGTAGGCGTTGCAAAAGCATTCGGATGGTGAGCGGCCACAGTTACAGTGGGGGGATATTCGACCTGCTTGCTCCCCGACATCATGCTCACAACGTCGCAGAACCGCATATTCTTGACGCAGCTCATCACAGCATCCGTCTCCTTCAGCCGGCCTTGCAGATCTGCGATTCGATTTTCATAGGCATAAAGCCGTCCCTCAAGATCTTCGAGATCGTCTGCGGACCTGTGGAAACAAGTCTCTAAACTTGCGAGGCGGCGTTTCATTTGGCTTGTTTCCTTTTCAAGTGCTTCAATGCGCTTCATGTACTGGTCGTCATGCGCCTGAATAGCTGCGTCTTTCAACGTTTTCTTGATGACTGGTGCCAGAAGCGGCGCAAAGGGCGTTGTCTTCTTGGAAGAAAGGGGTGGACTAAGTGGAAGAACAAACTTTTTGTTTAACTCCGGAACCGTTGCGAGAGGAGAAGCGATGTTCAGGGCGAGAGGTGAAGTGGGCCTGTTTTGATTGGGGGTAGAGAAAAGTTCAGTTGCGCCTTCCGCTATTTGCGGCGGCTCTTGCATGATGCTATCAACTTCCGGAGCCTGGTGACTGGCCTGGGGTGACGAGCCTGCAGGATCCTCGGAAAGTTGGACAAGCGTATTTGCTGGGTTGGGCTCTCCAAAGGGTTGTGTAGCTAATTGCTGTTGAGAGGGGATTGGCTGTGGAAGATCACCAGTTAGAACCTGTTGTATGATAAGTTCTGGTTGAGGTAGTGCGGTAGAAGGTCCAGACTGGACTGCAGGAGTTTTGGAAGTCGCAGGCGTTGCCGTACTTGCCGCAACTGCTCCCGGACCAGGGGCGGTCCGCTCGGTCCTAGGGCGCTTGCTAGGCTTCATCTTCATAAGTCATCAGTAGTTGCGCCGAGCTAGAAGTGCGACGGCATCAAAACAAACTTACAGAGTTCACCTTCCCGTCGAACCCAATATCGCCACCTTCTTCGTCCGTCTCCTCGTTGTCATTCTCCCTCTCTTTCGTTCCCTGCTCGGTGGCTCCAGCAGCCTCAGCAGCATTGATGCTCATTCCGTTGGCGTGGCCGAGACTACCATCGAGAATCTTCTGAGTGGTGACGCTTTGGGCGTCGCTGATCGAGCGCTCCGCACTGCCCTCCTCTTGGGCGTCAAGACTGGACCCGTTGCCTTTCTTCATGCCTTTGTCTTGCGCTTTTCTAGGACGGCCACGTCTAAGCTTGCGAGGGCTGCTCGTGCCTGCGTCTCCTTCTCCAGTCGCGGGGCGCTTCGCAGAGCCGGCAGAGGTGTTCTCCTCACCTTCCTTCATGTCCATATCTGTTTTCGTGGAGGAGCGCTGGTTGACGGCTTTGTTGTAGGTGTGGGCCAAAGAGCGCAAGGTTCGGTTGGGGAAAGGGTGAGCCTATTCGCATCGCCATAGAGGTTAGTCCTGTTCCAGAATACGTGTAAAATGCGCAACGTTCCAAGTGGGATGAGTAGCTTATGGAAGGGGCTTAAGATTGAGAGGAGCTTCGGTGGCCAACCGCCAGGAGAGGCCTCGCAAGGCCTGGAGGTAGAACAATGTGAGAAACTTACCTTCACGAACTGATCCCAGCTAATGGTATGATCCTGCTCGCGCAGAGCCACCAGGCGACAAACCTCTTCTTTGCTCCAGGGGACCTTTTTTATCTTTGGCTCACTCATTGTTAGTGTCGCGATGTGGGGGAGGTCTAAAGAAGTGGGATATAAAGGAGTATGTATGAGTGAAAAATATATAACAAAGGGCTAAAAGATGAGAGTAGAATCTGGGAAAGGATCAGAGGGGTGCTTTGCGCGAAAGGTGGATCGAGCGTATGTTGAAGAATGGTTTCCTGAGGAGATGGGTGAGCTGAAAGGGTCAGCGCGAGATGGCTGCCTGGGAGCCAAGACAGAGTATGATAGCCAGACGACAGGAACTTTCTCGAATTACTTCATGCCGATTGCAAGAGAATTGATTGTGGATTTGAATGCCATCGATTGAATTCTTCAGCTCAAGCTAAAGGTACATGATAGAAATATGTATGCTAGTAACAAAGATAGTCCACCAAAATGCCCGGTCTAGGAAATGAACTTCCAGAAATATTCTTCTCTAACGTAAATTCCCACCGGTCACAAATGAAATCCAGACTTGCTGCAACAGATCCAGAACGTAATATGCTAATGAAAGATTTCCAAAAGGAGACAAATCCACAAGCCGAGACGATAATCTGAAGCATCCAAGAGAAAAAAAAAGCGCATCATTCGCCCAAAAGCTCATCGTTTAAATTCCTCAATCGCGCACGAAGCTTTCCCACGTGTCTAGCGAACTCAACCGTTTGAGCCACTCGCGCACGCCGTTCGTCGATCTGACGTTGGATTTCTGTAATCTTCTCGGTCTCAGCAACGAGGCCCTGACTGAGTTCCGCGACCTCTTGATCTAGTTTGGCGAAGTCGGCTTCTAGCTCCTGCTCCATCTCGTCGAGTATAACGCTAGGGTCTCGGTCGTCCAGTTGGTCGATGTGGTGGACGGACCAGGGAGAGAGGATCGGGTCAGGAGCGCGTGGTGAGGAGAGCGGGGAAGCAACGGAAAGGGAACGCGAGAGATGAACGTTTGGTTGAGAACCCATTCTATTCTCTTCTATGGCTCCGGTCACTGCTGGGAGACGATGAGAAGGGCCGACGACGGGTAAGTGAGGGGAGACATGCCCGTTGTCTTGCTCTTCCATTTCGATGTCTTCATCCGCTGCGATCTGTGGATGGTTGGCATGGGAGGACTCGGCTTCGAAAGCAGGGGCAGGTCTATCCCGGGGAAGCTGGTTTGTGTAGGCTCGCCAACCGGATGAGTTTATTGTATAGCGGAACTGAAGTGTGTTAGCAAGTGGCATTTGAATGAGGTGAACAAAAGGGAGACATGGGCAGCGACGACTTACTGGGCGGTCTCCAATAAACGAAACGGGGCTGTCAGGCTCGTGTTGCTCGTCCCCATCTCCAGCATCATGCCATTCGGCGGGTATGTTTCCGACGCCCATGCTTTCATCATCACTGTCGGAGGTGATGGAGCCTGTCATTGTGCGATCAAGGTGGCCGTGGTCGTCCTCGTCCTCAGCATCATCGGTATCACAGTTTTCCGAATTGAGTTCTTCATCCTCCTCCTCGTTTTCCTGTTGGTCGCCGACGGGCTGTGCAGCGGCTGCAACCATGTGATGAGCTTCCTGGCCGGGCACGCTATTGCTATAGCTACTGATGATGACTGGGTCTTGTTGCATGCCGGTAGACAGTCGATGAGGCTGCAGGTGCATCGGGAAGGGGCGCGGCAAGGGAACTCCAAGGTTTTGCGGTCTGGGGAGCAGAGGAGGGGATTGCTGGGAGAGGGGTTGAGCGGTGGCCATCGCCGCATTTCCCTGTGGCCGGGTTCCTTGAGTGTTTCTTTGAACCTGCCCTTCGCTCAGAGCACGGTCAGTAGTCAAGACTCTGGCCCACTCGCGTGAGAATGGCAGACAGCGGAAACCTCGAGCACGCATCGAAATCGAAAATTGACCCTGTAATGCATTGTTCGAGCGTCCGGGGAATTTGTGGCCGTGGTCCTTTCAGCACAGACGGTATCGAGTCAACAGAGAACCGGCAACGGAAATGAATGACCTTGTTGCCAAACAAGAAACAAGACATGCAGAACCGACGAGCAATTATAGGTAGGGAGACATACCTTATAGAAATCATCCCAGCGTTGACGCGGATTCTGCCTGCGAAGGTTGAGTAAGAGGTCAATTTCTTCCGTCGTCCATCTGGCCGGCGCGCGAGATGGTACGGTGGTCGCCATCTCCGGTAGCCAAGCAAATATCACTGAAGAATGACACAGACAAGTTAAAAAAAAGAAGGGAGGTACAATGGAGAGGAGAGGTAAGGAAGGGTCAATTTTCGGGGGATCGAGTTGGTATTTATAACTAAAAAGAAATGAGCAACGCAGGGCCGCATAGCTCTTCATTCACTCCAGGCCCCCTTAGTCAGTGAATGAAGTCAGTTTCCACAGAACTCACCAAACCTTTGCAGGGAACCGGCTCCAACTAGATAATATCTGCACCTCATGCGCTGTGCACCACCTACGTAGACCCTTTTATTTTTTTCAAAGTGAGTCTGTGCTTTTGGCTTAGGTGCGGGAGCAGCCGTGCACTACCGGCAACTCCCAGACCAATGTGCAGTGTTAAAGGTCCATCTGTGGGGGGGGGAAATGCTAGAGCCGCAATTCGCCAACGGTTTTTTTTTTCTTACCTCAGCAAAATTTCTTTCTGCCTATGCTGTAGAAATAACGGTGGTCTCACGAATTCAAAATAGAATCGCCTCGCATCTCCTCTGATAAGGATGTAGCATTTGGGAACCCGAAAGTAGTGCAGGTGCGCCTGAGGAGTCTTTCATAAACACACCATTCCACTTGAACCAGAGAGCTATGAAACAAGAATATAAAAGCGAGCATTTGGAACTACAAAGGGGACGACAATTTCAACGAGCTCGTTCCTGCTGAGAACCTCCTCGTAATGTCGCGTTTTCCCCCTCAAGAGGAGGTATGACTTTCTCTCGGGCTTCACTACCTAATGTCGCCCAGCAATGACGGGGCATCGTATAAATGCGCCCCATGATATCCGGCCCCGCGAAGAGCCTCATTTGGATGGTGCTGGGCGCGATCAATACAACACTCTATCCCAAGCATGCGGGCTTTTAAATCTCTTGCTTGATTCACAATAGCAACAAACAGCTCTCTTACCATATCATGTTCCGCCAGATGGCGCAGTGTCTCTGCTGTGAGTGCAAAGAACAACATATCATTACTGACAGACGGCTCGCCCGGATCCTGGTCAGGTTTTCGGTGATCAGAATGGCGGGTAAGAGGAGCTTGGCTCATGCGTGAGTAGATCAGTGAGTGAGGTGGAGAGAATGCTGTGGTTAAATGATTGAAACCATTGAGTTTGCTGCAGCCGAGCACGTCTCCCATTGGGGTCGATATCGTTTGCCCGGGATGAGCGACGTTTAACGGTGTATCAGTTCGTCCACCAGCGCTTTGGCGGAGTGCTTGTGCTGACTGCTGCCGCGGGGTTTCGGCTTGAGACACCGTCTGTTCGGATTGATGGTTCAGATCCATCATTTCTAGTCTTTATGGATGAATATTATCTCTACCTGCTTACTCCGAGGCTTGAGGTGCTGCTGAAGACTACCAGTTGGCCTTTCTGATGCTCGGCTTGCAACGGAATCCTCATTCTGCTTTTGCTCTTCAAATTGAGCTGCTCGTAGTTTTGCCATTTTCTGTGCCCTCCGCCGTTGGGTTAGGCTCATTTGTTCATATGTGGTCGACTGTGGAACATCGTTCCAGCTTCGCTCATTCGTAGGAGGCATTTGAGTAGCCGATGGCGCTGATTCCTGAGCATGACTTGGTAGAAACAGGCAGGGATTTCTAGGAGGCTGAGTAGCGGTGGACGACTGATGTGTGAGGCCTGGAAGATACTTCAACCCTTGAGATTCAGACCTACGCGTGCTCGTAAGCTCACAGGGTAAACCCTAGTACACTTCCCGGTCGCAGCGGTATGCTCTTGTCTGCCGCGGAGCGATCTGGTTCACACAAACAACCATGAGTAAATGCCAGAGCGTCAAATATGGTTTAACTTGGAGGTCGATTGGGTGCAATATTTTGGTGTCTATGATAGCACCGACTCTGCTGAGTCGACCAATTGCCCGGATAAATTGGTTGTACCGTTGGAGTTGGTACAGCGGGCGAAGTCCTCCCGTCTGCCATCTAGAATCCTTCAGTCCAGGTTGATTCGCTTGATCACTGTGATCGGATATTCGGGTTGAATGCGCTAGAGAGCGAGCGTATGGTGTGTCCATGCTCTGCCTCTTATATGCGCAGTTTGAGACAGTTGTGGTGTCCAACGATGATCCCTGGCGTCCATGACCTTGTGGAGTCTCCGCTTCCGACTTCATTGTTCTACCCCCTTGCGATGTTCTCGGAGGACCATATGGCCACGTTCCAACTTCACTAGGCCCGGATTTCACGGCCGTATTTTGATGTTGTCCCATATTGGTCAATTGATGGCTCCCCTTGGACTAGACTGGGCCAGTGTGACGTGCTGATGGAAGGATGATTGTCAAGGATTAGAGGCTGTGTTTGAGGACCAAATGCTTGAGCAGGGACGGAGCATACGGGTTGCAAGGGAGCGGCGGACTGGAGTTGCGCTTAAGAGGATAAACAATTAGCTGGAATTGACGAATCGAAACTGGGTACTTGATCACCCTTACCAGGAGTACATCCCAATCAGAGATCATATTTTTGGCGGAGACAGATCTCGCAGAAGGTGTATCGTTTCCACCAAGGGCTGCCTTCCCAACGGACGGTATTGCTGCGTTTGTCCTTTCATGTTCGCCTTGGAATTTTGGACTCTTGATGTGCTTATGGGCGCCATGGCCATTTCCTTGATCATCGCAATGCGTATCATTACCTGGGCGATTTCTCTTGGTGGACACTCGCTATACTTTGTCAGCAGCGCGTTGTCACCGGCGCGGAGAGAGGATGACGGGTCGTCATCCAGCGCAGGCCCGCTCTGTACAGCTGCAGGGTTGTATTTGTCCATGCTGACCTGCTAAATGTCAAAATATTTGCTAGTTCAATGTCGGACGACGAATAAAGTAAGAAGCATTACACTGGATATCATTGATTCGTGCTGTGGATGGATAGGCTCTGAGATGAAACGTACACTACCTCTTGAACGAACTGGACAGGATATTTGTCAAAGATCTAGACAAAGCCCACATAGGATCGCTGGATGTGGAACTCTTGACAGTACTCAATGATGGCTGGGGTGAGAATCAGATACCTCCTGCAGCAAATTTTCTTTTTGGATGCTGGGCAGCAGCGTGGTAAGTGCGACCAGAGAATAGAAGTAGTACATGTTAAAATACATTGCAGGAGCCTCCTAGGTACCTAGACTCGGAGGCCTGGGACAGTTCCTTCCACACCGAGTTCCGTGCTCGTATTTTCGGCAGGGGCGCTTTGACCACTTTCATCCCATACCATACCATCAGCCATTTTGTTTCGAGTTTATAACCTTGATATCGAAGTAACAGACCGTAATTCCGGAAATACAACACACACAACTGGAACGCCACATCTGTGCTACGCCGCTGGGCTCGCAACGCACCATATTAAGCCTTGCGCCACTTCCTGCGTTTGGGGTATCTTGTTTCCAAACAGAGTTTAAAAAAAGCACCAAATTCTTCCCATGCATTGACGAGCGGAAGCTCAGCTTGCTCTTTGGAATACGGGTTTAGCGGCACTGCCGCATCGCGTATGGGGTCGGGCAGTGTTTCTGCAACTGGCAGCGTTGCTGTTGGGTTGCCTTGAGTCGGTGCCGGTGAAGAGCTTTGAACTGAATGGATCCTCGAGTTCTCCTGCATCAGCGCTGGCCCGGAAATCTGCTCCTGCGACGGCCACGCCGGCCCTTGAAGTTCAACCAAGTGTTCTTTTTTGTAGTACGCTTGAGCCGTGTTGAATCTCGATGATTCATTCATCCTCTGTCCGAGTTCCTGCCTTGACAATGGAGCCGACGACGAGACTTGCTCAAAGAAGGAGGGTACACCTTGATCCATTTGATCCGCGCCGTTGTGATTCGAACGCACACGAATGGGGAGTTGAGTTCCTCCCGACGGTGTTGTCTCAGCGTCTTGTCCAGAAATTTCGACCACATTCGGCATTGGCGCTGGATTCCCAGCAGACTTTTGCTCCGTTGAATCTTGGGCTGCTGCAGCCGGCCGACCCGTGTTTGGCGTTGTTCCGACCATGTTGGGCTGATGAGTATTGTCAGCTGGGTGAGCGCGCGCGGAAGGTCGAGGGTCTGGCTCAACCTTACGGCGGATGGGTAAGGTCATCTGTGTTCTCGGTTTCTGAGATACCATTAGCTGTCAGCTAAGTTCCACGAAAGTTCAATATCTCGCTCGAGGAAAGAATACCACTTGTGGGTCGTGGTCGTTCCACTCGGCTGTATTCTGGGATGGTTGTCAAGCGGCACTTGGAATCGGGACGAACTTATTTCAAGTCTACCGTAAGGGAGGGGCAATAGTCTGGGATTAGATAAGCATCCATCAGCAGGGTAAGCCACCTTGCGCAATCAAAAAACAAGGTGGCCTAACTGGAAGCTTTCATGGAACAACCAAACGCGGTTGTCTGGGCTTCTTTGCACCACAAGATTGGCTTTATTTCCAATGTTCATAGTTCTGGTCTGTTAACTTCGGCTAGTGGCGGGAGCTGCCGTGCACTAGGCCAGGTACCAACCTTGACCCTCTGGGAGTTCCAAGGTTGGAAACATACACTACGTTGGGCTATTGCTGAGCCGTCAGCTCCTTTATTGCCTGTTGACAAGGCTCAGTCAGCCTCTGTGGATGGAGCGATTTGGATCTCCCTCGGAGAATGCTCTAGATACGTGGCGACAAAAAGATGTTATTGCCAGGAGCATCAACTGCCACCGTATTCGGTGTAAGTAGAGATATATCCAACTCAAGGGGGCTATGGGGCCGAATCTTGAGTCTACCCTTGCCATGGATATCTTACGTTCACACCCTTACGGTAGAGATTACAGTTCATCATCATCACAAAATCCTTCTTGCCGTGTTAACCAAGATTAGAATTAATAAATCAGGCTATAATCATATAGAAAAATAAGTTCTGCACCCGGAATCCGGAGAGTCTTCCAAAATGTCTAATGAACTCTTAGATATGGGCTCTAAATCAATCATTCTGCTTGGATTTCCCATCTGCACCCTCTGCACCATTTGCACGTCCAGGGTCCTGGGGCCTCGGAATATTTCCTCCTGTTGAGCGTGCGATTTCCTCCCATCTTCTCCTGAGCTCCGGGCCATGGAAAGCAAGATAAGACGGATCCTGGTCAGCTCGACGAAGATTCTCGCAAATTTCAGCATGAAAATGCCGAAGCAGACACTCTTGAATAGCTTGGTCATCCAATTGGTGGTATAAATTCAGGACCCTTGACCTGTTCTGGTCATGACTAGCCAACATCGATTGCTCAAGGCTCTCGAGCTCCCGTCTGGTAAGATCAGTGCCGTTTGTTTGGGACCGAAGACGGCTCATCTGCGGGATGTTTTGGTGCTGACCATGTGGTAATAGAGGTCGGTCAACCTCTTCGAGCCAAGCATGAGGGTTCAGTGTGCGAGGAAAGCCTATATTGCTTTGATGGAGCTCGCGTGACCCACCCGTACCTGAATTTGCAGTCAGTCGTCCATTTCGTGTTTCCGTGTACCCCAACCGCTGCGCGGGTTGATTTGTTAGATGATTTTGCACTCCGCTTGCCGTGACCCCTTGCTGCTGATATGGCTGCGCTAACGACTGGGTGCGGGGTGCCTGAGCTGCGCGGCGTTGAGTGTGACGACCGTTCAATCTGGCCTCCTCCGTCATTATAAACTGAGGTATCTGTGCCGTCCCTCCAGCCGTGTCCGTCTCTTGAGATTGGGTTGCCGCTCCATGCATCCCTGTTCCACTAGACGGTGTATTATCACGTTGGACTGGATATATTTAGCACGTTCCTATGATCGCATGTTGTCTTCCTTACCTAGAGGAGGATCCTCACTTTGGCGTTCCGTTCGCCTAAGGTCTTTATGGGTTTTCGATGAAGGCCGGCGACCTAATATAGCTAGCGCTGCGTTTGCGTGATGCGACATAGCGGTGGATTGGACAACATTGGTTTGCTTTTGTATTCGGCCGCCTCTCCCAGGCGCCCCCACGCGCTCAGAGGGACTGTGCCCTGGTAAGTTCCGTATCTCCGGACGCGGAAGTGTTGTGACTCCAGAAGACAGTGGGGGACCGGGATTAGCTGGCTCGGTATTTCTGGGTTGAATTGTAGGAGAATATAGACCATCCTCGGTGCGCAATTGTCCTGTTTGCGGATGGTCAGGGACAGATCTTCGCTCTAGGCCGCTAGCAGCACCTGGACCATTTCTCGCAGGGCCGGTGGGCAACGATGTCGCTGTTCGCATTGCTCCTGCTCCATTTGAGGCTAAGCCAAGTCGCTGCCCGTTACTGGTTGCTATTGCTGGATTCCTAGATAATTCCGCTCCACGTTGCTGCCCAGCTGAGGAGCCGGGAGTGGAAAGGGGTGGCTTCTGTATTTGACCCTGACGCTGGCACGTAGTCACCAAATTATCGGCGGCTTCCAACTCTCTCGCACTGGCCTGAGGGAGATTTGCTGGCGTGCTTGACGGGAGAGTGCTATTCTCGCTAAACTGGAATTCCCGTTGGAGACCGGTGTTTTTAAATGATTGTGGACGCACCATGGTGGGCATGTTTTGAGAAGATGGAGGCGTCGCTCGCAATGGCTCACCTCGTTCGCTCGGGCGCTGACCTAATTGCTGACCTATCGGCGCTTTTTGGGGACGAACGACAGAGTGTGACAAGGGAAGCTGTGCTGCGCTTAGTATTTGTTCGGAACCTGAGACGATTGGACCTTTTGCAGTCGGCCGTTCAATCGGTCGAGAAGGCTGAACGAGATGAGGATTTGGCCGAGCCGCTAGAGCGGGCGAGCTGGCATTGCTAGCCAAATGGACCTTCAAGGTAAGTTGTCAGTGCGCCAAGAGAAGTCAAAGGCGAGAGGCAGAAAATGTTAGAATGGATCTCACATGTTGAAGCGAGTGGGAAGGAACAGTGGCCGCGTTATCTATCCTCCGCCTGTGTTCATCTCGAGATTGACTCCCTGCAGCATCGTTATCTCCATGAGAAGATTGGTTGTGTAGACGAGCCTCTTCATCGGGCTCTTCTTCGCCTCCGGAGCTCTCACGCCCGTCAGAGTCAGAACCAAACTCAGCCCCACTAGCTCTCTCATCGCCGCTCAGGATATAGTCGTGGTCCGAACTTCTACGTGACCTTTTGCTTGACCCTTCCAATGAGCCTTCAGAGGCACGTTTGACTCCAGTACCCGGACGGCCGGGAAACTCTTCATCGACACTTTGACGACCTAAGTCTGCACGTTCCCCTTCCCTTATCTGCTGCCGCATGCTCTGAAGAGCTGCTAGAGTTCTGTTTTGGAAACTCGGCGTCTGACAGAATAGTTCGCCGGATCAGTAATCGCGTTTTGCCCCAGCGGGGCTGAGCCCAAGCCTACCTGCTGAATCTCCCTATACGAAAGGCCTTGTTCTTTCAAACGTCTTAGTTCTCTCTTGCCTTCGTCTGTCCACGGAATTTTGCTTTTAGCCGCCATTGTTTCTGGAAAGGATGATGGATGTCAGGATCAGTCAGAACGGATCGTTCCGGTCGCGAGGCGGAGTATTTATTTTCGATATTATGTAAGCACGCAACAGTCAGTTTTCCGGCTTTCCTACGTTGAAGTGAACGGACAGGCCACGGCCTATCCCCAGATAAAAACGCGACCTTTCTATTTCTCTGTTGAGATTGTTGAAATGCAGTTCCATGGCTCTTTGTATATTAAGCTTTGTTGTTCATAGTTCTGCCGCTGTTAGTTTCCAGTAGCGGCGGGATCAGCCGTGCACTAAAGCATTAGGTGGGCTCCATAATCTTCGCCGTGAGAGGGGAGCAATGAGCTGCAAAATGTACTGCCGTTGTAGGCTACGAAGGCAATACACGAGCTATATACACGGTAAACTGTGGTTGGGATAAGAGAATACCATAGGCAACGAACTATAAAACTTCACGTTTCTTGGGATTGCCATTCCTGCAAGATATATTAAAAGGTATCCCACCCGGGAAATGTGGACAACCAAAGGTTTTCCTACTACGAACATGGCCCATACATTGACGGCGCGGACTAGAAAATGCGAATGCAGAGTGCATTAACCAAAACAATGCGATCGCCACAAGCCCTTCATCGACATCATAGAGAGTAGACACGGTAACTACTTTGCCTGGGAATAGTCTGTTTTAGCAGTAGGAACTAGGTATCATTAAGTACTAGGTAACGATCATTCATGTGGGTAAAAATAGAAAGAACATTGAAAAGCGTGCACATATTACACAGAGGACCTCCCAAATGGATCTCCAAGCTCACCAACGTCCAATGTCAACCGGGCTAATCATGCTGCTTATCTCTCTTCGTACCTTTTACATGTATCTCTCTCAGGATCCGCTCGCCTTACAAGGGACCATCTCCTTAATTCCCGTAGAGTATCATGCCGGTGGAAGAGCAGGTAGATTGAGAGCGAATGCGCCAGCCAAAACGATATTTACCGCCTACTCCAGAAACCCGTGCTATTGTCAGTGAGTCGATGTAAGACATCAATCAACTTTATGCGTGCTTCGTCTCGACTTGATTGTGCCTGGCGGGGCTGCATATCGATGGCCGGTCCAGCTGGAGAGTTTGATGTCAAAGAAGATTCTGTGGTTGGCCGAGCGGAACCCTGCGTCAGGTCTTGAGCTAATTGAGGTTCAGCTCGAACGTTCTGGTCTTCTGTCCGCGACATTGATTGCGTTTGTGTTCCTGATTCCATTAGGGGTCCGGTTGGCATTATTGTTCGAGGATCGGAATCCTGTGCTAAGATCTGCCCGTTGGATGGGTGTTGCTGTGAGGTATGCCGATGGCGAATATCAGAGTGTGCTGTAACTTCTTGCAGAGGGTAGCGTGTTTGTAAGTCGTCCTGACTTGGTCTAAAATGCTGGTTGGGGGGTGCTGGAGGTCGCGTCGCTGCTGCGGTAGACATGCTAGCTTCCTGCGGGAACAAAGTCCTCTTGACTTTGTGGTGCTTCTGTTGTCGCTGTCTGGCCTTCATTTGGGATGAGTCATTTGGCTGCGGGACCGTCAAGGTGTGCGCAGGGGGTGACTGAATTGAAGACCGAGCGGTCTGCGATGTTGAGTATCGAGAGCCATGATGATTTGAAAGATGATAGTCTTGCTGACGGGGAGTGAATAATCTTCCTTGTGGCACTTCAGCTCCCCGTGAACCACAAGGCACAGGCCCGGAAGTTGTTTGTCTAGTCATGTGTGATGTGTCCAGATCCTGGTACCTCGTGCTAGGCTGGTGTCCCGTGCTAGGACGCTGTTGCTCCTCCTGAGAACTTATCATTCCCGCCTTCGGCGGACGGGATAAAGGCATCCGAGTATCGCTTTGAAGGGTTTCAAGAGGGCCTATGAACGGCCAAGAGTCCTCTAATAGTTCAGAAAAATGGGGAAAGCCGAGTGTTACATAAGGGGCATCCTGATATTGTCTCGGGCCTTGACCAAGGCCGATCAGATCCTTGGCCGCCTCCAACTTTCTCGGGCTTATTCCAGTGTAACTCCCTCCTGACACGAAGCAAGAATTGGGATTTTCGATTGTGTTGAGCACGTTAAGTGCTTTACAAGGGGCGCCTCTATCTGGGCTCGTAAACGCGCCCAGGCCCGGGGTCGGGGGATATGGACTTGATGGTGGACGCAGCAGAGGGCCTACGCCAGACGGCGAAGTAGGAACTTGCGAATTCTGCGGAAGAGGATTGTTTGCTTGACGGGTAGAACCATTTGGAGTCGGAGATCTGCGGAGCTGAAGAAAGAAATGTTAGATCCCGGCCAACCTTGGAGAAAGTATCAAAGAATGAGACAGGGACTCACAGTTGGAGCATAACTATCCAGATCTACGCCGCCACCAGGTGTGCTAATCGTGGACGGGGTAGAGTCATCGTGATCTCCGCGTTTGTCCTTGAAAGGACTATGATCTTCGAAAAGCCATGCCAGGGCGTCACTCTCACTCGAAGAGTCTTTGTCAGAAATATCCTCATAAAAAGTTTCTTCAACCCCAGAATCCTCGTCCGAAGCGTGACGCGAACTTTTGATATTGTCAAACAGCGAAGAGGAAGTGTGTGTCAGAGCCTCAGTGTCGCTATGATCGTAATACTCTTCTGTGAGTCTCTTCTTGCTGGACACAGAAAATGAACTTCCAGAGGGACGCTTGTTACTAGCCGGAGTCGCTGGGCTTTTGTCCGTTCTATTGTCCATCGCATCGTAGCAGTCTGCTAAAGATGACTTCCCATTGGTTTCCATCTTTGACCGCTACTGGACTGGCACTTGACCGTTCAATATTCAATCCGCGTGACTAATTCCTCAGCGATGATTTTCCGACCAACAAGAGACTTCAAACATGGAAAGATGACATACCTTTTCAAGCCTCTCTAAGATCAGTGTACGAGTTGGCCCTGGTTGCCGTAAGTTTATTTCCTCTACTTGCTGTTGTGGTGGGTAGAAAGAGTGGTTGACAATTCGCGGAGCCGACGGTATTTCAGACGCGGTAGAAATACTTGTTATTACGTAAGCAGGAGCCGGGTGTGCTCATTGTGCTTGTACAGCAGAACCCTGTCCCAAACAATCCACAAAATCTGAGTTAGTGATAAAGCTAAACTTCTCCTTTTGCCAACTCTTTGCTATGCAGCTATGTGGCACTGTTCACATTAAGCTTTGTTGTTCATGGTTCTGCCGCTGTCATTACAGTAGCGCCGGGACCAGCCGTGCACTAAAGCCCATAGGCCAATGTATATTACCCCGCAGTTTTCTCAGTTTATAGTGTACATTATTGGGAACTATAGATGAAATTGGGACAATGGGATTAGGTTGGCGGTGATACTGACGTAGGCTCATAGTGCCCCAGTCGTCACGAAATGTTGATCAAAAACAGTGTATTACAGAGGCCGACTCCTTTCTTTGCAGATCGGTAAGTCAAAAGTTCTCTAACGAGAAATTTCCACATGTACTTCTAGTACTCAACTACCGAAGAGGGCGGATAAGTCAAGCTTCAAACTCCAAACATTATGAGGGCGATGGATAAAGCTACACTTCACATGGTAAGAGAGAACTGAGATCAATCATCTTGACGCGCGTGGGGATGCCCCGGGACTTTGCAACGCCCTTCCTCGTGAAAGCGATCGATATCGCGACGTATTGCCAAGAATACAGGGGAAATCATATCCAAGTTTGAAGCAGTAGTAAAAGAGCGAACGTGCTCTAAGAGAGCCTCGTGCCGATGCTCTGCCATCAAAACCTGCACGAGAAGATCCTCTAACTCATCCCAAGTATTTTGTACCCGTTCAGTCAGCGAAGCGTGATCATCGAGATTCATCCTAAGAGCTGACTCCTGCGGTTCGGGAATTGCTTGGTCTGGGTGTGCCTCATGCCAGGATGACCAGATCTCTGCATCATCTGTTGTTAAATGACAGAAGGCCCTTCTCAATCGCCACCCCAATTCATCCAGCTCGGTATCGAGTAAAAAGTCATCCCGTTGAGTGGGCAGGGAGAGTCGCTGTGTTGGTTCGTCCGTCGCATGCTGGGTATGGTCACCGAATGGACTTCCAGCCCGCGGAGACAGTCGGGGTCGCAGTGTCAACGTCCGCTGAGCCGGAAACGACGAGCCTTGAGCCGAGGCTGGATGTTCGGAGTAGTGACCGCGACGATATTCGGTCGACGACGCCGAGACGCGAACTCGCTGCTGTATTCGCTCTGTTGGTGTTTGTTCGTATTGAGGTCCTGATTTTTCATGCACGTCCTGCACCCATGTAGTTGTCTCTCGGCCCAGCTCCGCGTGCGTTCTTTTCTGGGCTAGATTCTTGGGCCGGTGAGCGAGTGTAATTTGTGGCCCTGCAGGGCCGCTCAGGCTGAACCTTCCACCTGGTTGCGCAATCGCTCTTTCCCTGATTGGCAATGCTGAGCTTCGAGCGGACGGTTGCTGCTGACTGGATCGCTTTGAGAAAACATAGCGCGCCTTCTTCGGATCCAGGGATGATTCACTTCGGGTGTGAGGAGAAGCCAACTGTTGTATCAACGACTCTCGTTGCCGAGGATCATCCGGAGGTCTATACCATGGTGTCGACCCAGGTCTAACAATAGCACCTAATGATGAATCAAGTCGGCTTTCCCCTGGCCGAGAAGTGCTGCGATCCTGTCGGCTTCGCGGAGTCAACATTCTACGCCCGGCAACCGGGGTGGCGTTTTCAGGCTGCGCTAACGCTCGATTCTCTGTCTGGACGCCAATATCTCTCGTCGAGGTACCTAGATTGCCAGTACAATGAGCGGATGTGTAATCACTGAGGGACTTCGCACTGGATGTTTCATCCCGCCATACTCACCCTCTGTAGAATACATGATCCCTTGATCAGCTTCCGAGATGACACGCTTATCCCTACCCATCCTGCCGGAGCTGACTGCCTGGTAATGTGGACAGCTGACCGGAGTGTAAAGAGTTTGAAGATCAAGCAAGGAGAGAGATTAGTTGATCAGGCATCGGTGATTGTGACAAATTCCATCAAAGACCTGGATGTGCATAGATATCTTTACAACCTGCTTTTGATGTGATTGTTTGTCTTGCAAAACGGCTCTTCACTTTCGCGTCTCTATCAAAGGTGTCCAGACCCAAGCCAAAAGAAAACTTAGTGTCTAAACATGTTTGACGAATGAGGCCTCCTTGGCTGGTATAATAAGGTACCCTGCCAACATAGACCGCCTTGTGATGTGTGGCCCAACTTGATTGAAGAGTCCCAAGTGCGCTAGCGCCCTGAAGACTTTGGCCAAAGCCTTAGTATTGAGGAGCAGTTCCTTGCTAAGTCCTCTGGAAGCCCTGAAGGTGTTCCATGGAAACTTTGACAAGAATCCTACATGATGGGACTACCAAGCGACGAGATTAATTTGACCTCTGTGCCGCAGAAGTATACTCGTTGGGAATTAAGGATATCCCATGGCAAGCTGACCTACGTACCTACCCAAGGTTTCTTTATTGAGGACGCTGATCGCTGAGCCTGCTAAATGCCATGTATTCTGGGCTACATGTTACATGGAAGACTTACGATAAAGGTTATGAGTGACATTTTCGAACGAGAGGAGATGGATGATGGGAAACGATTTTAGAGAGTGCATTTAAATAACAGTACGTAGCCAATGCCCAGATCCTAACCCAATACCACACAACCCACGCTATCGAGAATATCGAAACACAAACAACTTGCGGCGCCTTATATCTCAGGATCAGGTTCCTCGGGAAGGATCACAGCAAAATCCTTAAGAGTTCGAAGAAAATCACTTGTGCCTGGGCCCCAGACCATGAGGTTCGTGGTCCTTTCTGGTTCGCTGGCAGACTTCTTAATTGAAGTATGAGTAAAGTGTGCGCCCGTGGTATCATCGATGAGGCTCCAGCCAAGTGGAATGTCCGAGAAAGAGAGTTGCTCGTCAAGCGGCCCATCCACTATCGTTGAGAGCCGGAGGAATTGTAATGCCGGAAGGCCATCCTCACCAATGGTCTCGACCAGATTCATTGCACCTCCTTCCTCCATTCCAATATCATAAAGTCTAAGCTGCTCAAGGGTTTGTGAATGCTGTATGATGAGTCTGGCAAGGGATTCTCCCTGTGTCATTCTATAGCGTGCGCCAAACATTAAGCAAAATGATTTCAGCTTGAATTGCGGCGGGGAATCGTTGGACATCAGGTTGTCCATGATCTTATCACCGTAGTTGCTTTGAATAGTCAGGGATTCAAGGTTGTGGGCGAGGCTAATCAATTTGCTTAGGTATGCGGCCACTTTTGTGCTGTCCGGAAGACTGAAAGACGCACTGTTACTGCCATTGCCATCCTCAGAGACCTCGGAAGACTCATCGCTGTCAGCATACCCATAGCCCTCGGTATACTCATCGCCCTCAGCATACTCATCCCCTTCAGAATACTCATCCCCTTCAGAATACTCATCCCCCTCAGCATACTCATCGCCCTCAGCATAATCACCGCCCTCAGTATATCCATCGCCCTCAGTGAATTCATCAGCATGGGACTCGCCATCAACATCAGAATCATCATCGTCCTCAGAGTCCCCATCATCCTCAGAATTCCCGTCGGATTCAATGTCTGTACCTGAGTCTGAGCGAATACTTCGCAAAGCACCCTGACAACTCGAGCAAAGAGTCTCGTCATCCGACTCGGTGTATGAATCCCAAAAATTAAAGTGGTTATGTGCATCATCCTCCAAACCGGTAATGAGAGTGGGAGGAACCGAAGATCGAAATGTAAACTCCCGCACCGTTGCCCAGCAAGCACGGAACGTCGGATCGTCAAGGTGCGCAAGATCCAGGTGGGTTGGAACGAAATTTCGGATATTAATCATGAATTTCTCCACAGACATCTTGGCCTTGCTGATGATGAAGACCAGGATCATAAGCGCGTCCACGAAGCTGAGCTGATCGTCGTCCCTCACTCCGTCGCCCAATACGTCCAGTACTGATGGATGGGCCATGGGCAATCCACCAGGCCTTTTTCCCATCCTGCGCTCCATCCATGTAGTATTCTCGTCATCCGATTGATACCCATCGTGTAGGATGTTCCTCGAATACCAGATGCTAAATGAGGAACAGTTGGTGAAGCGCTCGATGACATGACGCCATTGCTGGATGTTGCTCTGTTCAAGTGCAAGGCTTCCTAAATGAGTCCACTGTTTTGACTGCGACTGGAGTTTGCCATTGTAATACCGCCCAGATTTTGGTGGTTCTGAACGATGCCAGACCAATCCCTCGCCAAGATAGCCAACGCCCCACCAAGTATTGTTAGCAATAGTAAGCTCCTTAACGTAGCCGGCGAGGCGGGGGTTGCTACTAATGAGAGTGAGCTCTTCGAGAGATCGCAAGGAGAAGTCCGTAGTAATGGTGCGGAAGCCCAGGGTAGCGAAGTTGTAGTATGTGTTCTCGTAAAGGTACTTGCAGGAAAGGCGGACTTTTGCGATGTCCTTCAATTCCAAGTGAGATGCAATTTCTGCAGTCAGCTCGGGTGGTAGATCGCGGATGGTTGTCTTTGTGGACGAGTTGCTTGATGATTGCATCGTGGCGAGGAAATGGAGCTAGATCAGGTGGAAAGAAAGGTTGAAAATGTTGTTCAGGGAACCTTGCAGTTGAGGTTTAGAGGGAGGAGAATGTCTGGGAGATGGAGATTGTTGAGCTGGGGGTGGAAAGAAGCATGCCTTTATACTAGATAGCAAGGAGTTCTGGAGTATTCTATGGCAAGGAGTCCTGGAGTATTCTTAGGTAAGTGCAGGAGGTGAGGATAGAGTGAATGAAAAAGAAACGGATGGCCAAGGTAAAGTTGGAATCTTGGTGTCTCGTGACTTCCTCTAAGTAACATACCCATGGACGCCAGAGATGGCAGCCTGGCCGTGGTCCCAAACCCCAAAGCCTGCTAGTTCATCTACGGTATCATTGCCCCTGAACGCTTTGATGCCGGACCTTGTTAGCGACTCGGAAACAAGTGCAAGCTGAAGCCTCGTCTACTGTAGCTCGAAATTGATTCATTGAGATACGATTGTCTGATCTATATACATTAAATACGCATGCCCATCGTTCAATATCAATCTTTCCAAGAAACTGTATTGCTACGCAAAATGGCAAGCCCGGAAGCACCAAGCTGATCCAACATCCGTGAACACGTAGGATCCATGATCACCGTGTTCCCGCCAGATGTAGCCCCAAGTTATGGCCCTCTATAGCACAGCGGCCCTCCTCATGGAAGCGGCGTGTGTCATGGCATAGTCGCTGAATCACCGGCCGATGAATTATCAGATAGCCCGGATCTGCCTTAGCCTCTCTGAGATGTTTGACTATATCTTTGTAGCGGTGCTCAACCATGAAGAGTTGCGGCAGAAGATACATGTATTCCGCTTGGCTCTTGGCACAAACAGCTCGCGCGCGTAGAGAGTCATGATCAGCCAATGCCATTGTGCGGAGTAAGTTAAGATTGGCCGTAAGGACCGCTTCGTGATGGCGTTGCCACATTTCAATGGCGCCTACTCGTGGGACTTCTGGCAACAAGGCCTGGGGTACAGCACTTATTCTTCCAGTCTCAACGAGGCGACGTAGAGACGGTTCTTGAGGAGTATGGAGGACGTTGGGCGCTCTCTGAATTGGCCCTTGGTCAGTGAGGCCTGATGGGTTCGGCTCCTTCTTGTCTGGCGCGGAAGCTTCGCATTGCTGTGCAGTATATAGGAAGACCACGGGCAGATCCTGAATCATACTTGGTTGTCGCCAATAGCTTCTTTCAAAGTCTATTATTGAACTCCCGGGAGGCGAGATCTCCTCTTGAATCTGATCGCAGTCACCACTCACACAGCCCCTGGCTCCTTGCTCTAGCATCCGCCACGACCGCAGTGGACGAGTCGGCGTTGATCGCGTAGCCCATGCTGGCCGCGTAGAGTCAACGGCGATACCAGCAAGGCTAGTAGTAATTGTTGCCAGCGCGGCTGAGGATGCCGCACCCGTCGGGAGAGATTGGCAATCTTCTTGCCATTGTTGAGAATTTGGAGTTGGCAGCGGCCCCCTGTCTGATTCACGCGGTGCCTCAACTGGAGCAAGATCTTCATCGTTCTCCTCCGTATGATGTTGAGTGCTCTTATTGAGGACCCCTCCGGTATTCACCACATCGGCTTCCGTGGCACCGTTCGATCTGCTTTCGCCAGCAGGCCCTTCTATCTGACTCCACATTTCAGCCGTTGTAAAGAGTTCCGCGAGAGGGGCTTGTTGGCTCGGCATCTCATAACTACCCTCGATTGTAGTCTCACTTTTTCGACGCCTCCGATAGGCTTGTCGCTTTCTATGCAATTTCCAGCAATACTGGCTGATCCTTCTCGTGGTTCGGACCCTGAATCTGGCTGTCTAGGCGTCGCAACAGCGAAGATCAGTAAAGCCAATCCTACGCCTAAGTGGCAACAAGAAGATAGCATTATGGTTTGGATCAGTGCGGCATACCTTCTGGTTTTGCTTGCATGTGAGCTTTGCGGCTCGTCGACGTCTTGACGCCACGTTTTTCTTGTTAGACCACTTGAGCCTGGCCATCTTTGAGGATGAGTCGGAGCAACGCTGGATTTTCGAGATTCAAGATTCGAGAGAAACAGAGGAATGGCGCAAATACATCAACTTTGGACATTCACATTCGGCGCAAAGTGAAGTATAGGTCATCATGGTGAAGCTATTGTCACTTCTCTTCATGTGCGCCGCTTGCATGGTAACTCTCGATGTTAATAACTAGATTTAACGGTTGACAATGTTCCCTTTCCTGCGCTTTCAACATTCTCTCTCCCTTAAGGCTAGTGAAGGTTCTACCTCTCTCTCTCTCTCTTTTTTTTTTTTTTTTTTTTTTTTTTTTTTTTTTTTGGAAATGGGGGTAAATGTATACCGATCAACCCAAAAATCTCCCACGTTTGGCAGGTGCGCTCCGCTCGGCGGCAGCGCCAGTCCATGCGGCGGAAATATATAACCGTCAAGACTAAATTTGACATAAAGAGAGAGGAACCAAAGCGGCAGGAGGTGAGACGAATTAACGCGAAGCCTCGATAATTTGATTTGTTGAAAAGAACTGTTTTTTTGACGGACAGGGTCCTGCGCTGCTATAACGTCGCCGGGGATAGCTGTCGGATCTCGCCTGGTCGTCCCGGCATGGGATGACCCCCGGTACAGCAGAGTATTTTCAAGATCGTAGTATGCGCACAGCAAGAGAAAGGGGGACAGATTTGAATTGTGAGCCATGCTGGAACCGAAAGGGCGTGAAGGGGTGAGGGTGGCATCGCTACCGAAGTTTGGTGTTTTTTTTGGTCCTACTCTCAATGTATCGTGACTTAGATAATGAAAGCTGATTGGAGTAAGCTTGCCTCATTTATACTATTGCATCAATGAAGGGAGATTTAAGGAGATATGATCAATGGTGTTATTGGTCCGGCCAAGGCCATGGTGAACTACCTACATCAGAGCGGCCAGCGGGAACGGTGTCCGCGTGGATGGCCCTCAACAGTACAATGGCCTTCCTCATGAAAACGGCGAATCTCATCGTCTATCCTTCGAATCTCGTCCGCATGTGCAAGTAAATAGCCTGGAGTCACGCGTGCCCTTCTATCGTGCTCCAGTATTTCTTCACAGCGATGCTCTGCTTGAAGCAATTGGGAAAGAAGTCGGTGATACTCCGTGGCGTTACCCGCATTGAATGCCTCCGTAGCCCGCTGGCGCAGCGAATCGTGATCGTCCAGGTTCATTCTATGAAATAATGCGAGATCTGCGGTCAGTATGATCCTTGTGTACGATCGATATACCTCATGCGCACTCATGCGAGCAAGGTTTGGGTGTAGAGGACAAAGAGCAACCGGAATAGGTCTGTCCGCGTTGCTCAGTGCGGCGGCAGGAGGAGCGTTGTTATGCTGAGTAGATGGCGGAAGCGTCTGGGGCCCTTGCGAAATATATGGTACTTGGCCATGGCTTGAACTGACTGGAGTGGATGCTGCTGGTTGCAATGGGAGACCAGATAGACGCAGTGTTCCCTCGGATGTCACGTTCTGTTTGCGAGGCGCTGTGCGGACAGGGCAATTATTGGGGACCGTTGGCTCATTATTCGATGCAGTGAGATCGATAACTTCTCGGGAACCCTCCTGAGGACGTGAGCATTGAAATGGCACCGGCTGCTTTGATGGGTTATTGGCTGGGGTTTTGGGAGCATGATGCGGACCTCTCGGCCTCTGTTGACGCAGAAGGAATGTACCCCAAGCAGGTACCATCCTTTGTGCGACAGGCATTTTGTTCTGGCTGTTATTGGTGATATTAATTTGCTCTTCAACGCGCGCAGTTGAAGCTTGCGCTAGGCTTTTAGATGGGTGGCCTTCAGTTAGGTTCGCTGTTTCCACTCCCCGAGGAACCGAAGTGAGCGGGTTCAGCCCAACGTCAGTCGTCATTACTTCTTGACCATCTAGGAATTTCTTACGGAGATCCGTGCGCCGGTTTCCAGGTACGCCTGAATTTGCCCCTGGATTTCTCTGATGTTCGGAATTCGGCCGCAGCGGATTGGGTGTGACAGGCTTATCCGCTTGCTCGACTGCATAGGATGTATTGACTGTCGCTAGGTCTTGACTGGCAGGCGAAATCTTCCTTACGGTACCAGTAGGCGAAGGCTTTTCCATTGAGTTAAGACTCCTGGTGGCCTTTGGAGCAACTCTCCTCAATTCATTGTAGAACACACCCCTAGCCACAGCAGCCATCAGCTGAATGTGAGGTGCATATCCTACATAGTCGTTTGTAGGAGGTGAGGGCCGACAGCTCACAGCCTTATCCGAGGCTGATGGTTTCAGTGAAGCGCTTGGAGTCGCTTCTTCTGCCAGCAAATATTCGCGGTCTGGCCCTACAGCGGCTGACTCCTCCACCTCTAAGATACCCGCATCCGACTGCCGCGATAACCGGCGGTTGAATGATGGCTTCTCCTGTTCGGTCACAGGCTCTGGCAACGGCGCCGACGTCATTTTTTGCGCTGGAAGCGCCGAAGGTGACGCAGGGGCAGCACAAGTTTCCAAGATTCTTTTGGCGGAAGGTGAAGTAGAGACCGTGACATTTCCGGATGCACTCCTACCGACCGACACACTCCTGTTAAAAGGAGAGGCCGTTGTGCCTGATATCTCCTCGTTATATCCCCTCCTTGTCGGCGTTGGTGTGCAGAGAGCCGTACTGCACTTCGCTCCCGTTCTCGCTTTGAGCGATTGTTTTGGCGATTGGATACCATTCCTGGATGGCGACGGTGTCTGAAAATCTCCACGGGAGAAAGTGACGCTCCTGTTTAGCATCGCGGTTCGAAAAGGCGAACTTGCTTTGAGTTTGGTGCCATCTGGCTTCGTCTGCGCCATGGTACGATAGGAAAACTTTCGGACATGGGCCGTTAGCAAAAGAACTAAGCAGGCAGAGCAACGCCGGAGGACTGACAGGCTGAATTTCACCATCAAAATCTATATCTCCGTCTGAGCTGTTTGAGATAAGGTCATCGTCGGCTCGCTCGCGGGCCTGCGCATCTTTGGCCCCATTAACCACTTCAACTTGGGAGTTGTTTTGGCCATTTCCGCCCATTCCCTCGGCATTAGGCGGGGTAGTGTTGGCTGTACGGCTTTGATATAGTCTTTTGTTGTTGATTTTGGTATACCTCTTGTCTGACGGGCGGCCATCGTCCTGGCCTGTGTTCAGCCGGCGGCTTCTCAAACGCCTTTTTGGTGTGGGAAAGGCCTCGTCTGCGCGGCGCTTGGTGGAAGCAGTCACAGTAGACGCGTCTTCATGATTCTGATCACCGACTGTGACCTTAATCTCGTTCTGGTGTTGGTGGGGTTCGGTCCCCTTGGTGATGGACCACCACTGGCTTCGAAGGGAGTTCGCAGAGCATTTTCGGAAGCGCGGGATCTATAGACAATGTGAATCAATAAGCGGCATCCTGGCCAACGCTCCCACTACCGTTGAGATTTGTGGAGGGACCGATTGTGGAAGTGGGTGTGTTGCGGACACACCTTGTTGATTTCAGCCCATGAAAGACCCTCGTCACACAAACGCAGGAGCTCTTCCCTATCTTTGTCCGTCCACTTCATCCGCATTTTTGATAGGCGATTGGAAAATGACAGTCAAGAAAAAGCTTGGGACCAAAAAACCTTGGGACCAAGACTTTTGGTTGTTGGAAACCTCTCGTGGGAATGCAAGCGCAGTAAGCACATCCAAAAAAGTGAAGGGTTGGCTAGACAGCAGAGAGCAAGTAATGTCAACATGGACTCCCGCTGCTCCTGCTTATCAGGTATCGCGGAGCAACACAGCCAGTCTTCATCGCCTTTTGTTCCGACTACTGTTGAGTCTCCTTTACTCCTTCTCATTATCTCTCATCCCTACTCTTGCGTGAGCCGGAATAACCTTAAGCTTTTCCTCCTCCTGAAGCCACCAAAGTTGTTATTTATCCCGACCCTGGCCCAAGGCTCGCCCAGTTGGAAACCGTCAATCGCGTTTCTAGCAAGCAACATCTTTTGCGCCTAAGACTTCGGCACGTCTCTCCATAATGTCGCATACATAAATTCACCCGGCGCTACGATGAAAAAGCAAGCCGCCAAGAAAGACAAAAGATAAACAGAGGAAGAAGAAGATTTGATGCAGTGCTTGAGTCTGCTGCTTCGCAATGTCCCTTTCGTGTCACAGCTTGCCAGAGTAAGTTGGCATGTCCCTCATTCGGCTTCTGCCTCCTCCGAGATAGTCAAAAACGGAGGCCTCATATGACGTTAAGCTAAATAATCCGCGCGCCAATCTAAGTATCATCCATTGTTTCAAATCGTGTACGCTGCCCTTGCCAACCCCAACCACTATTCTGTGTCCGCGAGGCGTTGTTATGTCTCGGAGAGTGAAGACTGTACATGAGGGAACAACAAACCCGGCCGGCCCTGTGCTTCCTCGGTAGCATCAAGAAAGTGCAAAGCCGCAATTGCACAGCGGACTTTACCCATCAAAACTGGTCGCCGAGTCATTTAGGGTGACCATCAATACGCCAATGAGCAAATACATGTATGAGAAATCTACGCGTTCAAGAGTCCCTCGAACAAGAGAGTGCCATTGAGAGCCGCTGTGTGGAAGGAACGCCCAAGCTAAGCACACTTGGGCAATCCGTTAATCCAAAAAAATGTCTCCTCTTCGTTTTCATACTCAGCGATAGCATCAGCCAAGCTCACGACAACTCCTGTCAGTCCTATAATATCCAGCGACCGGTCGTGGACGTCCCGATCGTCGTTCTCTGATCACAGGTATGCAAGGGCCAGCACAGACGTCCGTCACGCCTCGTTCTCGCAACAACCGTATGAGTTGGTAGATATAAGGAACACTGGGCCGAGATTCATGAGATGCGTAAACACCCGAGGCGCAAGACTGGCGGTCTGGCGGCTATTACTTGCTGACGGGTTTATGAACTGGAGCGCACACGCTGACCCTACACAAATGGATAACAACGCTCGGATGATAGTCGACCTTTTGAAGGTAAGGTACTCAACTTTGTCAGACCATTGGTCTGCCCTGAATTGATGCCCAGTGCGCGACGGGAATACAGATTAAGCTCCTTGAGCAATTGTTCAGAACATAACAAAGCTATAGTAAGCTCCTTAATTTAACTTGTTTGTAAAATTAAATTGAAATACCGCTACTTTTGCAAGATTCTAGTTCTATGTTAATATTTTTAGAACTTGTATAGCAATAGCTCTAGTAATCGGAATATGGCATTGGTTATAGCTAAGTATAAAGGGCTTTTTAAAGTCTCTTTTCTGTTGGTACTTAAATGCATACATTCAAAATATTGAAAGTGAATGGACGCTAGAAATACTAGGCATACCTGACATAGCTTATATCAGCGATCATTATATCTCTTCACTGATGTGTTTCAGCTGGTTACTCTCTCCCTCCTCTCAGGATATCCCTGCCCACAGAAAACCAACGTTCCCAAATGCTCTACTGGCTATAATCGTACTCGACTTTCCTTTTGGATACGCTTGAATTCTGCCGTACTTATTCTTTTATCTTCTTCCAGCTGCAAGCCTATTTACGTCCAGCACCTTTTTTTGCAACATATCTGGTCAATCAAGTATGGCGGCAGAAAGACACCGCAGGACACCATTGCGGTGGACTAAAGAGGATGATACCCAGCTAAAAGACCTGTTTGAGCAACATTCTGATATGTTACCTGAGGTGTTTGCAAAGGTATTCTTGCTTCTTCATACTCCAGCGCAGGCTTACTTTTTTTTTTTAAAAAAAATTGCTAACATGTTGCCCCTGTTTTTGCTAGGAATTTCTTGCTAGTTTCCCTGGGCGCAGTGTTCATTCCATATACAGCAGAATTTACGGCAGACTAAGGGAAGGGTCTCTGTCAAAAAAGCCTGTGAGCAGAACTAAAACTCCCATCAGACCTTCCAAATCTCCCTCTCCCGTGCTAGGCAAACGGCGCCGCCAGACCTCTTTAACAGGAAACATGAACAACGGCGTCTCCTCTACCTCTCCTAATAACGCGGATCCTACATTTGAGCCTGGCTCTGATTTTGATCGCGAAGACCCTGGTCAGGTCGTGAGTAACTTGGGACCTAAAACTACTCGCGACGAATTCCAGCTTGATTCTTGGCCTGTGAGGACCCTATTGCCTCTCCATTTTAATCTTCCTCTCTGTGTTAACGTTCCTTTCTCCCAGCACAAGAAAGCTAGACACACATCCTTCTCCAAGAAAGGAGCAACGGCTACTGAACCAACCGCCAACACATTCGCCACTAAAAGTGCAAAATACTCTCCGACTCAAACTCTCGACCAGATGGACAACAACCACAATACCCATAAGGCACAACTTAATAAAGCCCTTTTGCTAGAGCAGCATCCCAAATATTATCGCCCTGCCGCAGGAGAGTCGAATGAGGTCGATCGGGCTGGAGAGAAGAAATGGGATGGGATAGATGGAGAAAAAACAGGTCGCCAGCTCAGTTATGTTGAACGTCTCAACCGCAAAGACCACCAGATTGCCTCACTCCAGGGCGAAGTGTCCTCTCTACAGGACCAAGTTTTATCCCTCCGCCTCAACCTTGAAGATCGCGAGGTCGCTTCACTCCAAGGCAAATTGTCCTCTCTACAGGACCAGATTTCCTCCCTTCAACAGCGCATGGATTGTCTTGAGGGAGAGAACAATAAAACTGACGCGACTGGCCACCCAATGCAGGACCAGATTTCTTCCCTCCAAAAGCGCATCGACAAATTGGAGGAGGAGAACAATGCAGCTGAAGTGAATGGCCAAACCCTCCTCGGTTGTGTGACCCGATTCATCAAAGATCTTATCCGCACTGGATTGTTTACTGAAGTGGAACCTACGGCATGAGATCAGATCTTCTGGCAAGGTACATTGGTGTTTCTTGGAGATAAAAGCTTGGAGATTGTATCTAGCTAGGCCACGATAGTAAAGCTATACTTGGTGTGGTTAACTAAGCTAATAGGCAAGGGCTATAATAGGGCAAGTAATATATTATACTTTAATACCTTTTTTACTAAAAGCCCTACTAAAAAAATAAAGTTAAATATATTTTTTAAATAAAAAGTAAATAATATAATATAAAATAATAAAAAATAAGTAAGGTATTATAGTAGGCCGCCCTTATATATAAATAAAATAAAAACTAAAAAAAAAAATTATAAAGTTATTTAAAAATTACCCCCCTTGCTAAAATATTTTATACTAAATTACTTAATAAAATAAAAATATTAAACTTACTTAAGGGGCTTGGTAAGACTATTAATAACTTATTTTTTAATATTAATATATATAAATTTAATATTACTAGCGGCTACTTTTTTATAAATAAAATAATATTTAATTACTATGTGTTTTATATAGGCATAAAATTTTAAATTTTTTAATAAAATAATTATGCCTTAATTATTTATATAAATAAATATTAATTTAATAAAAAGTATTTATATTAAAGCAAGGCGCAAGATATTAAGTTTAATAAAAAGTAATTAAAGTTATAAAAGTTCTTAAGTTATAATTATTTAAAAAATATATTTTAACTTTATTAATAAAAAGGCTATAATAAATTATTTTTTTAAAAAACTAGCTAACTAGCCTGTTAGCTATTTTAAAAATATATTTAAAAGTAAAAATATAGCTATTAGTATAAGTACTAGCCTAGTTAATATTATAATATTTAATAAGGCCTTTACCTTTATATTAATAAAAAATAATAAGGTTTTTTAATATTTTAAAATAATAAAAATAATAAGGTTTTTTAATATTTCAAAATAATAAAAAACGCGTGTTAAGGCTATAATATAATTTTTTAAAAAGAATTATTATATAGTAAAATAAAAGTATAATAATAAAAAAAATATTTAGGCATGTATTAATAAAAATTTAAATAAAAGTATTAATTTATTTTTAGTATAAAAAGATTTTTTTTATTAAGGCCTTATTATTAAACTTTTATAATATAACTTTAAAGTTATATAAAGTTATAAAGTTTTTATAATTTTTAAGGCTAAATTACTTTAAAATATTTTTAATATAATATTTTTAAAAAAGGGAAATACTATTATTTATATAATAAATATTAATAGTAATAAAGTAAGTAAATACTTTATTATTAGTAATTTTAAAGGCGCCTTTAAGCGCCTTAACAACCTTTATAATATTATTTATAAATAAAAAAAAGTATAATATTATTTATATAAAAAAATAAATACTTAGCCGCAGGTAAAAACTAAATAATTAATATATATTTTAATAAATTTAAGTAAAATAAAAAGGCTAGTAAGTATTTTATATTACTTTTTTAATAATTACTTTAGGTTATATAAGGTTTTTAAAAGCAAGCTATATTTACTAGTAATTTTACTATTTTTAGGTACTTTAATAAAAATCTTTTTAAAAAATTTATGTATAGGAAAATAGTAATAATATTAAGAAAATATAGTACCTAGCTATAACAGGTAGCTAGCATAATAAAAAGTTTAAAAAATATTAATTTAGTAATAACTATATATACCTTATAAATCTTATAATTATAGCTAGTAATTTAATAAAAGCCTTTAATAATTAGGTAAGCTTTATAAATATTATTATATTTAATTTTAAATATTTATTTAAGATTAAAAAATTATATATTTTTTTAATAATTAATAACGCGCCACGTGCTATTAAAAAAATAATTATTAAGCTTTTTATAAATAACTATATATTATTTATTTATCTTTAAATAAAAAACTATATTTATATATATTTTTAGCTTATAGCTAGTATTATTTAAGGTTTTAAAAGCAAAGTTTTATTTATTTAACTTGCTAAAATTTACTATAAAAATAATATTATTAATAAAGTTATTAAGGGCAAGCTTATAATTTATAAGAAACTATATAAGATAGTTTAAAAAAAGGTTAAAATTATATATAAAAAAAAGTTTATTTATACTTATTAATTTAAGGTGCTTTTTTATAATTTAACTTAGCGTTTTTAAATAATTTAAATAATATATCTTACTTTCTAGGGGTAAAAAATACTAAGTATTAGCTTTTAAAGCATGGGTGCGTTTTATTAAGCTATTATAATTTTTATTAATTATATTTAAATTTCCCTTCTAAAAAAAAGGGGGGTTTAAAGCAGGATAATATTAAGGCTTTATATTATATAATTTTTAAATTAAAAAGTTTAATATAGGTATTAAAAAATACTAGTTAGTTAATATTTTTAAAGCCACTTTAGGTTATAAGTAATACTATTAAAAAGGTTTTTTTTAAAATAGTTCTTCCTATTTTAAATTTATTTTAAAAGGTTAAGAAATAGGGTTATAAAAAATAAAAATATTTTTATAAAAATTTAATAAAGATTTAAAGCCAGGGGGCGTATGATTTTACTTTTAAAAATATAATTTTTTTTATTTACTTTACTAATAACAAGGCATAAAATATTAAAATTATAATTATTAATAAGTAGCGGGAGGGAAGTGCTTAACTTTTGTAAGGGCGCCCTAGCACCCAGATGTTCTTTACTAATAATAATAAAGCTTGGTAAACTATTTTTAACTAATAAGAATAAAGTATTTAGAACCTTAATAAATTTAACTAAAAAAATTACTTAAAAAACTAAATATACCATGGCCTTTAATCTTTTTATATAAGCCTTATTAAAAGGCCTAAGGCCTTTAAGTAATTTTTTAAGCTATTTTTATTTAAAAAGTAAGTAATATTTAAATATTTTTATATTTACGCCCCTTATAGCCACTTTTTAATTATTAAAGTAATTTAATATAAGGCATGCCTTTAATTTATTACTTAAATAATACTTAAAACCTAAGGTTCCCAAGCTAAGGTCCCTAGTTAAAGCTAATATTATATTAAGTTTTATATAATAATTTATAGTAATAAGGTTTATTAAACTAAATAAGTATTTAAAGTATTTTATATAGGTAATATTAATACTTTATAGTAGTATAACCTAGGTACCTTAGGTATTACTTAATAGCATAACCTAAATTAATATTAGCCCTAATAATTTTTCCCTTTTTAAAAAAATAGATTATCCGCGATCCAGCACTAGCTATCTTAAAAAAATAATAAATTAGTAATTTATAATACTAACTTATTATTATATTATAATATAATAATATTTATTATTATTATTATTTTTATTATTTATTATTCTTAGTTTAAGACCTTAAATAATACCTAATACTTTATTTAAAATACTTTACTATTTATTTATATTTAAAATAGCGCCTAATTATAAAATAGCTTTTTTATTAATTTATTTTAAGTTTGGTTTTTTTAAACTTTGAACTTTAAATTACTTTTATATAACTAGTTTATATAACTTTATTCTAGCTTTTATTTACTCCTTTACCTTATTTTTTTTAATTATAATTAAGTAAAATTATTTTTTTTAGTGCTGCGCTGTGTTTAATAAATATTAAAAAAATATAGCTAAGAGCTTTTTTTTACTAAAAATTAAAAAAATAAAATTTAAATAAAACCTTAAGGGGCCCTTATTTTTAAAAATTATTTTTTTAATTACTTGTCTAGTTTTTCCCCCGCTAGTAAGTACCTTAAATAATTTTAAATTAAGCTTTTAAGGCTTTTTTTTAAGTAATAATAAATAATTAACTATAAATAGCGCCCTTTTATTTTATTAATTTTAAAAATAATTTTTTTAGCCTGTGTTTATATAGAGGGCTTTACTTTAATAATAAGTATTTTTTTATTTATAATAGCCTGTCCGGAGGTATTCTAGTAATAATATATTAATATTAAAATATATTAATTTAGGACTTATTAAAATAATTTATAACTTATTTTATTATTATTTTTTATCCCCCGCCAGGCCACTATTAATTAACTTTTTACTAATATATATAATTATTTTAGGCTTTTTAAGCCTAATAATATATTTTTTTAATTTTTTTCTTGGCTTGTTAAGTGTTTTAAATAAAAATATTTTAAATAATAATAATAATAATAATAATAATAATAATAATAATAATAGTAATGCCACGCTTTTTATAATTACTTTTTTTATTTTTATTTTAACTTTTTTTACTTTTATTATAACTAGTCCTACCCTTTTAATAAAGGTAACTTTTTTTTATTCCCTTTTGGACAGCTTTTAGTATAAATAATTAATAGCTTTTAAATATGCTTTTATTACCCCAAGGTAATCTTTTATAATAATAAAAAAATAAAAAATAAAAATAGTTAGTAGATTCTTATTACTAATAATAAATTAAAGGTATTTCCTAAGGGGAACCTCTATAGGCCTTATTATAATTATATTTTTTAAGGTCCAGGGTTAGCGTGTGTTTACTATTACTTTAATAATAATAAATATAAACCTATTTTTATTTATATATTTAATAATATTAATATTTTATAGTGCTTGCCTACTAATAAAAGCCTGGTAAAATATATAAGCATGTAAAAAAAGTTTAATAAATATATTAAAAATATTAYTAAGGCTTTTAATAAGGTGCTAGTAAAAATTTAATTAATAAATAACTTATATTATACTATTTTTTTACTTATTAATAAGCTTTATTTATTTACTGGCAAGTTTTTAATTACTTTTAATAAAGGGTATTAAAAGATTTATAATAAAAATATATTTAATATAACTAATCTTACTATTATAGTAATCCTAGATTTTACTTTTTAAAAGCTTTTATATTTTTATTCATGCCCTTATAGCATGTAGCTAGCTTTTAGGTTAATAGTTTTATATTATTTAATATTTTATTTATTTTTTATTTTTAAAAAAAGATTTTTTTTAATATACTTTTATAAATATAATTTATAAATTTTAGTAGTCTAGAGCGGTTTAGGTTATAGTTTATTAAA